TGCTTTCCGCCGTGCCCTCAAAACCCTGATGTTCCAACAAGCGGGGCTAAACATATGAACATGTGAATGTTTTTAAAATGTTATCTAATTTTAGGTTCTATTTAATTGGGCCAAACTATGTTATAATAATAATTTTAATTAGCAATTTTATGATGTTTGTGTATCTATATTTTTCTTGACTGTACACCGCCTTGAGTCCTACGGGAGAAAGGCGGTATAGAAATATAATAAATAAATAAATAAATAAATAAATAAATAAATAAGATGGATGGAGACAGACACATAGACAAAGGCAGAGATAAATGCATAGATGATAAATAGACGATAGAGCTTGACAGAGAGAGATGGAGGGATAGAAAGATAAGACAGACAGACAGACAGATAGAGGTGATAAATAAGAGAGAAGGGGGAAGATTATAATAGAGATAGATACATAGATGATAAATAGATGAGGGTTTGATAGAGAGATGGAAGGATAGAAAGATAGATAGATACAGATGATAAATAAAGACATAGGTGAGATAGATAGATAGATAGATAGATAGATAGATAGATAGATAGATAGATAGATAGATAGATAGATGATAGACAGATAAAATAGGTGAGAGAGAGAGGGAGGGAGGGAGAGAGAGAGAGATGAGAGAGAGAGATATACAGATGCACTGTATCCTAATTAAAACAGGAACGAAGGAAGGAAAACTCAAGTTTTAAATTAAGAGGCCTCTCCATCTTCAACTGATTACCCAAAAGCTTTTAAGGTGCGGCCTCTTGCTAATTCTGGATTAACGAGAACAATGTTGTGCTTGGGATGTCTCCACAGCAGCAGCTGCCGAGGGCGCGGCTTGGAGAATGCGAGGGACGGTGCCAACCGTCCAGATCTTCACCGAAATATCCCACGTCCCTCCCTCGGAAAATCCCCTCCAAAATGTGCATTCTTTTTATTTGTATTTGATTTTGCTTCTTCAGCTTGGCCCTTGACTGTCCCCTCCTGGAGACCGGGGGGCCAGGGGCACCCTCTCTCTGCCCTGCCTTGTCCCGTCGGAGGGCCTGGCACGGCGGTGCCAAGCCGGGAGGCGATTTGGCAACAGTGCCACATGGGATCCAGGGGAGTTAGTCAGAGGAACACCCCAAAGAGGGCAGGAGGAGTGACGGAGTGAAAGAAAAAATATGAGATGAGAAGCGAATTATTTCTTTAAAAGCAAGCCCCATCCTGGTCTCGTGATTCAGGGGCCGGGCGTAACTTTGGATGGGAGTTACAAACTCTCTCTCAAATAGACCAGCTTGATAAACAGAGGCGAGTCGGACCGGGGGCCAGGCAGACAAACCAGGACAGGAAAGCTGCCGGAGCCCAGACACGCAACCATCATGCAGGGTAAGGAATGCAAGGCGGTTGTGGCACATACAATGGTGGCATTGTGGCCGGGCGGGCAGGGGTCTCTAAGATGCCACCCTAAAAGCCAGAGAAGTTTCGGGGTTTGCAAACAGCAAGCTAGCATTTGTTGTTGTGGAATCATTGGGTCTGCCCAAATCGTTGATCGATTTGACCCGTGGATGAATTCACACAACCGAACAGATTTAGAGACGCACAAAGTCGAAAAGGAAGAATTGGGGGGAAAGGAGGAAAAGGGGGGGGTTTAGGGGCCGGCTGCGACTTAAAGGCACTCAGAAGAAGGAAAGCTGTGTGTTTTGTCAAAACTTTTGGCTAGATTCTCACAACCCCTCGAAACCCGGGTTGGGCCGTCGGGCGCCGAGATGGGGGAATGCCAAGGTTTTTCTCGACGGGCAGAAAACAGAATTTAGATTTTCCTTTTGGGGTTTGGAGGAGGTTTGGGAAGTGAAGCGTTGGTTTGACCTGGGTTTTGGGGGGGGCGGGGGGGGTCTTGTGAAGCTGATTTTGTTTTTCACAAAACGGAGGGAAATCGGCAAGCCCTTTCCTATTTCCCCAGCCCCCCCTCGGAACCCTCCGTCCGATGTCTACCAAACTTCACAGGCTGTTGAAATAGGGCCAATCAAGTTGAAACTTGTCCAAAGTTTTGCTAACACCCAGACTGGAGTTTAAAAGGAGAGAAAGAAAGAGGTGGGTGGGGGGAAAAAATCACAGTTTTTGACTTGTTCGGGCAAACTTTCTCCAACCCAGATGCAGCAACCTATTCTAGAAACTCCCTGGATTTGGGGCTTCTGGGATATGTAGTCCTCCGGATACAGCAGCGCTTTCCCAGGACGGGGAAATATTGAATTAATGTGTTGTTTGATTTGCCAATAGCTTGCGAGACTGTTTTTTTTTTTTATTTCGGAAGCTGCCTCCAGTAGCAATTATACGAAAATGTCACGTCCTGGGTGTAATCCTCTCTTAAAATAATCATCATCATCATAATACTAAGGGAAGAGGGATTATTAATTTGATAGCCTTCTGACATCCCCCGAAGGGTGCTCGTTTCCTACCCGTGTTTAAAAAAAAAAACCAGGCAGGGAAGATTTGGAGACTCAGCGAAACGGCCCAGCGAGAACGGCGTCCTCGGATCGAGCCAAATGTATCGATAATCTGAAAATCGATCTCCATTAAACGATTACGGGGAATCCTCGACTTACGACTCTCTGTTTAAAGTGGTTTAACGACCATACGATTGGCTGTTCTGCTGCCACGGTTCGATTCGTAATTGGGCAAGAGAGGCCCTAAAAATCCGGGTGTGACTCGCTTAATGACCGGCTTGCTTAGCAACGGAAATTCTGGCCATAACTGGAGGAAACCCCCCCCTCAAGTCATTTAATGCAAAGCTTTCTTGAAAATAGCAGGGGAAGGGAGGCACTCCTCCAGGGTTTTCCCTAGCGGCGTTCCAGCAAATGGCACTCAGAGGTAGACTTCCCCTGAGTAGGGAGGCTCCATCAGGTTATTTGGCTCGAAGCTCCCGATAAACTTGCCTTCCTCGCCTTAACGTGACACTGTTTCCCCCCCCCCAAGAGTTATGGCGGGGCTACTCCCAAGGCAAGGATGTTGCTAACTGTAGTCTTAGAGCAGGAATCCTCAAGTTGGGCCCTTAAGGCAAAACTAAAGACAGGCTGTGCCTTTCCCCACCTTGTGGCCATGAGTTCCACAGGTGAGATGAAGCTCTACCAAAAGGAAGGGTTTCCTGTTGACAGGAACCAGGGGCAAACATGAGCAATTCTGTTGCTAATTCGAATTATTACACAGGGCAAATCTATCTATCTATCTATCTATCTATCTATCTATCTATCTATCTATCTATCTATCTATGTCCATCCATCCATCTTATCTCTGTCTGTCTGTGTCTGTCTGTCTGTCTCTCTATTTATCTATCTATCCCACTTCTATTATCTGTCTGTCTGTCTGTCTATCTATCTATCTATCTATCTCCATCCATCCATCCATCCATCCATCCATCTTATGTCTGTCTGTGTCCGTCCATCCGTCCGTCTATCTGTCTCTCTCTCTCTATTTATCTATCTATGCCACCTCTATTATCTCTCTCTCTCTCTCTATCCCACCTATTATCTATCTATCTATCTATCTATCTATCTATCTATCTATCTATCTATCTATCTATCTATCTATCTCCATCCATCCATCCATCCATCTTATCTTTGTCTGTCTGTGTCTGTCTGTCTCTCTCTCTCACCTATTATCTATCTATCTATCTATCTATCATCTATCTATCTATCTATCTATCTATCTATCTATCTATCTATCTATCTGTCTATCCATCCATCCATCCATCCATCTTATCTCTGTCCGTCTCTCTATCTATCCCACCTCTCTATTATGAATCTACCTACTTACCTACCTATCTACCCATCCATCCATCCATCCATCCATCTCCTCTCTCGAATGGGTTCACTCTCTTAGTATTTTCCCCCCCTTTATAATTCATTCATCGTGTAACCCTATTGCCGGAGCCACTCGCTTCAAAAACAGGAAGCAAAAATCCCCTTTTCTGCTTAAAATAAATGAGCTGAAAATCAACTTTGCAAAAAAAAAAAATAAATAAAATAAAAAAAAGGAAAGGAAAGGAAAAAAAGAGTCGAAGAAATAAAAAAAACCCAGCAAACTTCCAGCAAACGGACTCTCCCCACAGAGGGATATTAAAGACAAATAAAGCAGCACTAAAACAATCACACCCTGAAAATTAAAAGACGGGGGAATTAAAAATGAGGAGACGCCTGGATTGCTCACGCCGCCTGTCTGGAATTGGGAAATGCTTGAATTGGCATCGGGAGGAAACAAAGAGGATTCATTTTATAGAAATGGCTGGAATTTACACAGGTAGTCCTCGACTTACGAAAGTTCATTTAGCGACCGTACAAAGTTAGCACCAAAAAAAAAAGCGACTTAACGACCGTTTTTCACACTTACGACCATTGAAGCATCCCCGCGATCACATGGTCAGAATTCGGACGCTTGGCAACGGACTCGTCCTTACGACGGTGGGGGGGTGGGTCACGCGATCCTCTTTTGCGACCTTCGAGGTCCATGGGGGAGCCAGATTCGCTTAACGACCGTGGGACTCCCTTCCCAAACTGCAATGATTCACTTAACAACCGTGGCACGAAAGGTCATAAAACGGAACAAAACTGACTTCCACGTTTCACTTCGCAAAACAAACATTTTCAGCTCAATATAGGTCGTATGTCGAGGACTACCTAAATTTTAATACAAGGGCTTCTCCCCTCCTGAAATAAGATACAAAAATTGGAATATTTTCCTTTGCGGAGGAAGAGGTCAGATCTTCACAGAGAAGCGTTTTAATTTAGATTAAAAAGTGAAGTTTGAGCTGCAGGAAACAAAACAATTTGGAAGTTTTTTGAAACCAGTGCGGAATGCAAAGTATCCGAGCCTTTGGAAAAGAATCGAAATAAATCAGCCAAATGAAAAGAAACGCTCAACTCCTGAAAAAGTTCATGCAGGACACAAATGTTTTTCTCAACCTCGCAAACAAAAACATTGATTTTTTTTTCCCCAAGAGTTTCTTTTATGTGTCACTTACCCAAATAATCGTCCGTGGCAACGGAAGACAATGGAAACTGCCTGTGTGGAAGAAAGAAAGGAAAATTTAAAAAAAAATAGGATTAGGAAAAAATAGGAAAGCGATTTCCTGAAAAAATAACAATCCTATGCCATTTAGTTGTATGGGGAAAAAAAAAATAGGATTTTTTTTTTGTTCCGTACAACTAAATGGCATAGGATTAATCTCTTCGTTTAAAGGATAAAATTTAAATATCTTGATCGACAGCAGGGACGATTCTGCAAATATCAAATCGGCCATTTGGTTTAGCAACCGCTCAAAAATTACATCATCCCTGGGGCAAACAGTGGCTGGTCCTCGTAGTTACGACCGTCGTGGCATTTCCCACGGTCATGGGATCCCCATTTGCAGCCCTCCCAGCCGGCTTCCCGCAAGCTAATGGGGGAAGTTTGGATTTGTTTAACGGCTGCCTGATTCGCTTAACGACTGGGGCAAAAATGGCCATACAAATCCCGCACGACTCACTTAACTGTCCTGCTTAGCAACAGAAATTCTACTTCCGGCAGCGATCATAATTTGATGGTAAATGATCATGAAATAATGATTAGGTTGGGTTAAATCAGTCTTCTCAAACTCGGCTTCTTTAAGAGGCGCTGGCTGGGGGATTCTGGGAGTCGAAGTCCACCCATCTTAAAGCATGTTGGCTGGGGGATTCTGGGAGTCGAAGTCCACCCATCTTAAAGGGGCCGAGGTTTTAAACCCGCTGAGCTTAATGATGACTGTATTTCCTTGTGTTTTTCCGAGCCCACCAGAGCCCACCATTTTTGTTTCGGAGCCCTGAGTTGTGGCGAACGGATGCACCCATTTCACAGATGGGGAAAACCGAGGAAGCTCCCATTTCTGGGGAAAATCTGTAGGGAATCCAAACACCCCGTTTTGGATTGCAGGCCGTCACTCAAAATATGCCGTCTGGGAGGAAAGCGAGACAAACGAGCTTGGCTAGAGTTACGCAAAGACGACGGCAACTCCTTTATCGCAACAGGGGTGTGTGTGTGGGGGGGTGTCCACCTCCTACGTTATCCGGTTCCTCCTCCTCCTCCTCCTTCGGGGGTGAATTCTTTGGGGTGCATCCAAACCTCCCATTTTCCCAGGCTCTGAATTTTTTTTGGGGGGGGGGAGGAAATAGGAGCACCCCAAATTTCCAATGACAAAATCCCTCATCGGGTCCGTTTCATTTTGCACAACGGATGTCCTGCGCCGAGGCCTTGAACGACGTCGCACAACCGCATCGTTCGTGGGTTTCAAATCCCGGCGCTACCAGTTCGCCATAACTCACATGAAGTGGATAAAAATGCCAAATCCAGTCAGAACGTCCGGCTGACTTTGCAAAGAACCGTAAATAATAACACCGGTGGTCCTTGACTTAACAACTGCTTGTTTAGTGACTGAAGTTACAGCGGCACTGGGGGGGGGAAAGGGACTTAGGACTGTTTTTTTTTCACACTTAACGACCGTCGCGGTATTCCCCCCTGGACACGTGATCAAAATGGAGATGTTGGTCAACCGAGTCGTATTTATGACGGTCACAGTATCCCGGGGTGTGTGTGTGTCACGTGAAGCAGGGGGTTGGACTAGAAGACCTCCAAGGTCCTATTCTATTCTATTCTATTCTATTCTATTCTATTCTATTCTATTCTATTCTATTATTTTCTATATTCTTCTATTCTATTCTTCCATTCTTAATTCTATTCTATTCTATTCTTTTCTATAATCTATTCTATTTCTTTCATTCTTAATTCTATTCTATTCTATTCTTTTCTATATTCTATTCTATTTCTTTCATTCTTAATTCTGGTCTATTTTCTATTCTACTCTATTCTTTCATCCAATATTCTATTCTATTCTCTATTCTTCTATTATTTTCTCCATTCTATTCTCTTCTATATTATTCTATTATTTTCTATATTCTTCTACTCTATTCTTTCATTCTTCATTCTATTCTATTCTATTCTATTCTATTCTATTCTATTCTATATTCTATTTCTTTCATTCTTAATCCTGTTCTATTTTTTATTCTATTCTATTCTTTCATTCAATATTCTATTCTATTCTTCTATTATTTTCTCCATTCTATTCTCCTCTTTATTCTCTTCTCTCCTCTCCCCTCTTCCATTCTATTCATTCTAATTCTAATACAATCATATTTAACCAGAGCAATGTTGGCTGAATAACCAAACATTCAAAGCTAGGTTTCTTTATCTGTTGTATTTGTTTTCAATTTAAAAAAAAAAATTTCACTGTTGCTGGCAAAAAAAAAACAAACCCGAGAACTAACGCCAAGCTTTGTTAAGTTGTTGCACAAAACGCAACCCCGCGGAAACCCACACCTCTCCCGAATGACGAATAACGCAAAAATCTCCGGAGAGACCAGAATTGCCGGCTCAAGGAGAAAGCCAATCAAACCCACATCAAAACAGGCAAAGAAACTGTGGTTGTTTTTTTTTTTAAAAAGCAGAGATTTAATTTTATTTTTTTTACCCAGTCGGGACTTTGTTTGACAACAATTTTTTTTTTCAGATATTCCCCGTGGCGATCTTTCCCTGCCGCGAGATGGGAGCCATCCAATTTTATTTTTTTTGCAAAATTTGCAAAAAGCCGCTTGGTTGGCATCCAAAATAGATATTGCCCCGAAGGAACATCTGCTCTGTGAACAAATTTTAATTTGCCATTTGCGTCGTACGGTTCTCGAGTTACGACCATCATTGAGCCCGGCGTTTCCGCCGCTAAGCGAGGCATTGGTTAAGTGAGCTTTGGGCTCGTTGGACGACCTTTCCTGCCGCAGTTGTTCAGCGGGAAAAAAAAGTCTTTGGCGGGCTGGTTGGGTTTAATCCAAGCTGTTAGTCCTCAGGAAGGAAAGCAGAGGGAGCTGCTAGCTGAAATTCAATGCGTCGATCTGGGATGAGCCGTTTTCCGAATTCGGAATGGGAGGTGTCTAGCCAGGCATGTAAATTTAATTTTGTTTATTTATATAAACTAATTTATCTAATGTCTAGACTGCCCGTCGTATATTCTCACGAGGCGTTTTTGTTCTGAGTTTTCCTTCCTTCTCTATTTCTCATGCCTATTTTGTTCTTCCTGCTTTCCTGCTTTTATTTTTTTTTTCATTCGTTCTTTTCCTTCATGCGTTTCCTTTTTATGTTCTTATTTTATTTCTCCTTTCGGTATTCTTGTCCTTTTCTTTTTATTTCTTCCTCTTTGCTGAAGGCTGTAAAGCTGCATTTCGCAGCCTCTCTCTGAATAATTACAGGCAGGAGCTCCCTGTGCATTGAGGAAGCTCTTACATTTTATTCATTTCACAAAGTGGAAAGGGTACCAACAGGTGATCGAAGGTGTGGTGTTTTTTTTTTTACTTCTCCCCCCCCCACCCCCAGGAACCAAGGGCAGCATGAGGGTGACAGGAGATTCTTCGGAGCTCGAGTGGGCGATCCAAACCCTGGTGAAGAATTACGACAAATATTCCGGCAAAGGATGTTGTTGCCGTAGACGCCGCGGGATCAGCAAATCCGATTTCAGAAAAATGCTCAGCCACGAACTGAACCACATGTTGACGGTGAGCGGGGCGGCTCCTGAACTCGGGTCCCGTCCAAATTTGGGCTCCAACTGTGAGGGATCTGAGATGGGTATTTCAGGATTTTGTCATCCTAACCCACAGCAAGAAAGTTACCGTTCTTCGGTCAATGTTTCTTATAACCTTGACAACTTTTAAGATGGGTGGACCTCAACTCCCAGAATTCCCCAGCCAGCTTTGCTTAGGCTGGGGAATTCTGGGAGTCGAAGTCCGCTCATCGTAAAAGTTGCTAAGCTTGAAAAACACACACATATATAAAAGGCTGTATGTATGTATGTTCCAGCATAACTCTGCAACGCCTCAAGCAATTTCAACCAAACTTGGTACACAGGTGACTTACTCTCTGGAAATAAACACTGGGGGGGTGGGGGTTCAGACACTCCTGGCGTATGTGGGGTTGTGTGTGTCTGAATGTGTGTATTCCAGCATCTCTCTGAAACTCCTCTGCTGTTAAGGAGAGCGAGTGTAGTGTCCTAGAGTGGCAATTGTTTGTGATGTCAGCTTCTTCGCAGCTTCCTCTGGAAAGCCAGCTGTGATGTTCGCCCTCCAGTGGACCAATGGGGAAGTGCCTGATGTTCCATTATGTTGGATGAAGGCACCCCCTGGTGGATTTGGGGCAAAATGCCAGGATCGTAGCCAGGGCGGGAAAGAGGAGTGCATGGGAGGGGGAAGGAAGAGGGCAGGGATGATGGGCATGGGAGTAGGGGGAAGAAAGGCCCCTCTCAATGGCTCCCTGGTGTGTGGGGGGGGAGTGTATGTATGTTCCAGCATAACTCTGGAATGCCTCAAACAATTTCAACCAAACTTGGTATATAGATGACTTACTTTCTGGAAACAAATACTGTGGGGGTAAGACACCCCTAGCACCCCTAGGGGTGTGTGTGTGTGCACACACACACACACACTCATTACACACACACACACCAGCCAGCTTTGCTTATAGCTTTGATATGAGACTCCCTCCTGTTTCTGATCGTTCTACCTCGAAGGGCTGGTGGACTGAACTCAAGGGAAGAAAATGCAAAACTGGACTCTCTCCCCATTTCTAGGGACTCCAACTCCCATCAGGGAGACGGTTATCCATTCAGGATGATGGGGATTGCAAGCCAGACAGAGTGAGAAGGGCTAAGCGTCATCATCTTCTTTTAACAAGCCCATAATCCCTTGCATCGGGGTGGAGTCCGGGCAACTGAATGGAGTTAGCAGAATGTTTTACTGGCCGGATGCCCTTCCCTGTCGCCAATGCGGAGTTTTGTTCAGCAGATAATATTCTCATTGTGCCCAGAGAGAAATATCTGCCTCTACCTAGGGTCGAACTCACAGTCTCCTGATTGTGAGGCGAGAGCTCCACCTCTAGGCCACCGCCTAGAAGTGACCCACTCCAAAATTAAAGAAAAGAGTTATACCCCCACCCTCCACATCGCGCCTATGAAATGGAAGGTAATTAGTTTTCCTCCTCCGCCTGATCGGTTTTCCTCTGCTTCCTACCCTTTCAGGATACCAAGAACAGGCAGGCGGCCGACAAACTGATCTGCGACCTGGATGAGAATCAAGACGGGGAGATCAACTTCGACGAATATTGGAACTTGATTGGGGGCATCGCCAGCCCCATCTCCTGCCTGATCCGACAGCAGGAAGAGAGCGAGAAATTCAAAAAATAAAGGCGGCCGCTGAATCAACGGGAAATAATCTACTGTAATGACCGCCTTTCACCCCCGTTTTTAACCCCTCAAGTTCCCTGCATTTTGGACCGGCTAATCTTAAGAATACCCCATGTGGGGAAGGGGAAATTCGGGGCAGGGTAGGGGGTGGGGTGTTCTCAGAAATTAAGGGAGCTGTCAAACTGTGAATAACACTGTAATAAAAGTTGGAGCCTCAAAACTCAGAACCGCTTCTAATTTCTTGGTGAAATCTTTCTCCTCAAACAAGCTTCCGGTCCTCATTGAGGACAGGCGAGGCCAACATGTTGTCTCTCTGCAACAAAACACACGTTGTCCCCGACTTACAATGTCCCCCATTTCTATGTTAAGCAGGAGATTTTTTTAGTAAAATAGGTAAAATATTTACCTTGTGGCCCCCCCAGACTCTTGTTCTATTATTAAATCAGATTTGGATGCCCGTCGATAAAAATGTCCTTTTCAGCAGGTTGAAACACAGCCCGTAGGTCAAAATAAAATAGAAAATCATCACGGCTTTAAATTAATTCTGGGTTAGGTTAATCAAGTCACGCTTCGGTTGATTCATTTGCTCTTTAAAGAGATTGAAGGCCGGGCGTGTCTCGTGGGACGGGGCATCGTGCCAACCCCTGGCACAAACTGGGCACCGGTCTCTATGGAGAGGGGCGAGGGGGGGAATATGGGGGCTGTTGAACCCAATTCCAACCATCCAATTTGTGATATTTTGTAGAGAAAACTGCTCTCAAAATCCGTCCTTCTGAACGCTAAAAGGATCTCGGGGACGGGAGCATTCATTGGAATCACGGAAGGGACCTCGGAGGTCTTCTAGTCCATCCCCCCACTCAGGCAGGAGACCCTACACAATTCCAGACAAATGGCCGCCCAGTCTCTTCTTCAAAACCTCCAGCGATGGAGCACCCACAACTTCTGGTGGCGAGCAGTTCCACAGGTTCATTGTCCTCAGAACCAGCAAATTCCTCCTTCAGTCTAGTTAACTTTACTAGAGTCGAGATTTCTTTGGAAACCCGTTATATCAAAAGCGTCATAAATGGCAGTCATAAAAAAAAAAGGGTCATAAATTCAAGGCTGGTTGCCAAGCCAAATACAATCCACTGATTTATTGTTTTCTCCCATCAGGGGAATTTCTCCTTCGTTCCTTCTGTCCTTGGTGAGTTTCCATCGAAAGAAAGAAAGAAAGAAAGAAAGAAAGAAAGAAAGAAAGAAAGAAAGAAAGAAAGAAAGAAAGAAAGAAAGAAAGAAAGAAAGAAAGAAAGAGGTGGAAGGGAGGGAGGGGAAAGAAAGAAAGAAAGGAAAGAAAGAAAGAAAGAAAGAAAGAAAGAAAGAAAGAAAGAAAGGAAAGAAAGAAAGGAAAGAAAGAAAGAAAGAGGTGGAAGGGAAGGAGGGGGGAAAGAAAGAAAGAAAGAAAGAAAGAAAGAAAGAAAGAAAGAAAGAAAGAAAGAGGGGGAAGGGAAGAAGGGAGGGGAAAGAAAGAAAGAAAGAAAGAGGTGGAAGGGAGGGAGGGGAAAGAAAGAAAGAAAGAAAGAAAGAAAGAAAGAAAGAAAGAAAGAAAGAAAGAAAGAGGTGGAAGGGAAGGAGGGAGGGGAAAGAAAGAGAGAAAGAAAGAAAGAAAGAAAGAAAGAAAGAAAGAAAGAAAGAAAGAAAGAAAGAAAGAAAGAAAGAAAGAAATCTGAGTGAACCATGGATGGACAGAAGACATGGCTAGTCTAGTGAAGAGAAGGACCAGGGGAGACAGGAGAGCATCTTCCAATATTTGAGGGGCTGCCCCAGAGAGGAGGAAGGGGGTCAAGCTATTCTCCAAAGCACCTTTGAAGGCCAGACAAGGAAGAATGGATGGAAACTGATCAAGGAGAGATTCCACCTGGAAATAAGGAGAAGTTTCCCGACTGTGAGAACAATTAACCAGTGGAACAGCTTGCCACTAGAAGCTGTGGGCGCTTCAACACTGGAGGTTTTCACTGGACAGCTGCTTGTCTGGAATGGTCTACACTGGGTCTCCTGCTTGAGCAGAGGCTTGGACTAGAAGACCTCTAATGTCCCTTCCAGTTCTATTCTGGCTGAGATTGATTGATAACTGATTAACCCGAAGAGTTCAAGGTGCGGCCGCTGGCTAGATCTGGATTAACAAGGACATTGGCATGCTCGGAGGTGGCTCAGAGCAGCTGCCGGGGGGGGGGGGGCACGGCTGAGAGAAGGCAACGGATGTGCCAATCTGCAGATCCTCGCCAAAAATGCCACCCTGAGCCTCCCACGGAGCTTTTTAAAAATTTTCTTTTGTCTCCTTCAGCCTGGGCCTTGACCGTCCCCCCCAGGAGACCAGGTGCACCCTCTCTGCCTTGCCTTGTCCCATCAGAAGGATTGGCATGATGCCAAGGCCAGCGATTTGGCAAGAGTGCCACGTGGGATCCGGGTAGTGCTGGTGGGCGTAAATCAGTGGAATACGCCAAAGAGGGCAGGAGGGAGGTGGGGGGGGGGAGGAAGGGAGTCAGGGAGGGGATTTTTCTCTTTCAAAAGGAGCCCGGTCCCGGTCTCATCATCCAGACGCCGCGACGAGTAACGTCTGATAAAGAGTAACTGACTTTGAAATAAATTAGCTTGGTAAAGAGAGGCGAGTCGGACACGGCAGGATAAGAAAACCGCCGGAGTCGAAGCCAGACAACCATTATGGAAGGTAAGGAATGCGGGGGGGGGGCACAATGGGGGGCTTTGGAAGGTAAAGGGGTGGGCAGGGGGGACCCGTAAACCCCCCCCCCTTCTAAAAGCAAGCGAGAGATTTAGAGACAAAATCCCCAATTTTCAAAATGGTAGCTTGAGCCGGTGTCCCGCGACGAGGGTTTTAACACAACCGCACAACCACATCTGCCCGTCCCAAGATCTTCGGGAAGGACTGGACAAATCCTTCTTGAACATCTGGCTGGCTGGGGGATCCAGCCCAATTCAGGCAGTCCTTGAGTTACAACCGTCCCGTTTTAGCGAACCGTTCGAAGGGACTCGGGAGCGTTTTTTTTTCAGGCTTTACGACCGTGGCAACCATCAAAATTCAGACGCTTGGCAACTGACTCGGACTTATGTCCCAAGGTCACGCGAGCCCTTTTGTGACCTTCAAGAGTCAAGGGTTCATTTAACAGCCGTCTTTCTAACCTAACAACCGCTGGGGTTCGCTTATCAACGGCGGTAAGGCAGGCCGTAAAATGGGACAAAGCTAGCTTAGCGAATGTTTCGCTCGGCAACAGGAATTTGGGGAGGGGGGGGGTTCAATTGCAGCTGTTAAGTCAAGGACTTTCTGTAATACACAGAGAGATCATATTTTAACCAGGACAAGGTCGGCTGCAGAATCAAAACTTGAAAGCTAAGTTTCTGTTCTATTCCTTTTCGATATTAGCAAACAAACTTTTAAAACACACTTTTTTTATACAAACTATGTTTTAAAATACACTTTTGGGTAACATTTGATGGTCTGCATTTGATGGTGCCTTATTATAATGACACCCCCCCCCCCAAAAAAAATCTTCGCCGAGCTGGTTGGATATAATTCAAGCTGCTAGTCCTCAGGAAGAAAACCAGAGGAAACCTGCGTTATAGCTGTACCGTAGTTAAAGCATCTCAATCTCCGGAGGGCTGCTTTTGAATGCAGAAACGGGAGATAATTATGCAGACCTGTAAGTTTAACTTAATTTAGCTTAGTTCGATTATATTGATTATATTAATATAATATTGATTATAATAAAAAAAAAACACAATCACTCCACGCAGAGGCGGAAACGTATGAGTAGTTTTTCTTTTTCTTTCTTTTTCTTTCCCTCCCCCCTAATTACTTGCATAGGGATTATTCTTTATACCATTTATGTTCTTTGTTTTCAGAGATTGCACCAGTGAGGCTAAAACGAATTTCGTTGTCTACATGACGTACAACGACAATAAAGGCTATACTATTATATGTGTTTATATATATATATATATAGATTTATATGTATTGATTTACGATGTCCGGGCAGGTAGGCGGAGTCTCGTACTGCCACCGCTCCCGGTTCGCCGAACCTCGCGCTGCGGTTACCGGTTCTCGCGAACCGGTGCAAACCGGTAGCATTTCACCTGTGGCCTAGATTGCCCGTCCCATTTTCTCACACGGCGGTTTCATTTTTTTCTCTGTATTCTGTGTTTCTCTCTTTCTGAGGTCTACTTTGTTCTTCCTGCTTTCCCTAATTTTATTTTTTATTTCCTTTGTTCTTCCTGCATTTCCTTTTAATTTCTTCCTTCCCTTTTTCTCTTTCTGTGTCGACGCTTTTCTTTTGATTTCCCTTTCTGTGTATCAAAGCCTGATTTGAATGCCTAGTTAGGGAAAGACGCCTCCCTCCCTTGCCTTGAGAAAGCGCTTGATTTATTCATTTCATCCAAGAGGAAAGGGGACCAACAGGTGATCAAAGCTATTTTTTTTCCCCTACCTCAGGAGCCAAGGGCAGCGAGACGGTGCTGAGCGAACTCGAGTCGGCTATCGAAACCGTGGTAGAGAATTACAACAAATACTCAGCCAAAGAAAACTTGTTGAGAAAAGGGGGGATCAAAAAGTCCAACTTCAAAAGGATGCTCCAAAGTGAGCTGAGCCACATGTTGACGGTGAGTAGGGCAGCTCCTGAACTCGGGTCCTGTTCGAATTTGGGGCTCCAACGGAAGGGAATTTCAGACGGGATTGCCAAGATCCTGTGATCGTAACCCACAAACATGAACTTATCTCGATATTTCTCAGGCTTAGCCCCTTTTGAGATGGGTGGACTTCAACTCCCAGAATTCCCCGGCCATTGAAGCTATAAGCAAAGATGGCTGGCTAGGGAATTCTGGGAGTTGAAGTCCACCCACCTTCAAAGGGGCTAAGATTGAGAAACAGTGCCATATATATCTCTATCTCTATCCATCTATCTCTATCGATCTGTCTGTCTGTCTGTCTGTCTCTCTCTCCATCCATCCATCAATATCATCTGTCTGTCTGTTTGTCTATCTGTTTTTCTCTCTCTCTCTCTCTCTATCTCCATCCATCCATCCATGTCTCCATTCATATCATCTGTCTGTCTTTTGTCTGTCTGTTTCTGTCTCTCTCTCTCTCTATTCTCTATCCATCCATCTCTCCATCCATATCATCTGTCTGTCTGTTTCTGTCTCTCTATTCATCCATTCATCTCTCCATCCATATCATCTGTCTGTCTGTCTGTTTCTGTCTCTCTATTCATCTATCTATCATCTATCTCTCCATCCATATCATCTGTCTGTCTGTTTGTCTATCTGTTTCTCTCTCTCTCTCCATCCATCCATCTCTCCATTCATATCATCTGTCTGTCTTTTGTCTGTCTGTTTCTGTCTCTCTCTCTCTCTCTTCATCTCTCCATCCATCTCTCCATCCATATCATCTGTCTGTCTGCCTGTCTGTTTCTGTCTCTCTCTCTCTATTCATCCATCCATCTCTCCATCCATATCATCTGTCTGTCTGTCTGTCTGTCTCTATCTCTCTCTCTCTCTCCATCCACCCATCCATCCATCCATCCATCCATATCATCTGTCTGTCTGTTTCTGTCTCTCTCTCTCTATTCATCTATCCATCTATCTCTCCATCCATATCATCTGTCTGTCTGTTTGTCTCTCTCTCTATTCATCTATCCATCCATCCATCCATATCATCTGTCTGTCTGTCTGTCTGTCTCTCTCTCTCCATCCATCCATCCATCTCTCCATTCATATCATCCATCTGTCTGTCTTTCCTTTCTCTCTCTCCCCCCACCCAGCTATATAAATAGCATTCTCAGACTCTCCCTCTTGTTTCTCACCTGGTCTACCGCGAAGGGCTAGCGGACCGAGGGTCCAGGAATAAGAAAGGAGAAACCCTGACGCCCACCCCGTTTCTAGGGACTCCGACTCCCATCAGGGAAACGATGGGGGCCGCAATCCAGACAGAGAGAAGTGGGGGGGGGCCTAAGGATCCCACTGCAAAATGAAAGAGAAGAGTCATACCCCACGGCGCCTCTGAACTGGGTGGGACTCCGTTTTCCTCCTCCGCCTGATCGGTTTTCCTCCGCTTTCTACCTTCTAGGACACCACGAAGAAGGAGGCAGTGGAAAAACTGTTCCAGGACCTGGATCAGAACAGGGACGGGGTGATCGATTTCGACGAATATTGGGCCTTGATCGGGAGCATTGTGAAGCCCATCGCCCGCGATAAGCAATAATAGGTGGAAAATAAAGGCGGCCGCTGAATCCAAGGGAAACAATCCATTGTAATCACCCCAAAGACCTTCGACCGCCATTTTTAACCCCCTAAATACCTTGCATTTTGGAGTAGCTATTCCTACCCCATGTGGGGCAGGGGAAAATTCAGAGCAGGGGCGCCTCAGGAATTAAGGCAACTGTCCAACTGGGATTAAGGTTGGCGTCTCAAAACTTAGGACCGCTTCTCTTTTCTTTGTGAAGTCTTTCTCCTCCAACAAGCTCCCGGTCCTCATTGAAGACGGACGAAACCAACTGTTGTCTCTCTGCAACAAAACGCACGTCGCCCCTGACTTGGGGTGAGGGTGGTGGAAGAAAGAGGGAGACAGGGGAGGGGGGTTTTTCTTTTGAAACAGAAGCCCGTCCCAGTCTCGTCACGCAGGGGCTGGGCGTAACTTCTGGTAGCACTAAACAGACTTTGAATTAAATCAGCTTGGTTCAACAAAGGCAGAGAGGCCAGGATAAGAAAATGGAGTCCAGCCAGACAACCGTCATGGAGGGTAAGGAATGCCGGGGAAAATGGGGGGCCTTGGGAGGTAAGGGGGTGGGCAGGGGGACCCTTAAGACGCCCACCCTAAAAGCAAGCGAGAGATTAGTGACAAAAATGCACAATTTTAATATTGAATATAGAAAGTTTTGATCTTGAATTTGGATGGCATGCTTACTTATTTTATGAAAACAAAGTGGATAAAGTATTTAAAAGCCATATACTTAAGAGATTCTTTGATGAGAGTTTGGAAGAAGCACCGATTCAAATGGGATTACAAAATACCGTTATGGCTGGATCTTGGTCATATGTGGAATACAAATATAATGTCACTCGGGGGGTTTTTATATAAAGAGGTTCTTTTTACAGATGCGGGCACTGAAGACATTAGAGACACTGTTGGACAAAGGGATTAATTTAACTTGGTTACAGTATAATCAACTTCAATTGAGATGGAAAGAGGACCAAAAAATTGGTATTATGTTGCATGAGGATGAATTGGTTAGACATATAAAGGAGAAAGGTCCAATGCATATTAAAAGGCTTTACAATGTTTTGTTAGAAAGGGATTCAGAAACTGAATTGGTTAAAGACTGTATGATTAAGTGGGCACAAAATTTTGCAGAACCAGTAATGTTGGAAACATGGGAAAAAATTTGGGTTCAGAATATTAAATTTACACAGTCGCAGAATTTGAGGGAAAATTTTTATAAAATGTTTTATAGATGGCATTTAGATCCTAAGAAATTGTCGTGTATGTACCCTAATGTTCAGCCAAAATGTTGGAGATGTGATTGTTTAGATGCTACATATTATCATGTTTGGTGGACTTGTAAGAAAGTTAAGGCTTTTTGGATAAAAATTTGGTGGGTCATGCAGAATGTTTTGAAGAAAAAAATTCAATTTTCTCCACAATTGTTTTTACTGGGTATAGTTAAGGGTTTTACATTGGATGAAACAAAGTTGATATTGTATATGATAACAGCAGCGAGATTATTGATAGGTAAATACTGGAAAAATGAAGCTTTGCCCACTATCGAGGAATGGACTTTGAAGATGGCCAGCTTTGCAGAGATGGCGAAGATTTCAGCATATCTAAAAGATCGTTCACAAGAGACTTATGAATGGGAATGGAAAAAGTGGATAGATTATGTGCAGAACAAATATCAAACTAGGAAGTATCAAATAGCTTTTCACTGACAGTATTATATAAAGATAGAAATGTTTGAATTTTGTGAAGATGGAAAATTATATGGGGGATGGAGGGGTTCAAGTTTTATATAAAGGGGATTTTGATGGGAGTATATTCTGTGGAAGTCCGGGGGGGAGGGGAGGGTTAGGGGGGTTTGGGAGGGTTAGGTTGGGGAGTTTGGGGTGGGTTGGGGGGGGGGAAATGGGGTGAAAATGTAATTGTAAAACTTTTGCAATAAAAAAAAAATGCACAATTTTCAAAAAGGTAGCTTGACGTGGCACAGTCGGTGTCCCGCAACGAGGGTTTTAACACAACCGCACAACCACATCTGCCCGTCCCAAGATCTTCGGGAAGGACTGGACAAATCCTTCTTGAACAACTGGCTGGCTTGGCTGATCCAGCCCAATCCAGGCAGTCCTTGACTTACAACCGTCCGTTTAGCGACTGTTGGAAGGGACTCCCAACGGGAGCGTTTTTTCAGGCTTTACGACCGTGGTACCATCAAAATTCAGACGCTCGGCAACTGACTCGTACTTATGACCGTCGCTGTGTCCCAAGGTCACGCGAGCCCCACACACAGGCGGAAACATATGACTAATTTTTTCTTTTTCTTTCCTTCCCCCCTAATTACTTGCATAGGGATTATTCTTTATGCTATTTATGTTCTTTGTATTTCTTTGTATTTGTTTTCAGAGATTGCACCAGTGAGGCTAAAACGAATTTCCTTGTCTACATGATTTACAACGATAATAAAGGCTATACTATTATATGTGTTTATATCTATCTATCTATCTATCTATCTATCTATCTATCTATCTATCTTCAGGCTGGTGTTTTCGGCTTCGTGCCTCTAGGAGCTTCGTGCCTCTAGGAGCATTGCTCCTAGAAGCACGAAGCCGAAAACACCAGCCTGAAGATGACGAATGAGACTTCGTCGAAACGTTGCCAAGAAACCTCCAATTTTATGCGGGAGAAAACCCGAATAACCAAAGACCTACATATGTATTGACTTATCAAACGTCTAGACCAGGGGTGAAATCTACTTACCTTCCCTACCGGTTCGGAAGCATGCGTGCTTGCGTGTCACATATGATTTTGGACCCTCTACGCACGCACAAAGCCTTTTGCGCATGGGGAGATGGTCAAAAACAGGTTACTTCCTGGTTAAAACCCGGAAGTAATGACGTCCGGGCAGGTGGGCGGAGTCTTGTGCTGCCGCCGCTACCGGTTCGCCGAACCTCGCGCTGCGGTTACCGGTTCTGGCGAACCGGTGCAAACCGGCAGCATTTCGCCCGTGGCCTAGATTGCCCGTCCCGTTTTCTCACACGGCGTTTTCATTTTTTCTCTGTATTCCGTGTTTCTCTCTTTCTGAGGTCTACTTTGTTCTTCCGGCTTTCCCTAATTTTATTTTTTATTTCCTCTGTTCTTTCCGCATTTCCTTTTAATTTCTTCCTTCCGTTTTTTCCCTTTCTGTATCGACGCTTTTCTTTTGATTTCCCTTTCTGTGCATCAAAGTGAATGCCTAGTTAGGGAAAGACGCCTCCCTCCCTTGCCTTGAGAAAGCTCTTGATTTATTCATTTCATCCAAGAGGAAAGGGGACCAACAGGTGATCAAAGCTTTTTTTTTTTTTCTACCTCAGGAGCCAAGGGCAGCGAGACGGTGCTGAGCAAACTCGAGTCGGCTATCGAAATCATGGCACAGAATTACAACAAATACTCAGCCAAAGAAAACTTGTTGAGAAAAGGGGGGATCAAAAAGTCCAACTTCAAAACGATGCTCCAAAGTGAGCTGAGCCACATGTTGCATGTGAGTAGGGCAGCTCCTGAACTCGGGTCCTGTTCGAATTTGGGGCTCCAACGGGAGGGTATTTCAGATGGGATTGCCAAGATCCTGTGATCGTAACCCACAAACATGAACTTATCTCGATACTTCTCAAGCTAAGCCCCTTTTAATTTAGCTCAGTTTGATTATATTTTAAGATGGGTGGACCTCAACTCCCAGAATTCCTCGGCCATCGAAGCTATAAGCGAAGCTAGCTGGCTGGGGAATTCTGGGAGTTGAAGTCCACCCATCTAAAAAGGGGCTAAAACTCAGAAACACTGCCATATATATCTCTATCTCTTGTCTATCTGTCTTATCTATCTGTCTATCTATCTGTCTGTCTGTCTATCTATATCATCTATCTATCTGTCTTTCCTTCCTCCCTCCCTCTGACCCTCCTTCCCTCTCTCCCCCTTTCTCATTCTCTCTCTCTCTCTCTCTCTCCACCCAGCTATATAAATAGCATCCTTAGACTCCCTCTTGTTTCTGACCCGGCCTACCTCGTAGGGCTGGCAGATTGAGGGTCCAGCAACAAGAAATGTGAAACCCTGACCCTAACCCTCCACATTTCTAGGGATTCCCATCAGGGAGACGGTGATCCGTTCAGGACAGGGGAGGGTTCTAAATTTTTTTTACTACCGGTTCTGTGGGCGTGGCTTATTTTGTGGGTGTGGCTTGGAGGTCATGTGACTAGGTGGGCGTGGCTAGCCGGTCAGAGTCATTTCTGGAAGGTCCTCGCACTTACGACCAGTCCTCGACACTTACGACCCGACTCATTTGTTTGCTTTTAACACTGATCCGCCGTAGGGCGGCCCTTTGAAGCCCCCCCCGGCAAGAGTTTAAACAGTTTTTTTTTCCCTCTAGTCATCAGCTGGGACTCAGGAGGCAGCAATAGATGGGGGGTGGGACCAAATAAAAGGTAAGAATAACGCGGGTGGGAGGGCGGGGAGGGGGGAGAACCGGTTCGGTGACGTCATATCGTCACCGCTACCGGCTCAGCCGAACCGGACCGAACCGGGAGGAACCCACCGCTGGTTCAGGACGATGGGGGCCGCAATCCAGACAGAGAGAAGTGGGGGGGAGGGGCCCTAAGGATCCCACTGCAAAATGAAAGGCAAGAGTCATACCCCGTGGCGCCTCTGAATTGGGTGGGACTCCCTTTTCCTCCTCCGCCTGATCGGTTTTCCTCTGCTTTCTATCTCCTAGGAAACCATGAAGGAGGAGGCGGTGGAAAAACTGTTCCAGGAGATGGATCAGGATGGGGACAGCCTGATCGATTTCGACGAATATTGGGCCTTGATTGGGAAAATTGTGAAGCTCCTCGCCCGCAATCAGCAATAATAGGTGGAAAAGGAAGGCGGCCGCTGAATCCAAGGGAAATAATAATCCACTGTAATCACCCCAAAGCCCTTCGACCGCCATTTTTAACCCCCTAAATTCCTTGCATTCCTACCCCATGTGGGGCAGGGGAAAATTCGGAGCAGGGGCGCCTCAGGAATGTAGGCAGCTGTCCAACTGGGATTAACACTGCAATAAAGGTTGGCGTCTCAAAACCCAGAACCGCTTCTATTTTCTTTGCCTTAGCTTCTTCGTAAAACCTTTCTCCTCCAACAAACTTCCAGTCCTCATTGAGGACGGAGGGACCCTAATCCTAACCCTAACCCCCTATTTGTACGTTAAGAGGATTTTTAAGTAAAATAGATTTTTTTTAAAAAAAAACTTACCTTGCGTTCCTCCCCTTCGCTACATCTTGTGGCAGGGAGTTCCACAGGTGAACGAATGCATTTCCGTCCTGCTTCGAATCCCACCTGCTCCGAGATTCGCCTGAAGGAAAAATAGGGGGCAAAACTTTAACACAGTCGTTTTCTTTATGCGAGGCACAATTTAAAAAATAAATAAATAAAAAAAATCAGGAAATCTAATTGAAGTGCAGCTAAAATTACTTTAAATGACGTCAAAAAAAAAGAGTAATTAAAAATAACAGGGCTCTGTCAATTATCAGCCTTTCTAGACCTTTAAGACGGCTGGACTTCAACTCCCAGAATTCCCCAGCCACCTTTTTCTATTTTTTTAATGCTAAAAAGTTTATTTGCAAAAAAAAAACCGAATGGGACCAAAGCCAAGTTCTGCATTTGGACCACCAGAGGGCGACCGAGAGCTTTGGAGACACCCGCGGACACCGCCCTGTCCCTGCAGTGAGCCATACCGGCCACCAGAGGGCAGCACACAGCCGCTAGCCATATTACGGGAAAAATTACGCAGTGATTTTTTTTTCTCTCTCTCTCCCACGCCTTTCTATCAATGAAAGCTGGGAAAAGAATGCGCAACCTTTCGGTGCTGTGACGGTTATTCGAGAGGGAGGGGATGTTATGCCCTCTGCGCATGTTCAGGAGCTGGGCATTTGGGGGAGAACATCCCTTTACCCCCTTCCCCCCCCCAGTGGCATCATAGCTTCGAACGGCCGCTAAACAAACGGTCGTAACCCGAGGACCATCTCTAATTTTTAAATACACACCATTTATACCAATTAATACACATTCAATTAAATTGAAAGGTTGATTGTCAAAGAGGGGAATTTTATGCCGGCCCACGCAGCGAAAGCCATTTTTCTGGACTCGGAGCTGCTCTTCCTAACAACTCCGGCAAAGTTACGCCTGTTGGACGGTGACTCATCCCATTAACATCCAGCACAGTCATCTCGGCTCCAGACTTTTTCTGGGAAAATGGGATTTGTGTGTCTCTGTGTGTGTGTGTGTTTGTGTCGGCTGGCCGAATGGCGCAACTGAACAGCCAAACTTGGGGGGGGCGGGGTGGGGGGAGAGGGACCGATTTAAGGAACTCGTGGAAATATCCATATTTTTTTCTCGCCCCCCTCTTCTCTTTCCGCAGCCGTGGGGGTTTAAATAAAGAGTTTGCCTGTTGTTGTTGTTTTTTTTAAAAAAAGAGCCAGTTTGGTCTAGTGGGGAAGGTACCAGGTTAGAAAGCAGGAGACTGGGAGTTCTAGTCCCGCCTTCAGGCAAGAAAGACGGCTGGGTGACTTTGGGCCGATCACCAGGAGACGGAGGGAGTTCCAGTTGCTGTGGTTTAAAATTTAGACCTAAGGCAAAAAAAGAATTGAGTTTTGAAAAGCCAGCTTGGTGTCCCTGATAAGGCGCTGGCTAGAAACCAGGTGACTGTGAGTTCTAGTCCCACCTTTAGGCAGGAAAGCCAATTGGGCAACTTTGGGCCGATCACCAGGAGACAGAGAGTTCTAGTCTCGCCTTAGCTATGGAAGCCAGCTAGGTGACTTTGGGCCGATCACCAGGAGACGGGGAGTTCTAGTCCCGCCTTGGCCATGAAAGCCAGCTGGGTGACTTTGGGCCGATCACCAGGAGACGGGGAGTTCTAGTCCCGTCTTAGCTATGGAAGCCAATTGGGTGACTTTGGGCCAATCACCAGGAGACAGAGAGTTCTAGTCCCGCCTTGGCCATGAAAGCCAGCTGGGTGACTTTGGGCCAATCACCAGGAGACGGGGAGTTCTAGTCCCGTCTTAGCTATGGAAGCCAATTGGGTGACTTTGGGCCAATCACTAGGAGACGGGGAATTCTAGTCCCACCTTAGCTATGGAAGTCAATTGGGTGACTTTGGGCCAATCACTAGGAGACGGGGAGTTCTAGTCCCACCTTAGGCATGAAAGCCATCTGGGTGACTTTGGGCCAATCACCAGGAGATGGTGAGTTCTAGTCCCGCCTTAGCTATGGAAGCCAGCTGGGTGACTTTGGGCCAATCACCAAGAGACGGTGAGTTCTAGTCTCGCCTTGGCCATGAAAGCCAGCTGGGTGACTTTGTGCTAGCCCACCTCGCAGGGTCGTTGTCGCAGGGAAAATAGGAAGAGAAAGGTGTATTGGATATGCTTGCCACCTTGAGTTATTTGCCAATATAATAACCAACATAAACAGATCAATAAAATATTGCTCGCCCACTCGCCCACCCCTTCCCCATTCTGCCAGGTGCACCTTGGCACTGCCAGAAAGGGGAGGGGGGACAGAGAAAGGGAGCTTCCACACTGGGGAGCAGTCTACCTCCCGATCCCAGCAGCCGGGAAAGACGACGATCCCTCCGGATTGGCTGGGATCCGGTCCAAGCGGGGCTTCCGCCCCACCGGGGGGGGGGGGGGGGGGAAAGGTGCCCGTAAATGGATTTCCGCTCTGGGTCGAGACGGTGCCAGGGAACAATGCCGGGCATTGGTGTGCATTGAGCCACGGAGGGTTCAGGACGTGGCACACGGCAAGGGAGGACAAAGAGGGCCACGCCTGGCTACCCGCACGCACACACAACGGGCACAAAAGCAGCACAATCAAGAGAATGCATTCTGCAAGCCGGGAAACGAAGGGCCCGGGCGCAGGCAGCCATCCAAAACCTTCCATCAGCATTCTCGCTTCAAAAGAGGATTGTTCGAATCCGGCCGGGGCTGCAAAATGTCTCTTTCCCCCCAACCCCAAAAGAATGCTGATCTGTGGGATTGAAGCTTCGAAAACACACAACGATGAGCATCACGACGAGCAGGCCGAAGTTCAACCGGTGAAGCTTCTCTTCTTTTGTCATTCCCCCCACCCTCCCCCGGAGACACAGGTTTCACCCAAACCGGCTGAGGAATTTAGGTTTAACTGCGCTTGTTTATTTGTTTACTAAATTAAATGAAATGTATCCCTCCGTTAGCGAGGCCGGGGAATAAAATGTCGATTTAATAAATGGACGGATGAATAAAACGAGCGCATTTTTTTTTTCTTTCATCCCCGTCAAAAAAATTGGGGGGGGGGGGCTGATAGACAGGAATCAATTGATCAATTAAAGGAGGTTGAAAAAGTGAATTTTCAACCTGTAGGTTGTTGGATTGGATTGGATTTCCTGACCTTTCGTCCGGCTGTGAAACCACCGCATCGAGTTCAAATCTCGGTTTCTGCTGTTGGTTTTTGTGTTGCAAAAGGTGTCTGTCTCCATGCAAAAGAGGGGGTCTGGGGTGTGGGGGCTCCCCCAGGGGAAGGAAGGGCCCGTTTCCAGCTCCTGGGAGGCTGGAGATAACAAAGGGTGTGAGTCAGACTAAACATCCCGAAGAATTCCTGATTATATCAGCGAGGAGACGGTGGAACAAGTTGCCACTTGAAGAGGGAAGTTCTCCTTTTCTGGAGAGCTTCCAGCAGACATGAGATGGCTGTGTGGGTGTGTCACATGTTTAAGTGTAAGTGTGAATTTAAGTTTTTAAATTTAAGTGTGAGATCTTAGATCTTAGATTAAGATCTAAAGTCTAGTTTAGTTTAATTTAGGGTTTAGGTATAAGTGTAAGTGTGTGTTCAACTTTAAGTACGAGTTGTTTAAGTTTAAGTTTATGTTTAAGTTTAAGTTTAATTCAGTTCAGTTTAAATTTAGGTTAGGTTTAGGTTTAAGTGTAAGTGTGAGTTCAACTTTAAGTGCGAGTTGTTTAAGTTTAAGTTTATGTTTAAGTTTAAGTTTAATTCAGTTCAGTTTAAATTTAGGTTAGGTTTAGGTTTAAGTGTAAGTGTGAGTTCAACTTTAAGTGCGAGTTGTTTAAGTTTAAGTTTAATTCAGTTCAGTTTAAATTTAGGTTAGGTTTAGATTTAAGTGTAAGTGTGAGTTCAACTTTAAATGTGAGTTGTTTAACTTTATGTTAACTTTATGCGAGTTGTTTAAGTTTAAGTAAGTTTAAGTTTAAGTAAGTTTAAGTAAGTTTAAGTTTAATTCAGTTCAGTTTAAATTTAGATTAGGTTTAGGTTTAAGTGTAGGTGTGAGTTCAACTTTAAGTGTGAGTTGTTTAAGTTTAAGTAAGTTTAAGTTTAAGTAAGTTTAAGTTTAATTCAGTTCAGTTTAGATTTAGATTAGGTTTAGGTTTAAGTGTAAGTGTGAGTTCAACTTTAAGTGCGAGTTGTTTAAGTTTAAGTAAGTTTAAGTTTAGGTTTAAGTTTAAGTTTAATTCAGTTCAGTTTAGATGTAGGTTTAGGTTTAGGTTTAAGTGTGAGTTCAACTTTAAATGTGAGTTGTTTAACTTTATGTTTAAGTAAGTTTAAGTTAAAGTTAAGTTTAAGTTTAGTTCAGTTTATTTTAGTTTAGATTTAGGTTTAAGTGTAAGTATGAATTCACTCATATAAGTGAGTTTACTGATATAACTTTAACTTAAACTCACACACTCAAAGTTAGCCTTGAACTCACATTTAAACCTAAAATCTGAGTTTAAGATGAAGTGTGAATTCAAGTTTAACTTTAAGTGTGAGTTTAAGTCTAAGGTCTAAGATTTAAGTTGAGTTAAGGTTTGACGTTTCGTTTTAATTTAATTAAGGGTTTAAGTTTAGCTTAGCTTAGTTTAGTTTAGTTATTACTTATTGGTTAAATTTTCTTGCTGTGGGGTTACTCTGGGCCATTTGCAAGAATAAAACAAAACAAAAAAAAAAATGATTTAAAAAGAAATGTAAAGTTAACGATGGCTTATGCAGGTCCTCTTTTACGGACCTCTTAGGAACGGGGCGAGGTCCATAGTAGACGGTTTAATCCGGGTGTTTAATTTCAGAGGCCTGGGTGGGGCTTCCTTGCCTTACCTGTCGGACAGGTCTCGACAGGTAGGCTGGAGGCCTCGGCTCCTGTTCGGTCTGGACTTGCAAGAGACAAAGGCGGCATTTTAGAAGAAGCTGCCACGATCAGATGCTGTGGGGATGGTGCACACAAAGCCAGAGGAACCGGACGGATGAGTTGAGGAGATAAAAAATAAAATAAATAACCCCGAAGCAGAATATGACACCAAAATAGAACTAGGGATGTGAAGGGGGGACGCAGGGAGGAGAAATAGGATACCCAAAAACCTGCCCTTCTATTCCGAAAGCAATTGAAAATCATCTTCTTCTTCTTCTTCTTCTTCTTCTTCTTTTCTTTTTCTTCTTCTTCCTCTTCTCCTCCTCCTCCTCCTTTTATCTTTCTCTCCTTCATTCCTCTCTTCCTTCCATCTTCTCCCTTCTCTTCCATCATCTCCTTCTCTTCCTTCATCTGTCTTCTTTCCTTCCTTCCTTCCCATCCATCTACCTTCTCCTTCTCTTCCATCATATCTCCTTCCTCTCCTTCCTTTACTTCCTTCCTTCCCATCCATCTACTTTCTCCTTCTTTTCCATCATATCTCCTTCCTCTCCTTCCTTCCTCCTCCTCTCCTTCTTTGCTTTTCTTCCCTCCCTCCCTCCTTCCTTCTCCTTTATCCTTCATCTCCTCCCCCCCTCCTCAGGGGTGAAATCCAGCAGGTTCTGGAGAACCGGTAGCGGAAATTTTGAGTAGTTCGGAGAACTGGCAAACACCACCTCTGGCTGGCCCTAGAGATTTCGCAGTATCCTTCCCCTGGAGTGGGGTGGGAATGGAGATTTTGCAGTATCCTTCCCCTGCCACGCCCATTAAGCCACGCCCACAGAACCAGTAGTAAAAAAAATTGGATTTCACCACTGCCTCTCCTCCATCTTCTCATCGTCTTCCTCTATCATCTCTCCTTCGTCTTTCTCTCCTTCCTTCCTTCATCTTTCTTACTCCCTCCCTCCCTCCTTTCCATCACTCCATCCATCTCCTTCCTTCCTTCCTTCCTTCCTTCCTTCCTTCCTTCCTTCCTTCCTTCCTTCCTTCCTTCCTTCCTTTATCCTTCCTCATCCCCCCCTCCTCTATCACAATCAGAATTCAAAGTTCAAACCTCTACGCCAGCTATTGGGAGATCCATTGAATCTACTCTTCTCCAGTTCCCAAGATCTCCCGCCAAACTGGTTTGGCAAAAGAAATGAAATCTGGGTGAGGCTTGAAATGCAGAATCGGCTGGGAGGGAAGTGGGACCAGAAAGGCGAGAGGAAGGATCCGAAGGATCTGATTTGGGGAATCAAAGCAGAAGCCGTATCTCCATTACTGCTTTTTTCCCCCCCCTCCTTCTCCTATTTATCTCAACCGGGTAAGTGACTTTTCCTTCTTCCTCCTCCTCCTCCTCCTCCTCTCCTCCTCATGGCAAATTATTCCTTCCCTAAATCTCTTTTGCAAAAGGGAAGCGCAGGTGCCCAGCCTCCTTCGCCCCCAAAATGCTTTGCAAAGTTATTTGAAACCCGGGTTCGAAACCCAAAAGCCATCGGACTCTTAAAAAAAAAAAAAAAAAAACCAGAATAATTTCTCTTGCAGAATTTCTCTGCAAAAAACTGGCTCAACACCCTCCTTCAAAACCCTTGAAATTCAAAATAGAAACTCCTAACTAATCAACGTATTTTGTTCCAGTTGACTTTTTCACTCCGTTTCTCATTTTTTTTTCCCCCAATAAAGAAACACCCTTGGTACCGTTTTCCTAAATTCTTGGCCCAAGAAAACTGCTTCTAAAAATCTGTTTTTTTTTCCCCTAATTTTATTTCCCCCTCCTGTAATTCAGGAATTTTGACGGACGTTCCTCTTTAAGATGGATTTTTAATTTTTCGTTAAAAAATTAGATCGTGAACTCTGTGGGTCGTTCCTGACTTACGACCAGAGTTAAGAATTGGCATCCGCTAATTAAGACGGATATTCGGCGAGTTGCCCCCGATTTTACGACCATTTTTTTTTTCTGCCACGGTTGTTAAGCGAATCACAGCGGGCGGGCAGTGACTTTGCTGGTCGGTAGGTCGCAAAGAGAGATCAAGGGACCCCCCCAGAAGCCACGACCATCATAAATACAGGCCCCAATTTTGATCACACTGCAGAGGCTATGGCGGTTGTAAGTGCGAGGACAGGCCCCAAGTCACTTTCGCAACTTCCAACAGTCGCTAAGCGAACAATTACAGGTCGAGGAGGCCTATCCCATTAACAAGAGATGATTGTGACAATTGGGATACAAATTTCGTATGAAGAGGCCGAAGGATTGCAAAATTCGCACCATGGAGGTCCGTTTTATGAAAGGCGCGACGTCCTTCCATGATGACGACTTCCGCTCGGCCGTAAAGCAGATTGCTCAATCTTGTGCCTCTCCCCCCAGAATCCAAGATGGAGACCCCGCTTGAAGAAGCTTTGGGCGTGATGGTGGAAACCTTTTACAAATATTCGGCCAAGGAAGGAGACAGGTACAAACTCAACAAGACAGAGATGAAGGAGCTGCTTCTGGCGGAAATGCCCAATTTTGTCAAGGTGAGAAAATGCTCTTTTTATGCATTTATTGGGTTGATTTTGACGCCTGTCTCACAAAGCATCCCGGACCAGGAAAGGGTTTTATGCCGTGTCCGTCCATCCGTCCTTCCCTTTTCTTTCTGCCTCCTTCCTTCCACCTCAAATCTTTCTTCCTTCCTTTCTTCCTTCCCTCCTTCCTTCCTTCCCTGCAATCTTCCTTCCATCCTCCCTCCTCCCTTCCTTCCCTCTCTAATCTTCCTTCCTTCCTTCCCTCCCTCCTCCAATCTTTTCCTTTCTCCTTCCTTCCTCCCTTCTTTACCCCTCTATCCTTCCTGCCTCCTTCCCTCCTTCCTTCATTCCCCCCAATCTTCCTCCCTTCCATCCTCCCTCCCTTCTTCCTTCCTCCCTTCCCTCTCTAATCTTCCTTCCTTCCTTCCCTCCCTTTCTCCTCCAATCTTCTTTCCTTTCTCCTTCCTTCCTCCCTTCTTTACCCCTTCCTTCCTTTCCTTCCTTCCTTGAGGTTTTTATGAAGAAACTGGACAGCCGTTTATCTGAAACGGTCCTGGGTCTCCTGCCTGAGCAGGGGGTTGGACTAGAAGACCTCCAAAGTCCCTTCCAACTCCATTCTTCTGCCATTCTGTTATTCAGCCTCCAGAGTGTCTCTGATTTTTTTTGGAGGGAGGAAAAAAAAATATTCCAAGTTTTATTTCAACGTCGCTTCTCTCCTTTTCTTCTCTGCAGGGGAAGATCAACGAACGCGGCTTTGAATTCTTGATGGAGAAACTGGATGACAACGAAGACGAAGAGCTGGATTTCCAGGAATACGCTGTATTTCTGGCGCTGACGGCGTCTCTCTGCTACGAATTCTTCCAGGAATGTGCGGACGAGAGCAACCGGAAGCTATGAAGTCGCGGCTTTGGGGATGGGAGGGCAGGAGGGAATTTGGGGTGTTACGGCTCATTCTGCTAGCAAATAAAGATCGTGGGGTTTTTTTTTTAACGCACAACCCTGGTCGATCGCAAACCATCTTTCTTGAATGATTTTGAAAATTGATCTCTAGTACGCTGGTTTGCAAAATGTAGCGATGATGGATAAAAATCGATGGATTAAATTGATGATGGATAAAATTGATGATGGATAAAAATGAAGTGATGGATAAGAATTGAGGATGGATAAAAATTGAGGATGGATAAAATTGAGGATGGATAAAAATGAAGTGAGGATGGATAAAAATTGATGCATTAAATTGATGATGGATAAAAATTGAGGATGGATAAAATTGAGGATGGATAAAATTGAGGATGGATAAAAATTGATGATGGATAAAATTGATGATGAATAAAAATGAAGTGATAATGGCTAAAAATTGATGATGGATAAAAATTGATGATGGATAAAAACTGATGATGAATAAAAATGAAGTGATGATGGATAAAAATTGATGGATAAAAATTGATGATGGATAAAAACTGATGATGAATAAAAATGAAGTGATGATGGATAAAAATTGATGGATTAAATTGATGATGGATAAAAATTGATGATGAATAAAAATGAAGTAATGATGGATAAAAATTGATGGATAAAAATTGATGATGGATAAAAATTGATGATGAATAAAAAGGAAGTGATGATGGATAAAAATTGATGGATTAAATTGATGATAGATAAAACTGATGATGGATAAATATTGATGGATGAAAATTGATCATGGATGAAAATTGATCATGGATGAAAATTAATCATGGATGAAAATGAAGTGATGATGGATAAAATTGAGCCTTTAAAAACAAAATGAGCAAACAACGTCAGTATAAAATGGTATTTACGACCGTTCCTCGCACTTACGACCTTCACAGTGTTAAAATTTCGGGTGCTTAGGAATCAGCATGTATTTACGACGGTTCCAGCATCCCGGGGTCCCGTGATCCCCATTTTGCAACCTTCTGAACCGCCTTCCGACAAGCAAAATCAATGGTAATCCAGATTCGTTTAACGACAGCATGGTTCGCTTAACAGCTGCCTGAACTGACAACAGTTGTAGCACCGCATCCCAGCCGATTTCCGGCAAGCAGAGTCAACAGGGGACGGGGGGGGGGGGGGGAAGGAAGCCAGATTCATTTAACGACCATGTGATCTGCTTAACGACAACAATTCACTTAACGACCGCAGGGAAAAATGCTCTCAAAATCAGCCCTGCCCCTATCGGCTCTGTCCCGTAACCACTGCTTCGCTTAGCAACCAAAATCCCAATCCCGATGGCCGTCGTTAAGTCGAGAACTCGCCGTGCAGTGCAGCCCAGCCCGGCGTTTTCAGAGTGCGAGATAAAACACCGGGTGTCTTTGAAACAGGGTGTGTCAAAAACGATCGGTAGGTCGTCGTGCATTTTTGCCAAACCTGCTTGCACACTCCACAAAACAGGTGGCCTCCTTGGAGGAACACCGCCGGTTGAAATCCTGCCTGTTTTCGTTCCGGCTTTCCTGATGAATTCACTGCGGTGAACATCCTCCAAAGCGGACAAGCCCAGTTGGTACGTGTATATAAATTTATATTATTATTATTATTATTATTATTATTATTATTATTATTATTATTATTATTATTATTATTATTATTATCAAAAAAGATTGGTCAGGAAGAAATTATAGCTATTATAATATAGAAATTATATACCTCTGAAGGGCGTGCCAGTTTTTATTTTTTATTTTCTGCAGAGAGGAAAGGCAAAATAAACAAGGCCACCTTGAAAGCCAAAAAACAAACAATAAAAAAAAACCAACCCTTAAATGTTGTGTACTTTTCCAGAAATCACAATCTGGCAGTCTGTTACAACCACGAATGGCCCCGTATTTATGTTTGAAATGTCTAAAACGTGGATTCTTCCTGAAATTGGGACGGGTGGCACTCAAACCGGGAACGAAAACTGCAAAATAAAATAAATTTAACCGTCTTTCTTGGTGACGCCGTTCTGGAAGAGATGATCCAGAATGCAAAGGATCTTTAAAAATCCGTGCTTTTTTTTCCTGCCAATCTTTTAAGAGCTGACTTTTGTCGAAAGTCAGCTCTTAAAAGATTGGCAGGAAAAAAAAGCAGAAATTTGATTTTTATCTCGAAGGATTAAGGGCGGATTGGCAAAACAAATTCACGATGCGCCTTAAAAAGTTAAAGTTACATTCTTTAAAAGTAAGATTTTCTCACCCCATACCCCACACCTCCAGGGTTGGGTTTATTACGCTGATTTTCTGATCTGTTTGGACTTGTTTGATTTGATGGCGATTCCTTGGGAGGAAGGAACGATATAAAAACGTAGTAAACAAATCAACCACAAAAGGTTTTTGTGGATTTTAAACCTCCTGGCAAAGCCAAGGAACTGGCTGTCCTTATTTATTTACTTGAACAATACAACAAGGGACAAAAAAAAATTATGTTCACCCAAGCCAAGTTGCTGCAGAAAATGAAACAAATCTAACACAACACTAGTATAAGTAATCCTCAATTTATGACCATAATTGGGATGAAAATTTCAGTTGCTAAGCAGGTTAGCTAACTTATGTTTGGCTATCAGATGTTTAGCTTATCAAGTGTGATGTATGCTTTAGTTTGTAGTTTTAAGTAAGTTTTAAGTAAGTTGTAAGTTTTAAGGTCGTAGTTTGAAGTTTGCAGTTTATAGTTTTAAGGAAGTTTTAAGTTTTAAGATTGTAGTTTTAAGTTTTAGGTTTTAAGTTTTAAGTTTACAGTTTGCAGTTTTAAGTTTATGGTTTTAAGTTTTAAGTAAGTTTTAAGTTTGTAGTTTTAAATTTTAAGATTGTAGTTTTAAGTTCTGGATTTTAAGTTTACAGTTTGCAGTTTTAAGTTTATAGTTTTAAGCAAGGTTTAAGTTTAAGTTTGTAGTTTTAAGTTTGTAGTTTTAAGTTCTGGATTTTAAGTTTACAGTTTGCAGTTTTAGGCTTAATAGTTTTAAAATTTAAGTAAGTTTTAAATTTGTAGTTTTAAGTTTTAAATTTTAAGTTTACAGTTTGCAGTTTAGTTTATAGTTTTGTTTACAGTTTGGTGTAGTCCTCGACTTATGACAATTGGGATCATAATTTTGGCTGTAGGTGGATGTTAAGTGAGTCACACCAGATTTTAAAACCTTTTTTTTCCCCCACGGTTGTTAAGCAAACGACTGCAGCTGTTAAGTGAATCATACAGTCGTTAAACAAATCCGGCTTCCCTCACTGACTTTGCCGGTCAGAAGCCGCCAGGGAAGGCCGCAAACAGCGATCACGTAACTCCGGGACGCTGCGATCGTCATAAATACATGCCCATTGTCCGAATTTTGATCACGTGACAGGAAGGATGCTGAGAGAAGTGCGAGAACTAGACTCAAGCCACTGCTTTCAGAGCTGTCGTAACTTCGGATGGTGGCGAGATAAACGGTCGTAAATCGAGGACTGTTTCCTTGTTCCCGCAGGACCCCGTGCCGCAGCGATGACGCAATTCCAGACGTTGGAGCAGGCCCTCGGAGAGGTGGTGTGCACCTTTCAACGCTATTGCCGGAAGGAAGGGGACCGCAACACCCTGAGTAAAGACGAGCTACGGAGCCTCCTGCAGACCGAACTCCCCAGCTTGCAAACGGTAGGTGTCTCCCATCCGTATGCATTAAATCGATTTAATAAATTAATACATTAATTCCCAATGTCCTTTGAGGCACATCGCAGGGGGAAATGCTTCAAACCGTCCTAATTATTGGGGAATAATCTCTAATCAATAAGTTTTAAAGTTGCTTTAAAGTAGTTTTAAGTCAGTTTTAAAGTTTTTAGTAAGTTTTTACTAAGTCTTAAGTAAGTCTTAAGTAAGTTTTAAAGTAGTTTTAAAGTTGTTTTAAAGTTTTAAAGTTGTTTTAAAGTTGTTTTAAAATTATTTTAAAGTTTTAAAGTTGTTTTAGTTTTAAAGTAGTTTTAAAGTTTTAAAGTGTTTTAAAGTTTTAAAACATTTTAAAGTTTTTCAGTTAAATAAACGCAGGTAGCCCGCGACTTGCAACATTTCATTTAGTGACCGAAGTTCCAACGGCATTAAGAAAAAAAATGACTTGGGACCATCGTTCACGCTTAACGACCGCGGCAGCCTCCCCATGGTCATGTGATCAAAATGCAGACGCTCGCCAACGGACTTGGATTTATGACGGTTGCGGCGTCCCGGGTCGCTTCCATACCTGTTATTCTGTTATTATCCTTTTATTTATTCTGCTGGAGCAGAGGGCTGGACTAGAAGACCTCCGAGGTCCCTTCCAGCTTCTATTCTATTCTAAGGAGAAAGGAGGCGAGGAAAAGGGGTCCCTTCTGCCCCATCTTATTGCAAATCTCCATTTTTGTTTTGTTAAAACAAAAGCTGCAGATCAAAGGCCAGGCTTTGGAAGAAATGCTCACCCTGTTGGACACCGATCGGGACGGAGAGGTCACCTTCGAAGAATACATCCGCTTCGTGGCGGCCGCCTTCACCTTCTTCCACTTGCAGTTCCGCGATGCTCCCGTGGTCCAACCACGGGTCTAAGCGGGGGGGGGGAGTATGATTGCGGATGGCGTCGCTGTGAAGAGGTCGGCGGCTCTGGACAGACAGACGGATGGGTTTTTTCAGGTGGGGAGAGAGAGACAGCTGGAAGTTCTAGCAAAGAAGCAAAAATAAAACCTCATTAAAAAAAATCTGAATCGTCGCTTCGTTTTTGTTTGTTTCCTGACTTTTGTATTATTATTTTTTTTACAAAGGAAGCGATGAGGAATGTACCTCATGCTCCTTTCCCCCCTCTTATTTTTTCCTCACGGCAACTTTCCTTTCCCCCTCTTATTTTTTCCTTTTCCCCCTCTTATTTTTTCCTTTCCCCCTCTTATTTTTCTTATTTTCTTTCTTTCTTTCTTTCTTTCCTTATTTTTCCTCACAGCAACTTTCCTTTCCCCCTCTTATTTTTTCCTTTCCCCTTATTTTTCTTATTTTCTTATTTTCTTTCTTTCTTTCTTTCCTTATTTTTCCTCACAGCAACTTTCCTTTCCCCCTCTTATTTTTTCCTTTCCCCCTTATTTTTCTTATTTTCTTATTTTCTTTCTTTCTTTCTTTCCTTATTTTTCCTCACAGCAACTTTCCTTTCCCCCTCTTATTTTTTCCTTTCCCCCTCTTATTTTTCTTATTTTCTTTCTTTCTTTCTCTTTCTTTCTTTTTTTATTTTTCCTCTCAGCAACAGTGCTGGGATGAGAAGGAAGGACTGGCCCAAATTCACCCGGTCAGCTGGCTTTCCTGGCCAAGGCAGGACTAGAACTCACCACCTCCTGGTGGTTGGCCCAAAGTCACCCAGCTGGCTTTTCGTAATTTATTTGCTTTTCTATAGATTTATTAGATTTTTATCCACTCCCAAATCAGAGGCTTTTGGCCTGCTCTCTCTTGCTCTCTCTCATATTTTCTCTCCCCTCCCTTCCTCTCATTCTCTCTATTCTCTTTCTCCCTTTCTCTCTCTTCCTTTCTTTCTTTCTCACTTTTTCTCTCATTCTGTCTCATTCTTGCTTCCCTCCTTTCCTCTTTCTATTCTCTCATTCTATTTTCTTCCTCTCATTCTATTTTCTCTCATTCTTTCTCCTTGTTTCTTTTTTCCTTTCTCTCGTTCTCTCTTCCCTCCCTTCCTCTTTCTATTCATTATATTTTCTCTCTCTCTTTCTGTTTCTTTCTCTTTTTTCTTTCTCATTCTGTCTCTTATTCTCTTCCCTCCCTTCCTCTTTCTATTCTTCCTCTCATTCTATTGTCTCTCATTCTTTTTCCCTTTGTTTCTTTCTCACTTTCCCCCCCTCTTTCTCTCTTTCCTCCCTTCCTCTTTTCTCTGTTCTTTCTCATTTTCTCCCTCTCTCATTCTGTCTCTCATTCTTTCTTTTTCTTTCTCTCTCTCTCATTCTCTGTCTCTCATTCTTTCTCTCGTCTCTCTCATTCTTTCTCTCTCTCATTCTTTCTCTCCTGCTGCTTTTGTAGTTTCCGAAGCCATTTGGCTGCCACAGCCTTTTTGGTGCCAAACCACAGGGGGAAAAAATGGTCAGAGGAATTTAGGGCTTAGAGAAGGGGAAACAGCCCTTCCAACGTGACACCATCCAAAGGCAGAAAATCCCACCGCCGTTCCTATTGGCCTCTCGGAGAGCTGGGGGAGGACCCCTGGACGCCCCAAATAAAAGCCCAGATTAGCCAAGGTTACAAATAATGGTCGGATGGCCAGGGGCTCTTCATTCTGCCCACTCAACTCCAGCCTCAGTTTCCGGTCCGGCTCGCTCTGGTAAGTGGGGGAGTTTCTCTGGGCCAGAGAAAAAAGATCTGCCCCGATCCCAAAAAGATTCCCCTTTAAGGAGGAGATTTAGAAGCAGGATCAGGGCCAGGTTGGCTTCATGTTCAGATGGAATCTGGTAGGATGGAGAGATTGACAGAAAGAAAGAAAGGAAAGGAGAGGAGAGGAGAGGAGAGAGGAGAGGAGAGGAGAGGAGAGGAGAGGAGAGGAGAGGAGAGGCAAGGAAAGGAAAAAGAGAGAGAAAGGAAAAGAAAGGAAAGGAGGAAAGGAAAGGAAAAAGAGAAAGGAAAAGAAAGGAAAGGAAAGGAAAAGAAAGGAAAGGAGGAAAGGAGAGGAGAGGAGAGGAGAGGAGAGGAAAGGAGGAAAGGAAAGGAAAGGAGGAAAGGAAAGGAGAGGACAAGAGAGAAGAGAGGAGGAGAGGAGAGGAATAGAAAGGAGGAAAGGAAAGAAAGAGAGAGAAAGGAAAGGAAAGGAAGAGAGAGAAAGGAAAGGAAGAGAGAGAAAGGAAAGGGAGAGAGAGAAAGGGGAGGGAAAAAAAAGAGAAAGGAAAAAAAAGTAAGGAGAGGAGAGGAGAGAAAAGAAAAGAAAGGCAGTGGCAGAAAGGGAAGGGGAGGATGGAGAGAAAAAAGGGGAAAGAAGAGAAAATGAAGGAATGATGGAAAGAAGTAAGGAGAGAGGGATAGAGAGGAGGAAGGAAGGAAGGAAGGAAGGAAGGAAGGAAGGAAGGAAGGAAGGAAGGAAGGAATTATTCACAAATAACCCTTCCCTTTCTACCCACTCTGGATAAATCCTGCTGCCAAAATTGCTCTCCTTGTTAGCCCCTCAGCCTCCTCTTCCAAACAGCACCTAATTGCAATTTTATTCCCCTATTATTTATCAGTGGAGAGTCCCACCCCAAAGAGAAAACCAGGAATGGCGCAAGGCAAAAATCTAATAAGTGTAACCCCACCCCACCCCACCCCCAGTTCAATTGCAGCGGCTGGCAGGTCGCTCTGTGAAAGCAGCCTCTGGGCGTGTGCAAAGTGCTTTCCCTGCCGCCAGACTACAAACCTCCAAATACCTGCAGGAAGGGGTGGGGAGAGAAGAAGAGGATTTGAACCCTAAAACAAACATCAGCAGCTCCAAATTTATCCTCTGGGCTCCGGCTATCTGCATCCCCCCCCCTTTGGGTTTAATTTTTCCGACTTTTAAAAGTGCTGCTTTCTCCTCCTTTGCCTCGGATGCCGTCCCAAAGGTGCCAGCCTGGCATCCGAATGACTCACCCTTTCCTCTCTTCTGCTATGGGGATTCGCCCCACCCTTTTTCCCCCCGAGGGAGGGCTGGCGTGGGCGTCCCAGAGCGAGGGGGAACGGTCAGGAAGGAGGAGAAAAAACTAGGTTAGGGGCTTGGAAAGGAGGCGTTTTTTTCCCCCCTCTGTAAAAAAAATTAGGATGCATCCTAGCCACAAAAACCACAGGCACACAATCCTGTAGATGCCTTCTTTCCTTTCCTTCTCTCCATCCCTCTTCCTTCCTTCCTTCCTTCCCATCCTTCCTTCCTTTCCTTCCTCCATCCTTCCTTTCATCCCTCTCCTTTTCCATCCCTCCTTCCTTCCTTTCATCCCTCTTCTCCTCTTCCCTCCTTTGATCCATTCCTTTCTTCCTTCTCTTTGTTCCCTTCTGCATCCCTCCCTCCCTTCCTCCCTTCCTTCTTCTTGTATCTCTTCTTTCCTTTTCTGACTCGTTCCTTCCTGTGCCTTTTCTTTCTTTCCTTCCTTCCTTCCTCCCTCCTTTCCTTCCTTCCTCTTGTATCTCCTTTCCTTTTCTGATTCCTTCCTTCCTGTGCCTTTTTTTTCCTTCCTTCCTTCCTCTTGAATCTCTTCTTTCCTTTTCTGACTCCTTCCTTCCTGTGCCTTTTCCTTCCTTCCTTCCTTCCTTCCTTCCTTCCTTCCTTCCTTCCTTCCTTCCTTCCTTCCTCTTGAATCTCTTCTTTCCTTTTCTGACTCCTTCCTTCCTGTGCCTTTTCCTTCCTTCCTTCCTTCCTTCCTTCCTTCCTTCCTTCCTTCCTTCCTTCCTTCCTCTTGTATCTCTTCTTTCCTTTTCTGACTCCTTCCTTCCTGTGCCTTTTCTTTCTTTCCTTCCTTCCTTCAAGGGGTTCTCTGACCGGTTGTTGGGTGGGCGTGGCCTACTCAGCCTCCTGCACCACGGCGGGAGGGGGGGTGCTTTTGCCCTCCCCGGGATCCGGAGGCTTTCCTTGAGCCTCTGGGTGAGCGAAAACGGCCTCCCCAGGCTCCGAAGGCCCATTTCCGGCCATCCCAAACTTCCGATAGGCTCGTTTTTCGCCCTCCCTGAGCCTCTGTGTGTGCCCGGCACTTATCTGCATCCAAAATGGGTCGCATGGGGACTCCTAGGAGAGGCGAGGCGGGGTGGGGTGGGCGGGGCCAGCCAGAAGCGGGATTTGGGGGTTCTCCGAACTGCACAGAACCTTAGCTGGAGGTTCTCCTGACCCCGTGAACCCCCACCAGCCCACCCCTGGCCATGGTTAACCCCCCCCCCATGTTAACGCTTCATTGGCACAAGATGCTACTATCCCTCCCGCCACTTCCGTCCGATTCCCCAACTCCATCCTCTTTCAACAGCATCCGAAAATGGCCACCCCCTTGGAGAAAGCCCTGGACACCATGGTAGTCACCTTCCACAAATATTCCCAGAAAGAAGGAGACCAGTTCAAACTCAACAACACGGAACTGAAGGAGCTGCTGAAACAGGAGCTGCCCGGATTCATTAGCGTAAGTGCCTCGCTCCGTTAACTCCAAGGACTCCGTTTGGTCCTCGGCTTACGACCAAAGTTGAGACCCCAAACCTCTGTCAGTAAACCCTTGCTGAGCGAGCTTTGTCCCGTGTTACCACGTTTTCTGGCCACGGAGGTGAAGGGAACCCCTGCCGGTGTTAAGTGAGTCACACGGTCGTTGAGTGAAGCTGCTGTCTGAATTTTGATATGGATATATACTGCGAGGGTCGAAAAGTCTGAAAAACTGTCGTAAAGTCACCTTTTTGTGGTGCCGTTGTAACTTCACATGGTCACTAAATGAATGGTTATAAGTGGGGGACTACCCATACCCGTGATGGCGAATCTATGGCATGCGTGCCAGAGGTGGCACACACAGCCCTCTCTGTGGGCACACGCACCGTCGCCGGCAGCTCTTCTGCTTTCTGGGACGCCGACCAGCTGGTCTTCGCAGCTGCCGGAGCGCCGGAAAACAGCCTGAAAACGGCCGAAAAACAGGCCATTTGGGGGCCTTTTTCAGGGTCATTCTCCAGCCGTTTTTTGGGCCATTTTGAGGCCTGTTTTTGTCCTGAAAAATGGCCCAAAAACAGCCTGAAAACAGCCAAAAAACAGGCCATTTGGGGGGCTTTTTCTGGGCCCTTTTCTGGCTGTTTTTTGGGCCCTTTTCAGGCTTGTTTTTGTCATGAAAAATGGCCCCAAAACAGCCTGAAAACAGCCAAAAAACAGGCCATTTGGGGGCCATTTTGAGGCCTGTTTTTGTCCTGAAAAATGGCCCAAAAACAGCCTGAAAACGGCCAAAAAACAGGGCATTTTTGGGCCTTTTTCCAGGCCATTTTCCAGCTGTTTTTGGGCCCTTTTCAAGCCTGTTTTTGTCCTGAAAAATGGCCCCAAAACAGCCTGAAAACGGCCAAAAAACAGGCAATTTGGGGGGCCATTTTGAGGCCTGTTTTTGTCCTGAAAAATGGCCCAAATAACAGCCTGAAAAACGGCCAAAAAACAGTCCATTTTGGGGGCTTTTTCTGGGCCATTTTCCAGCTGTTTTTTTGGGCCCTTTTCAAGCCTGTTTTTGTCCTGAAAAATGGCCCCAAAAACGGCCTGAAAACGGCCCCAAAAATGGCCAAAAAACAGGCTGCTTTTCGAGCCGTTTTTCTGTGCTGTTTTCAGGCCAGAACTGCCCCCCAAAATGGCCTGAGAACAGCCAAATAAACGGCATGAAAATAGCCAAAAAACAGGCCATTTGGGGAGCTTTTTCCGGCCTGTTTATGCCCTGAAAAATGGCCCCCAAAACAACCTGAAAACGGCCAAAAAACAGGCCATTTTGGGGGCTTTTTCTGGGCCATTTTCTGGCTGTTTTTTGGGCCCTTTTCAGGCTTGTTTTTGTCATGAAAAATGGCCCCAAAATAGCCTGAAAACGGCCAAAAAACAGGCCATTTGGGGGCCATTTTGAGGCCTGTTTTTGTCCTGAAAAATGGCCCAAATAACAGCCTGAAAACGGCCAAAAAACAGGCCATTTTGGGGGCTTTTTCTGGGCCATTTTCCAGCTGTTTTTTTTGGGCCCTTTTCAAGCCTGTTTTTGTCCTGAAAAATGGCCCCCAAAACAACCTGAAAACAGCCAAAAAACAGGCCATTTTGGGGGCTTTTTCTGGGCCATTTTCCGGCTGTTTTTTGGGCCCTTTTCAGGCTTGTTTTTGTCATGAAAAATGGCCCGAAAACAGCCTGAAAACGGCCAAAATACAGGCCATTTGGGGGCCATTTTGAGGCCTGTTTTTGTCCTGAAAAATGGCCCAAAAACAGCCCAAAAACAGGCCATTTGGGGGGCTTTTTCTGGGCCATTTTCCGCCTGTTTTTGTCCTGAAAAATGGCCCCAAAAACGGCCTAAAAACGGCCCCAAAACGGCCAAAAAACAGGCTGCTTTTCGAGCCGTTTTTCCGGGCTGTTTTCAGCCCAAAACTGCCCCCCAAAATGGCCTGAGAACAGCCAAATAAACGGCATGAAAACAGCCAAAAAACAGGCCATTTGGGGGGCTTTTTCCAGGCCGTTTTCTGGGCCATTTTCAGGCCTGTTTTTGGCCTGAAAAATGGCCCCCAAACGGCCTGGAAACAGTCCCCAAAACGGCCAAAAAACAGGCTGCTTTTCAGCCCGTTGTCAGGCCAAAAACGGCCCCAAAACGGCCTGAGAAGAGTCAAATAAATGGCCTGAAAACGGCCATTTCCCTCCCCTTCTGTCCTCCCCCCAAAAAATTAAACGCTCCGCTTTTTGTTTTTCCCCCAGAAGAAAAAGGACGAATCCACGTTTCAAAAAATCATGAGCAACCTAGACTCCAACAAAGACAACCAGGTGGATTTTCAAGAATACGCCACCTTCCTCGCTTGTATCGCCATGGCGTGCAACGATTTTTTTCACGGCTTCCCGGACAAGATGCCGCGACAGAAATGAAACGGGGGGAGGCGGCGGCGTGCGACACACGAGCGGGCCGGCGTGCAAGACGGGCGGGCAGAATTCACAGGTGTGTGTAAAATGGCTCCCCCCCCCGTAGCCTTTCGTTGGTGCAACAGCTTTGAGAGGGCGAGTCTTGTCCGGCGGGAATAGCCAGCCTCTCTCTCTCACACACACACACACGCATGCACACACGCACATCCCGACAACAAAATAAAGTTTGCTTTCAAAAAAAAAAATAATAATACTCAAAAAAAAGCCTTTTGGTGTTTCTGCTTGTCTCCTGAAGGGCTGGGGACGATGGGCATTGGAGTTCGGGGCTTGGGGAGGAGGCCTGGTTTAGACAACTGTCTACGGGTTTGAACTGAATGGGTTGAAGGAAGGAGGGAGGGAGGGGAGGAAGGGAGGAGCAAGGGAGGAAAGAAGCAAAGGGAGGGAGGTGAGGAGGGAGTGAAGGAAAGAAAGAAGGCAGGAAGGAAGGAAGGAATAGAGAGAAGGAAGGAAGGAAAGAAGCAAGAAGGGAAGGAGGAATGGAGGGAAGAAAAGAAAGAAGGAAGGAAGGAATAAAGAGGGAAGGAAGGAAATAATTAAGAAGGGAGGGGAGAGAGTGAGAAGAAATAAGGCAGGAAGGAATAGAGAGAAGGAAGGAAGGAAAGAAGCAAGAATGGAAGGAGGAATGGAGGGAAGATAAGAAAGAAGGAAGGAATAAAGAGGGAAGGAAGGAAACAATTAAGAAGGGAGGGAGTGAGTGAGAAGAAAAGAAATAAGGCAGGAAGGAATAGAGAGAAGGAAGAAGGAAGGAAAGAAGCAAGAAGGAAGGGAGGGAAGGAGGGAGGAAGGAAAGAACGAAGGAATAGAGAGAAGGAAGGAAAGAAGCAAGAAGGAAGGGAGAGAAGGAGGAATGGAGGGAAGGAAAGAAGGAATCAAGAAGGGAGGAAGGAGGGAGAAGAAAAGAAAGAAGATGGAAGGAATAGAGAGACAGAAGGGAAGAAGCAAGAAGGAGGGAGGAAAGGAGGGAGGGAGGGAAGGAAGGAAAGAACAAAGGAAAGAATAGAAAGAGGGAAGGAAGGAGGGACAAAGGGAATGGAGAGAAGTCGGGAGGGAAGGAATAGAGGGAAGGAATGAAAGAAGAAGGGAACGGAGGAAGGAAGGAGTAAAATGAATGGGGAGGAAAAAGAAAAGGGTTAAAAAAGGAAGGAAGGAAAGAGAAGGAAGGAAAATGGAAGGAGAAAGAAAAGCTTCAAAGCAAAGAAGCTGACTGGTCAACTCTTCAAAAAAAAAAAAAAAAAAACAAAAAAACCAAGAACTTTAATTTCTTGCAAACTCACTGCAGGCAGGAGCATCTCTGGCCTGGCCGCCTTGGTCCCTGGCTTCCTCCGTTGCTAGGCAACCGCTTGCCTCCTGCATCCCCTTGGTCCTGCCCAGAGGGATTAAAGATGCTGCTAAAATCCTGAGAATGGCACCTTTTCTTTTCCTCCCTTTATTATTTTGTTTTTAAATGCCAACCTTTTGACTAAGATCAGATTCTATATTTTTGATTTATTTTTTTCCCCCTCTGGCAAAAAGCCTCCTTCGACTTTACAAAATAAACAAGAAAGAAAGAAAGAAAGCAGGACTGGTTGCATTTCTGCCAGCTACGAAACCGATTTAATCTTTGAAAGTTCTGTTTTTTTGTTTTTTTTTAAAGTTATAACTTTAATATCTTTCTGGTATATTTGGTTTCCTACTTCCTTCTACTTTTTTTCCTTATCTTTCAGTTCTTTCTTTTTGTTTATTTCTTTGCTTTCGGTTCTAATTTATATTAGTTCTTTATGGCTTGCTCTTAAAACTGTCAATAAGAATTATTTATTAAAAAAAAAACCCATTGTATCTTTATATCTTTCTTTATATCGTTTGTTCTGCTTTTTATCTTTTGGTTCTTCCTCTTGTTTACTTCTTTCCTTTCCGTTTTAATTTCCATTAGTTCTTATAGTTGTTCTTAAAACCGTTGTTAAGAATTATACATAAAAAACTTGTATCTTGATATTTTTTTCTTTTTATTCCTTCCTTCCTTTCCTTCTTTCTTTCTTCTTTCCTTCCTTTCCTTCTTTCTTTCTTCTTTCCTTCCTTCCTTTTCTGTCTTTCTTTTTCTTTCCTTTTCCATTTTATATTTAGTTGCTCTTAAAATTATCAGTAAGAATTATACATTAAAAAACATTATATCTTTATATCATTTTTCTACTTGATTTTTTCTCCCTTCCTTTCCCTTTCCTTCTTTCTTTTCCTTTCTTTCTTTTTCTTCCTTCTTTTTCTCCCTTCCTTCCTTCCTTCTTTCTTTCTTTTATCTTTCCTGTTCCATTTTATTTTATATTACTATTGCTCTTAAAATTATCAATAAGAATTATACATTAAAAAACATATCTTTATATCCTTTTTCTACTTCCTTGTTTTTATTCCTTCCTTTCTCTTTCCTTTCCTTTTCTTATTTTCTTTCTTTCTTTCTTTTTCTTTCTTTTTCTTCCTTCCTTCCTTCCTTTCTTTGTCTTTCCTGTTCCATTTTATTTTATATTACTATTGCTCTTAAAATTATCAATAAGAATTATACGTTGAAAAAAACATGATCTCTCTTTTCTACCGCCTTCTTTTTCGCTTATCTTTTCGTCCTTTCTCTGCTCCGTTTTACTTCGTGATCCTTCTCCTTATCGCTCTTCGAACTTCCGGTAAGAGTTATACATACAAATTCTGTCTTATGTATCTTTTCACACATCACTTCTACTTCCTTCTGTTTTCTTTTCTGATCGCACCTCTCGTTCTTCCTTCAACGTCTCCCTTCCTGTTTCCTTCCTTTCCCTAACCTATTTCAGTTGGCGTTGAGTTCTCTTGATTCCTCATCAACTTTTAATAAAATTTATTACATTTTTTTTTTTAAAAAAAGGAACTTTTTTTTTTCTTTTAAAAAGAAAATCAGGCGAGGAGATGCATGTTAAAGTTGGAAGGAGGCAGAAGGGACTCAGAGGGTGGGCCGATTCTGGAAAAATTTCCTGCCAGGGAGGTCTGAACTTCTAAATGGGTGTTTTAAGCTACATCAGATCTGGGGTGTTTTGATCTCAGATCAAACCAAGGTGGAACCCAGAGGGAGAATGCAATGGGTCCCCGGAGGCTTTTGCCATGTTCCTTTCTGCTAGCATCACACTCCCTAGAGACCCCACACCGTGAGTATAAGACGATACTTAAGCCACCACACCCAATTCCCTGCTTTGCCTCTTCAAGCCCATCGTCCACGTCCTTCGGTGAGTTGCTTTTATCTATCTGGTATCGATTTTAAAAACGATTCAAATTGGGACTCGGAGACTCTAAATGAAGTATCTTCCCTCCTGTATTTCCCACGCGTTGGTCTTTTGTAAGAAGTGTTTTAAAAAAAAAAAAAAAAAATCTGCTTTTTTTCTTTTTGGTTGAGAGAAGCAAGCCTCCAGATTTAGGCGCAGTCTACCTCAGAATTCTGGTTTCTGAACTGTAAAGGAAGGATTTTCGCCCTTGGCATCCTGCCTGTAGGTTTCCCAGTAATGCCAGGTTAGCCCTAATAATAATAATAATAAGGAATAATAATATATGACATTTTAGCTGCCCGAGTCTCAGTGACTCCAGGATGAGAAAAGCACCTGAATTGGAACTAAAAACGTTGGGATTTTTTTTTTTTAATTCAAATGTTATCGCAATCGGGGCTTCTGGCAGAGCCTGTAAATTACTAAAGTTTTCCTGTTCAGCCGGCTTTTGGAGATAAATGCCGGTGCTGTGAACATAATACGTAATAAATATTTAGTGGATCGTTATGCTAATATATTCTAAATTCACAAATCTTTTCATCTCTGAAAAGGCACACCCGTTGCTAAGCAGGAGGCTTACAGGCCAACCACCAAGTTAGTTGGAATTATAAGGAAGCATTATTTAATTTTCCAGTGGTCTGAGCTTGCTTAATGTTTGATCAAGGCGGTGGCTTTTTCAAATTTGTACCTATTTACTCAGCTTAATATGAGTCAGTCCTTTGCAGAAGCTTTTAAGCGCATCCCTTTAAAAAAAAGAAGAAGAAGAAGAATTTAAAAGCAACAGGGCCCTTGCTGATTTTTTTTTTTTTCCCTACGCCACTTCCTTCTTTTCCTTCTGGCCTCTGCTCCTCTTATCGAAACTGCAAAAACTGTTATTTTTGCAAACTCTCCCACTTGCAAAGATTTGCCTACTGCGTTCACGGAAGCCCTGGCAACGGATCAGGCTGATGGCTGAGCTTTATAACAAGTAGATTCAGGAGATGGATGGATGGATGGATGGATGAGAAGGAGAGAGAGAGAAAGTGGGAGAAGGAGAAAGCGAGAAGATAGGCAGGCAGAGAAGGGAGGGAGGGAGGGAGGAAGGAAGGAAGGAAGGAAGGAAGGAAGGAAGGAAGGAAGGAAGGAAGGAAGAAAGGAAGAACTGGAAGGGAGAAGGAAGGAAAATAGGGAGATGAGAGGAAAAAAAGAGGGAGGGAAGAAAAAGAGAAAGAGAAAGGAGGAAAAGGTAGATAATATCACAGTTTCAGATAGACAGATAAAGAGATAGATAGATAGATAGATAGATAGATAGATAGATAGATAGATAGATAGATACACAGATACACAGATAGAAAAGCTAGAAAGACAGAAAAATTGGAAGAAAAATGTAGATAGATGATAGATACCGTAGATAGATGGATGGATGGATGAATGGATGGATGGATGGACGATAGGTGAGAGTGAGAGAGAGTGATAGACAAATAGAAGATAGATAGATAGATAGATAGATAGAGGGATGGACGATAGGTGAGAAAGAGAGAGAGGTGATAGACAAATAGATGATAGATAGATAGATAGATAGATAGATAGATAGACAGACAGACACAGATAGAAAGCTAGAAAGACAGAAAAATTGGAAGAAAAATATAGATAGATGATAGATACCGTAGATAGATAGATAGATAGATAGATAGATAGAGGGATGGACGATAGGTGAGAATGAGAGAGAGGTGATAGACAAATAGAAGATAGATAGATAGATAGATAGATAGATAGATAGATAGATAGATAATCAGATAGAAATATATAAATATTTGGCGGCTAATAAATGCAAATATTTATTTATGGCATACAACCAAACTATAGATATTCAACTCCCAGAATTCCCCCAGCCAGCATGCTTTCTATCTAATTCTCAGGGTGTTTAAAGTTCCATTCATGCAAACTTGGGGGGGGGGATTCCGGGAAGCGAAGTCCACCACACACACCTTCCAGGCCCCAAGTTTGCAAAACACTGCTCTGGAGACACAACCAGCCCACCACACAAAACCCTACACACACCCGTCCGGTCCCTTGAATGAATGCTCCTTTTTCCATATTCTGAATTTCGCTCCGTGCTCGCTTTCCGTCTCTAGGCAGAGAGGCGGTCTGTGTGTCCATCCGTCCTGAATCAGAAGAATCTCTACCCCCCTTTCTGAATTATTCCCCACCCACCCACCCCCTCCTCCCCACAGCCCTTCTGCAAATATTTTGAGACGGTGATGATGTCTCTCTGTATGCATCGGATGACTTTGGTTTGCTCCAAATATTTTCAGCTTAAGTTGGACACTCCAAGCACCAATATTAGGAGTGCATGAGGATCAGGGTGGGATGGGCATTGCACTCATCTGCTCACAGATGAGTGCAATGTTAACGTTGCACAAAAGTTATCTTAAATTTCTCACAGTTCCTTTGCAAGGAACTCCTTGGCTTTTCGAAAACACCCACTTCAGACTTTGCTCTGGGAATCCAGGGCCTTTTGCAAGAGGTCTGGATTCCAACTCCCAGCAGCCACAGCCAGATGAGTAAAATCTTCCCCCTCTGCAAGTCAGAACGTTAAACGAAACACTTACCCAGCTGAGTAGAAAGATGGCAGCCCAAATCCGGCGTGATTTTGCAAAAAAAAAAGAGAAAAAAAAAAAAAGCAACTTGGCTCGCTTGCGCAAGTTCTCCATTTCAAGTCTTTTTTTAGCCGTTTAAGGCAGTCTGCTCTCCAGAGAGATTCTGGGGGTTTAAAAAAAAATATATACATAAATACACATATATATATATATATATAAACACACATACATATATACATATGCATAGAGCGATACATATGAAGAAACATTTAAAGAAATATTTGATCAATAATTAATCAAATATTTAAAGAGAGAATTTCATCTATAAATTTAATCAACGGATAAACTGCTGTAAATTTAATCGAGGGATAACAGAATCCCTGGGTTTTGTCGATCAGAAATCAGCACTTATTGGGGGGAAAAAATAGAGAGAGCTGATGAAATGCCTCTTAAGGAAAGAACATGTACCCCTTCTCCCTAAAACCAAAATTTTAGAGTTAAGATTAAAGATTGAAAAAAACCCAAGAGTTTAGATTTTATTGGACAAATTCCAAATAAAAGACTTACATCGGGCGGGGGTGAGGGTGGGAAAACACATTAAAAAATATAGCTTATATAGGGCAACAATTACGAACCAATAGAAAAATTGGCATTTTTAAATATATATATTTCTCATATGGAAACTTTTAAGATACATGGACTTCAGCTCCCAGAATTCCGCAGTATATGGAAACTTTTAAGATAGATAGACTTCAACTCCCAGAATTCCCCAGTATATAGAAACTTTTAAGATACGTGGACTTCAACTCCCAGAATTCCCCAGTATATGGAAACTTTTAAGATAGATAGACTTCAACTCCCAGAATTCCCCAGTATATAGAAACTTTTAAGATACGTGGACTTCAACTCCCAGAATTCCCAGTATATGGAAACTTTTAAGATAGATAGACTTCAACTCCCAGAATTCCCAGTATATAGAAACTTTAAGATACGTGGACTTCAACTCCCAGAATTCCCCAGTATATGGAAACTTTAAAGATACATGGACTTCAACTCCCAGAATTCCCCAGTATATGGAAACTTTTAAGATAGATAGACTTCAACTCCCAGAATTCCCCAGCTGGGGAAAAACATTTCCCAGCCAGGGGAATTCTGGAAGCTGTAGTCCACGTCTCTTAAAAAGTGGCTAAAACGGGAGAAATGATGAAGTAGAGAAAGCCGAATATAAAAAGCGGGTTGGAAACTTTTTTAAGAGACGTGGACTTCAACGCCCAGAATTCCCCAGTTAGAGGGAAAGACATTTCCCAGCCAGGGGAATTCTGGGAGTTGAAGTCCACAGATCTTAAAAGGGAGAAATGACAAAAGTAGAAGACGCTGAATATAAAAACCGAGTTATTACAGAGGCCGGAAATTAAATGCAGGTGTGGAAATAATACTCGGCGAATGCAAAAATCAGATCGTGAACCCCCCCCCTCCTCTATCTCCACGTGCAATTGATGGAAAGCCCCCCACCACCATTTCTCCTTTTCCAGACCATCCTCAGTGGACTCAGTGAATCCATGGAGACCCCTCTGGAAAAAGCTTTGGCCACTCTGGTGTGCACCTTTCACAAGTACTCAGGCAAAGAAGGTGACAAATTTACTTTGAGCAAACAAGAATTGAAGGAGCTGATAAAACAGGAGCTGGCGTTGGGAGAGGTAAGCGGGCTGGGGAAGGGGCAAACGCGCCCCTCGCTTAATGGACCAAGCTAAACTGGGTACATTTTAAAAAAAAAAAATGCATGAAAAAAAAAAAACGCAAAAAACTCAGCCTGGGTTTCTAGTCCTCATGATTCCAAGGGCCAAGATCGGTTTTGGGTCGTCCTTGGCTTATGACCATCGCCCAGCCCGCAATTTCGGTTGCAAAGGGGAGTGACCCCCCACGATCGTGCCCAATTGGGCGCCCTTTTCTGCGGGCGTTAAGCGAACGCAGCGGTCACTAAGCGGAAGCTGTGTTGACCACGGGGGGGGGGGGGGTTTCACTGGAAACTGAAGGTAAATGCCGGCATGCAGAGAACATAAAACGCAGTCACGTGCCAAGAGTCGTAAAGGCGGATCAGTTGCCGAGCCACGAAAAACGGGGTCCTACGAGCTCGGAGGAGGGTGAGGAATATTGAGACAGGTGATCGAGTCCCGTTTTGGGACTTGCTAAGCGACCGGTCGTACATCAAGGAGGACTGTACCATACGAACCCTTCTGGGTCTCGGAATATATGAGGACTAGAATCCCAAGTTGAGTTTGGAATTTGCGTTAAGCCCTGGAAATTCCAGCCCCCGATGCCCCGAAATAAATAAAGCCGGATGACAAAACTCCGGAACTCATTGCACCAACCCTAGTCCGATGAGTCGATATGATGGCGAATCTCGAACCCGGAACCTTTCCTTCCCGTGTTGCAGAAAATGAAAGACCGTGGGATCGACAAGCTGATGGAAAGCCTGGACAAGGATCACAACAACGAGATCGATTTTAAGGAATATACCGGCTTCCTCACGGCCCTTTGCATGTCCTACAACCAATTCTTCCAACCGGATGCAAAATGAGAAGCGGCCTTCAAAAAGAGAGAAGGGGGGAGAGATGGAGAGAAGGAAAGACCCCCTCCTCCTCCTCTCAAATCCTCCTTTTAAAGCATCTCTCCGCAATGTTATCTCGATCTCTAAATTAATAAAAGGCAGATCTTCCCAAAGTTTGAGAAAAACGAAAATGTGGAATGAAAGGGGGACGCAGGAGGGGGGGGGGGCAAAAAATTGGGATCGTTTTAAACCGTGAAGTCGTGTCCGTTCGTTGGTGACTTTTTTTTTTTAAGGCAAGGGTTTTAAATTCAATAAATTCAATTAAATTTCTGGGAAATCGCGCCGCAATCGTGGGCAATCCAGAAACGCAACGCAGATTTATAAAAACAGGGCTGGCAAATTTGCAAGAACGGATACCCAGGTTCAGTTCAGTTTCTTCCCCAGCTGAGGAAATCCAATTTTTTTTAAAAAAAATCACCTTTTGCATCTCCAAAAGGGCTTAAACTGACAACGCAACCACGCAACGTTGGGTTGGGTTGGGTTGTGTACAGGGATATAGTTTTTGCAGCCTAAATCCCTCCCGGCCACCCACAGCAGGAAGCAGGCGTGAAAAAAATCAGGCCATTCAAGTTCCTACAACTTTCCACCGACTCCCAAAAGTGAGATGAGAAAGGTTTCGGCTTCACACTTTTTGTGTGTAAGAGTCTTGCCCCAAGGTCGCACTTTAAAGTCGGGAGAGGGGGAAAAAAATGTGCACCGACAACAAGGAGAGAAAAGCCACAAACTCTCCCCTTTTCTCCAGATAATTAAAGAAAGACTTTGCTCTAAAGCCGGCCAAGCCAAAGAAATAGGAATATGGATTTATTCCGTGCCTATTTGTTCATTAAAAAAAAACAACAGCCCGGTGTGTAAAATCTTATTTTCTCAATCGTCGGCAGAGGAATTACGATTCGGAAAGACAGAAACAGAAGTGAGAAAGAAAGAAAGAAAGAAAGAAAGAAGGAAGGAAGGAAGGAAGGAAGGAAGGAAGGAAGGAAGGAAGGAAGGAAGACAGACAGAAAGAAAGGAAGGAAGGAAGGAAGGAAGGAAGGAAGGAAGGAAGGAAGACAGACAGAAAGAAAGATAGAAAGAAAGATAGAAAGATAGAAAGAGAAGGAAAGGTGGAGGGAAGGAGAAAGAGAGAAGGAAGGAAGGAGGGAGAGAGAAAGAAAGGAAAGGAAGGAAGGAAGGGATGGAGAGAGAAAGAGAGAAGAATGAAGGAAGAGGGAGGGGGAGAGAGAGAGAGAGAGAGAGAAAGAAAGAAAGAAAGGAAGGAAGGAAGGAAGGGAGAAAGAGAGAAAGAGAGAGAGAAAGGGAGGGAGTGAAAGAAAGAAAGGGGAGAGAGGGGGAAACAAAAAAGAAAGAAAAAGAAAGAGGGAGGGAGGGAGAGAGGGAAAGGGAGGGAAAGAAAGAAAAAGAGAGGGAGAGGGAGAAAGAATGAAAAAAGAAGAAAGAAAGAAAGAAAGAGAAGTCAAGAGGGAGGGAGGGAGAAAGAGAGAGAGAAGGAAGGATGGAGAGAGAAAGAAAGAAAGAGGGATGGAGAGAGGAAGAGAGAAAGAGAGAAGGAAGGAATGAAGGAAAAAGGGAGGGAGGGAGAGAGAAAGAAAGAAAGGGAGAGAGGGAGAAAGAGAGAGAGAGGAAGAAAGGGAGGAAGGGAGAGCAAGAAAGAAAGAAAGGGGAGAGAGAGTGGGAAACAAAAAAGAAAGAAAGAAAAAGAAAGAAAAAGAAAGGGAGGGAGGGAGGAAGAAAGAGAGAGAGAAAAGGAGAGAAAGAAAGAAAAGAAAAGAAAAGAAAGAAAGAAGAAAGAAAGAAAGAAAGAAAGAAAGAAAGAAAGAAAGAAAGAAAGAAAGAAAGAAAGAAAAAGAAAGGAGAGGCGGGGAAACAAGGAAGCAAAGGAACAGAATCAAGTTTCTATCCCTCAGGATAAAACCAAATCTTCCCCCCCCCATCCACCTGCTTTTTTTAAGGGAGGCATTTCAACTTGCATCGGATTTAATAGCAGCCAATTAAGGTGGGGGTGTCAGATATGCAAAGTAAGGGGCGGGGCTTCTTCCCTTCCATCCAATCAGACGCCTCTTGGGGGGGCAGGTTTGGCCAGGCCAGGCCCCTCCCCTCCTGATAAATCCGGGCTCCCCCCTTGGGTGAGTCTACCACTTTCCCTTCTCCAGCCGTCTCGTGACACCTCCTCTTTTTTTCTGCCGTAAGTATTCCTCCCTTCCACCCACTTTCTCCTTCCGTTTTTCCTCTCTTCTCCTTCCGAAAACTTTGGGGAACTTTGGGGAGGAGGAGGAGGGGGGCTGATCTTCCTCCCCCCCACCCATCCTTTCCCCAAAGGAAAAAAAATTTTTGGGGTGGGGGAGAGAGAAAGTAAAGAATTTCCAAAAAGGCTCAGCCACTCTGGGAAAACAGCAGCTAAAATAACTAATTTTGGGGGGACGACGACAAGTCCTTTGAAGGTCGTTTGCCCCCCCCAACTCAGCTGCTGCCCCCTTTGAGCATGTGCAGAGGGCCAAACCGCCCCCCCCCCCAGGCTAGCAGCAGAGACTCCCTCTGCAACGGAGCAGTCAATAAATTCAACTTTGTAAAGAACGATCAAGTGATAGGACTTGGGGGTTGGCCTAAATGACCTCCGAGGGTCCCTCTTTCCAAACTCGGTTATTCTCTTAAATAACGGGAAAAGGAAGCAAAATTTCGCCCTGTGCCGGAGAAAAAGGCTGCCAGCCATGCCCGGCGTGGGGGTTTTTTTTTCCCCCCCAATCCTGGCTGGGTCATTAAGGGTGGGGGGCAAGGAGACCACCGTGTCCACCCCCACTAAACCCACTGAAAACTTTCTCTGTTGTGCCCCCCCCGCCATCTTGCCAGGGTGTGCCACTTTTGGCAGGAATAAGAGACACACAACAGGCAGGGCGGGGTGCCACCCTGACACACCCCACATAACGTCTCGCTCACAATCCGGCCAAGTTACGGTAACTTTCCAAAGATATTTTTTTTTCCCCCAAATTTTTAATGCCCCCTGGTGGGAAAACCTGGGAACGTGCTGGGAAATTTGGGGAAGGGGTGCAGGTATTATTTTTTTAAAGGGGGGGGGGGCTATTCAAAAAAACCCTGGAAACTTTTCTCTTTGCCTCCCTTCCCTCCCCATAATGCTGCTCACCGGTTCCCCGAAAAGGCGCACCATTCGAACGCAGCTCTTCCTCCGGGGGTGCTCCATTCGAACGCAGCTCTTCCAAACTTTTCGCCGTTTTTGCTCCCAAGTTTTCATTTCTTTCGGGGGGGGGGTCTTTTGCAACGAGCAGAAATGTCCTCGTTGGAAGAGGAAGTCTCTCCCGGATGAGGTCCTTTGAAAAATATTTCCTTTTGTAGGGGGAGGAAGAAACAAAAAAAGGCCTTTAAAAATAAAAAATAAATAAAAATAAATAAAAATAAAAAAAAAAAAAAACCAGGCTGAGATTTGGCTGGCCGTTTTTAAGACATTTGGAAATTATGTTTGTTTACAGCTCGCAAGATGTCCGGGATGAAAGGGGGTTTTTTTGTGTATGTGTGTATGTCCGTTTGCAGGAAAAGCACCGAATTGGGGGAAAAAAATATAGCAGGAAAAATATTGGCGTCATTTTTTGGCGGATGAAAAAGACGAGGAGTTCGCTCCAAAGGAAAGGAAGCGAAAAAAAATTCAATTTTTTTTTTCAAGTTGAAAAATGACCCCTTTGGGCGTTTCCGATCGGACCCAACGGTGTGTGTGTGTGTGTGATGGCCGGGCAGAGAAAGAAAATTGAGATTTTCTATTCATTTTTTCCCCCCCCGGCGCTTCTGGGTAGATTTCGAAGCGTTGGCCTTGTTGTTGTGTGGGCGAGATGTGTTGTGAAGTCACAACGTCACAGCTGGCAAGGAAGCCTGAATGCCATCCGTGGCATTGCCAGGAAATCTTGTGGCTTAAGTTAAAAATAGGGAGAAGGGGAAGGGAAGAAGGGAAAGGGAGAAAGGAGAAAAGGAAGAAAAAAGAGGGAGGGGGGGAAAAGATTAAGGCGAAAGAAGGCAGGAGAAAGGGAAGGGGAGGAGATGGAAGGGGAGGGAAAGTGAAGGGAAAGCGGGAAATGGAGAAAGGAGAAAGGAGAGGGAGGGAGGGAGAAAAAAGATAAAGGAGAAAGAAGGGAGGGGAGGGGAGAGGGAAGGAAGATGAGAGGGGAGGGGAAGGCGAAGGGGAGGAGAGGAAGGAAGGAAGGAAGGGAAAGGAGAAAGAAGGCAGGAGACAGGGGAGGGGAGGAGACAGGAGGGAGAGGGAGAGGAAGGGAGGGGAGAGAAGACAAAAAGAAAGGATGGAGAGAAGGAGGAGAGAGGAGGAAAGGAAGGAAGGAAGGAAGGGAAAAGAGGGGAAAGGAAAGGGGGAGGGGAGAGAAGACAAAAAGGAAGGATGGAGAGAAGGAGGAGAGGAAAGGAAGGAAGGAAGGAAGGGAAAAGAGGGGAAAGGAAAGGGGGCGGGGAGAGAAGACAAAAAGGAAGGATGGAGAAAAGGAGGAGAGAGGAGGAAAGGAAGAGAGGAGGAAAGGAAGAAAGGGAAAAGAGGGGAAAGGAAAGGGGGAGGGGAGAGAAGACAAAAAGGAAGGATGGAGAAAAGGAGAGGAGAGGAAGGGAAAGGAGAAAGGCGGCAGGAAAAAGGGAAGGGAAGGAGAGGCGACGGGAGGGGAGAGGAAGGAAGGGGAAGAAGAAAAAGGAAGGATGGAGAAAAGGGGGAGAGAGGAGGGGAGAAAAGGAAGACAGGAAGAGAGGGAGACAGGAGAAAGGAAAAAAAGACGCAAGTGAAGGAAGGAAGGAAAGGAAGGGAAATGACGGTTAATGCAAAAGTGGCTGCCTGCAGATTTATTTATTTGCAAAGCAGGAAAGACACAAAAAGATTTTTCTTTTTTGGGCCGTTTGGGGAGAGGATTCGAAACCTCCAAAATCCTGGCTGGGCCCATTTCCCCACCCCACCCCAAGCCCCCCACCCCTCCCCCAAGTGAGGCAAAAGTACACAATTCTCATCCACCCAGCGCTAAGATCATCCACTCGGGCCCGTTGGGGGCAGTTTTGACTGTAAAATGGGGTTTTTTTGCAAGGATTTGGTGGGGCAGCCTCAGGCCCCCCCCACCCCCCCTTAAGCCTGCCAATCAAAAAAAAAGAAATTTAAAAAGAAAAATCAGCGCCGTGGACCCATCCGATCCACTAAAAAGAAACTTAACCCAAGAGTCGATCAGGCACGCCGGAGACGAAGTTGTTCTCTGGTTTCGCTCTGACAAGGAAGCGGGGTTTTTTGGGGGGGGTCAGGCTAGATGACCTCTCGGTGTCCCCTTGAAATGGTTGGCCTGAATATTCGACTCTGGGGGGGGGGAAGGAGGAGGAAAGCATTGGGAGGGCGCAGAGGAGAGCAAGGTGATTGGGAGGGGGGGAAAATTGTCGTTGGAAAAGGACGGGTGGGGACTTTTTAAGGTGGACTCCTCCTAGCCAAAGAGGCTCCACCGCGGAGGGGAAAATTAAAAAAGAGAGAGAAGCAGTGGAGGAAAATCCAGACAAAAGAGGAGCAAGTTTTTTTGGGGGGTGGGGAACTGGGAGCCCAGCCCAGCCTGAGGGAATTACTTTTGATATCCTTTGAACGTGGTCATTAAATTGAAATCATAGCTTAAATGAAAGCCTCTTTGGAGCCGGGGCCTCTCCCAAAGACGAAGGGGGGAAATTAAAATTAAAATAAAAAGGAAGATATTCAGGACGATCAACTTTTTCGGATTCCTGCTCGCTGGGATCTCTTTTAAAAAGCTGCTTTAGGGATGAGTCAAAACCCTTTTCCCCCCCCCCGTTTCATTTTTAATGGAGAAAAATGGAAACGAGGCAGTTGCAAAAAAATAATAATAAATGAAGAACTTTTCCAATTTTTCTCTCGGGAACGGGTCACGAATGCGAAGCGAGGCCAGCTTTGAGGACCATTAAAAAAATAATAATAATAATAATAAAAAGAAAACCGGACGGAGAAAAAGAAGACGAGAAAAAAAAAATAAAAAAGCTTTCGATTTTGTCTTTCTCCCTCCCGGCTAGATCCTTCTCCCGGTTCCGAGTTCGAATCATGTCTTCCCCCGTGGACACAGCCCTCTGCACCTTGGTGGCCGTTTTCCACCAATATTCCGGCAAGGAAGGCAACAAGAATACTCTGAGCAAAAGCGAACTGAAGGAATTGATCCAAAAAGAACTGACCATCGGCCCCGTAAGTGGACGGAAGCAAAATAAAGGGGTGTTTTTTTCTAATACCATGAGGACTAGCCTCTTGATTCGGCCAACGCCGGCTCTTCCCAACTCCATAAAGCCTTATTATTATTATTTTTTCCTTCTGTTTTCGCTCCAGAAATTGCACGAAAGCCAAATCCAAGGACTGATGGAAGATTTGGACCGGAACAAGGATCAAGAGGTCAATTTCCAGGAATACATTACCTTCCTTGGCGCCTTAGCTATGGTTTACAACGAAGCTTTGGCCTGTTAGGCTGGACGGACGGGAAACGAGGACTGAAAGGAAACCAGGCCCTCGGGAGAATTTAAGAAGGAAAAAAAAAAAAAAAGTTTTTCCAAATTTTCTGGCTTGTCTTTTTTTTTTTTGTCTTCTTCGTTCGGAAAACGAACGATTCGTCGCCCCGATTCCCCTCCCAAAAAAGAGAATTAAATCGGTCCCAGGAAGTTGTATTTAAACCGCCCCCCACCCCCCATTCCTACTCCTGGGTGTGAAGTAAAAAAAAAAAAATGGGAGGGGAAAAAAATCTGTTTTCCATCTCGATTTTGGGGGGTCCTCGATTTACGACCGCAGTTTCTGTCATTAAGTGAGTCGCGCCCCGTTTTGGGGGGAAAAAAAACCCCACCTCTACGACGGGTGTTGACTTCAGTTCACGGCGGAGGTTCGGTCAGTCGGAGAATCCCCAACTTCGATCGCCTTTGCCTTTGTGGGAGGGCCGGGTTTTTTTTCAATGGCGTCGCAAATGCGGAACGGATGCTAAGTCGAGGACAACCTGTACGCTGGAGACGAGCCGTTCGGGTAGATAAGGGGGTGAAAGAGGGGGAGGACTTTGAGGTTCAAACCATGTTGGGAGGGCGAAGGTTTGCTGGGAGAGGCATAGGGACTCCTGCTCGGGCACGGGGTTGGACTAGATGGCCTCTGGGGACCCTTCCAGCCTTAGGATTCTAACCAGCGTTTCGACAAGCTGCAAAAAAGGCTTCTGGCAGGGAAAAACCGCTTTAGGCATCCTCTGGGGGCTGGCACCCCTCTCCATTTCCCAATTCATTCACAGCTCATTCACAAATTAATACAAATTATTATTATAATAATTTTTATAATAATAATTATTATTATAAATATTATAATATTATAATAAATATTATAATAATAATTATAATTATTATAAATCATTATTTATTTATTTTTAAATTTGATTTAAAATTTAAATCAAATTTAAATTTAACCTCTCTTTTAAATTGTTTTTAAAAAAATTTTTTTAATTTTAAACTTGTCTTATGAATTTGGGGTGTTTCAAATTTCATTTCCGGGCCAATCATTTCATTGTATTTTAATGGTTTTTTAACATTTATATGTATTTTATTCGGCTGTTCACTGCCCTGTGTCCTTCGGGAGTAGGGTGGTATACAAATTCAATAAATAATAATAATAAAATAATAATAATAATATGTCACCCTTCTCCGGAGACTCAGGGCGGCTTACAATGCGTTAAGCAATAGCCTTCATCCTTTTGTATATTTATACAAAGTCAGCTTATTGCCCCCACAAACTGGGTCCTCATTTCACCTACCTTAGAAAGGATGGAAGGCTGAGTCAACCTTGAGCCTGGCGAGATTCGAACCTGCAGTAATTGCAGGCAGCTGGTCTTAATCACAATGCTATCAGTCTGCTGAACCACCAGGCCCACTATTATTTCTTTCGAAACGAGATGGCCTGTCAATCAAATTGACCGCGACCCCAGAGCCGAAACTCACCCAACGCAGGTAGCCCTCGACTTTTAACGACCGCCATGGAGCCCAACACTTGACGGCGTTAAGTGAGTTTCGCCCCATTTTACGACCTTCCTTGCCGCCGCCGTTCAGCGGATCGCCGCAGCTGACTTGAGTTAGCGACCGGGTTGTTAATTGAATCCGGCTTCCCCACCCCCCCACCCCCCGTTGAATTTGCTGGTCGAAACGTCGCAAGAGAGGGTTCCGCGGGACGCAGCCACGGTCATAAGTATGAATCGGTTGCCAAGGGTCTGAATTTTGACCGCAGGATCAGGGGAATGCTGCAAAGGTTTTAAGTCCCTTAAGTCCCGAACCGTTGTAAGTCGAGGACTGCCTGTATGGTGGAAGGATGCTCCGTTTTTCCCGAAAAGCCGCCGCTGAAGTCCTGTTTGGTCCATTTTATCACACCCTCTGAAACCTACCACTCCCCCCCCCCAGTCCCATCGGGGTTAAAATGGGCCAGGGTGGTAAGGGACTTGACTCAATAAGCTCTGATCGAACAGGCCATCATTTCATGGAAGCCCGCCACCTCTTCTCCGAGACGACAAATTTTGTCGTGTGGAAACACTGAACAAAAAACCAGGATTAGGGAGGTATTTTTTTTTCCAAAATGGGTGGAAATCCAGGCGGCCCTCTCGATAAACTCTGATCGAACAAACCACAGTTTCGTGCAAGGCCACGCTTCCTTTAGCACACAAGAGCTGGTATGACAAACCGGTTGCGAGTTCAGGAAGCGCTCCGGGAAGGAATCCACCCCTCTTCCCGTAAGCAAAAAAAAAAAACGGAGTAAGGAAGGTATTATTCAAAATGGCCGACAATCCCGTTTTGGATTTATCGGGAAGTGAATGATGAGCGAAATCGATCCGTCCCGCCCTCCAGAGTAAATAGAGGAACGCCTGCAGTTCCTATGTTTTTGTCGCTGCTACGTGGCCAAGCTTTCTGCACGTGTTCAGGAATGTCCTCGCGTCGTGGCAGTCTTGGGACGGATCCAAATACGGATTTTTGAGTCACCATAGTTAAATATGGGGGCATTTGGGTGGGTGGGGGGGAGTGGGGAAGTGGCCACCACCGCACCTCAAAAGTGAGCACTGACCTGCCTCAAAGCTGGCTGGGAAGACGAGATGGGACGGAACGGAGTTGCCCTCCAAAGGGGCCGTGGTGGACTGGCCGGCACAAAACACAAGCGCCACGCCGCTCGCTCTCCTTGGTAGCCTGGCTCTGAACACACACACCGCTGCGAATCGGAAGACGGGTTGTGCTCCCAGAGGTTGTCACCTGTTAACAACTGCCTTATTTGTCAACAGATTTGATTTAGATCAGGGTGCGAGAGAGAAGCACACACGAGAGCAGGACGTCATGATAATTCACATGTATTTAAAAAATAATAATAAAATCATTCTGCTTCATCTTCTCCTCGAAGGGGGAGGGAAGTGGAAGGAGGCGACAAGCTGGGTCCGTGGCCGACCCGGCTTGGGGGGGAGAGGATTCTTCCCACTAGCCCCCCTCCCCTCGCTCCCCGGCCCTCGGCTGCTGGTCTTCGAAATCCGACGGATTAAGAATGAAAAAGTTAGAAGTGCCTTAACTAGAACCTATTCTCCTTCATCTCTCCAGGGTGAAAAAACACGGCAGTTTGAGACAGAGAGAGAAAGAGAGAAAGAAAGGGAGGAGGAGGAGAAGGAAAAGGAAACGGAGAAAGGGTTATGTACAGAATTCTTTAAAAATAAAAAAAGAGAGCAAGAAATCGATTAGGCGAGAAAAATTAAAGGGGGGAAAAAACGATAACAAAATGATTGACATTCTCTCTTTCTCTCCTCCCTCTGGGAGCCACCTTGTACGGAAACGATACACAGGTAGAGACACGGGGCGAAAGATGGCCGAGATGCTTTCACTTCACCCCGTTCCTTGATTCGAGGGGTTCAGAAGGTGACCCCCCCGATCTCACCCAACCCGGATACGTCTGGGAAGAGGTTCCCCTCCTCGCTTCTTCCGCTCGTACGGTCCATCCGACACCAGGTGGGTTCGAAAAGGACAGCTATCCCGCTGTCTCATTGCCCCTCCTCGAGTCCCTTGAACCCAGGGCCGGCCCTGCCTCTCGACCAAGCGTGGGAGCATTCAAGCTACTGAAGCTACGAGGGTCTCCCCAGGTTGGGGGGGGGGAACGCGGCGTTTGGGAAACGGGGAGGAAGCAAAGCGCGAATTGTCCGCTCTGTCTCGATTGGGTCCCCGAGGATTGGCAGCGTGCCCCGGCCCCGTTTGATTCTCCACGGCTCGCAAGGGTCCCGCTATCCCTGCCGGGGTCGGGGTGGTGGTGGTGTGAGGGGCTCTGGGCACCCGTTCTGTTCACTGGAGCCGGTCGGTGCGGAAGGAGTCTTCGACAGATGGATCGGTCAGCAGGACGTAAGGGTCGCTCAGCATATTGAGTCCATCCAAGCTCAGCGGCTCGATCTTCAGATCCTCATCCAGACCCAGGGAAGCCGCGTCCATTTCGAAGCCCGGCATGCCCGCCAGGACGTTGGCGATTTCTTTGGAGATGCCAGGCGGGGAATCCCCTACAAAGGAAAATCAAGACACCCACAGCTACACAACGGGGAGTGGAACGAAAGGCCAATTGGGACCCCTTTTGGAGGCAGAAATCACAGTCCAAAGAACTAGGATGCAGAACCTGAATCATTCGTATCGGGAGCACCAAAGCGGGTTGGAAGGATTGAACGGTGACATCCCCGCTGCCCGGGGGGGGGACGCCCAGTTTGGGGCTTCTTCTGTGTCCCCGTTAAGTTGCCCACCGAAGTGATACCCATCTATCTACTCGCGATACCCGGCTTTCAAACTGCCGGGTTAGCAGGAGCTGTTGTGAGGGACGGGAACTCATCCCATCTCGCAGCAGCAGCAACCAGGTCTCAAACGCGAGCCTGCTAATTGTCAACCCACCCGCTGCAAATCAGCCGGTGACCGTTACCTGTGAGGATGATGTTAGGAATGGGACCGTGACGGCTGCAATTACTCAGGTTTTGACGACCGAGTAAGTGGGGATCGTTCATGGCAGTGCTGTTGCTACTGTGGCCGCCCCCTCCGCCCATCGGCGGTCCCATGTTGTCGCTCGGCGAGTAATTTAAGGCACCCATGTCTTCCCCGAAGGCGTTGCTGTTGAAGGCAAAACCTCCCATCATGTTGTCGACAAAGCCGTACTGGTCGAACTGCGGGGAAGAGAAAGTGCATACGTCCCGTCGTCGGAGGGTTGTCTTCAGCGCCGAGCAGGTGGGGGGCTCCCAAGACACACACACACACACCCCTTTCCCCACCACGAGCCTGGGAAATCAGCAAGTGGGGTGAAACTCACGTTGCCAAAGCCGAAGTCACCCAACGGCTGGTTGAGTTGGTGCTGGAGCATGGAATTAGGCTGGTAATGCGTCGGGTAGGGATAGGGCGGCTGAGAGGGCTGGCGGGTTTGAGGGGAGGTAGGGACTCCTCCGGGCACCGGGTGCTGGGACTTCTGGCTGTGCTGAAGGAGCATGCCTGGCTGGCTGTAAGGGTAGGGCGGAAGCCGCTGGTCTGCAGGGAGCTTGCTGGTGTCCAACGGTACTCCCTGGAAGCGGGAGGGAAGAGTCAGAAAGGATGCAACATATTCCTTTGGGGGGGGGAAGGAGGGAGGGAGGGAGGCACTCTTGTGCTACGAGAGCGGTGTCAAACTTAAGGCTCCGAGGGGCTGGATCCGGACCGTGGGGTGTTTAGATCTGGCCAATATGGCCGCCCTGGAAAAAGCGAAGGACCAGCCCGCGTTGCCTCTGCCAGCAAAATCAGACCTCCAGGCGGCCCTCCAGACCTTCATTTTCGCTGACAGAGTGTTGTGACCCCAACTCCCGGGCCTGTCCTAACAGAGGAAGAGGACTCAGAAGGTGATGGGGAGGAACTGACAAGGTCTCCCTCTCCAGGACCCTCCTCTCTGGCAATGCCTCAGGTTCCATCTGAAGGCCAAGAGGAACCGCCTGGGATATGCCAGGAGGAAAGCATATCGGAACAAGAACAGACAGGGAGCGAGGATGATGAATCCTGGCTTGATCCCAGGCAGCGACGGAGGGAGAAGCGTGCGCAGCAACGAAAGAGGCGTGGGAGGGCCAGAGATTGAGCTGAGTCACTGAGACACACCCCACAAGGAATAAAAGTGGGTGTGCTGATTGCTCTTCAGGGCTTTGTGACGGTCAAAGTTAAAAACCTGAGTGTCACATCGCGTTACCTGAAATCTGGCTTGTGCATATTTGGATTGGACCTTGGCTAACTCTGGCTTCGTGGGTGACTTTTTGCTACTGAACCAGACTGAGGATAAACTCTCTCTTGCTGACTGTGAGTGAAAACTGACTTGGCAGGGATTTCGCAGTTTACTGCCAAAACTCTTATCTGCAAGGGTTTCTAGTCCAATTGCTTAATAAAATCTTGGCAGGCGTGCCTGGTTGTGTTTGCCTGTGTGGGGAAGGGGGACAGAACACAGAGGGTTGTAGGAGGCCATCGTAGTCAAAAACGGAGCTTGGGAGCACATTTCCACCGGAAGAATGCTCGGGCCACCACAGGTGCCCCCGACATCAGTGACGTTGAACTGGCCATGCCCACTCCGGTCCCCCCCCCCAAGGTCAAACAACCCTGATGTGGTCCTCAATGAGATCAAGTTTGACACCCGTGTGCTATGCTCAGGGTAGGGAATCATAGCTCTTCGATGGATGTGGCTTGACCACCCCACCTCAACCCCTTGCCCGACTCTCCAATCTCCAAGAGATCGCAGGTAATCTTCAATTTACGAGCAGAACGGAGTGCAAAGTTTCTGTTCCCTGAACAACTGTGGCCAGGAAGGCCGTAAATCTCACGTCACTGTCTCGCTTAGCAACAGAAGCATTGGACTCCATCGTGGGCCGTAAGTCGAGGACTACCTTCCTTGAGGGATCAGGATCGGGAAGGGTTTAAGAAATTAAGTGGAAGCGATTCTTAGAAGGGACGGAAAGGGGTGGGTGGGTTGCTGAAGTTGAAATGAGATGCGAAAAGAAAAGTGAAGCACACAGGAGGGAGGGAAGGAGGGAAGGAGGAAAAAGAGGGGCGAGGAGCACAAAGGGGAGGGGGGGTCACACATGCTCCCGTCACAAGCCTCCTCCCCCTCCTCTCTCCCGGGTGCGTACCTGGGTGATGGAAGACAATGTGGGTGACATAGTTGGCGAAAACTGTTTGGGGTGTTGTCGTCTCGTATCTCCAGCCATGGGGAGAGTCAGGGGGCTGAGGGGGACCCTGCGCCGGGGAGAAGCGTTCAGAGGGGTGTAGGAGGCGGCCGGGGACGAAGCGGTGGAGGAGGAAGAGGAGGAAGAGGAGGCCGGGCCCCCAAAGCCGGGGGGAGGCTGGTGGTGCGGATGGGGCGGCGGGGGCAGCCGGGGGTTAGCCGGGACGGGCTGCATCGTGTGGGCGCTGAGCGAGGTGGGGAGGGAGGGGTTGCTGAGCGAGGTGGAGAGTGAAGGGGTGCTGAGGGAGGAAGGCATGGACTGGCCGCCGAGGGAGGAAGGCACAGGGCGCAGGGCGGGGGCGTTAAGCGAGGACTGGAGGCAGGGGTTACTGAGGGAGCTCTGCATAGATGAACACAGTCCTGCGTGGACACAAAAAAATGAGAACAAAAAGAACCATAAATCCATGAAACAATCAAAAGCCACACAAACACATACACACACAAAAGTCGTCTGACCACGGCGCATGGCAGCCTCCAGGGACTTCCGGCCGTGATGGCGGCGTGGCAAGAAAACGGCGAGTTCTCCTCTTCCGGAAACGGCAAACCCTCGTTACCTCCGGGCTGGAGAAACGGTTCGATTTGACACACATATACAACACACACACACACACACACACACAAAATGGAATAAAATGCCAAACATCTGCCAGGACATATGAGAAGATGGATGGGGCACCAGCCGTCGGCCTCCCCAGGTGCAACGGAACTACAACTCGTCCGGACGAGACGAGTTGGGAGCAACAATCCGTCCTGCTTGATGGTTGAACTTCGGCCGATACTAAAATCGGGGCGTGGATCTTACCAAACTAGCTAACATCATCAATGCCGGGAAGAAGTGGGGTTTGCTCCCTGTTTATATATAATGTAACCGTCCTCCCTCCTAGCACTGGCTGATGTTACGTAGTTGGGTCGTGAAAACGTCTGCAAGAAAACCACCAAACTCAGAGAGCATCAGGGACTCTTCCTTTCAACCCTGAGCCACAAATCTTCTCTTTTATCGATAGGCAAACAATTAACTATATTGCGCAAGATGGCCCACAACGTGAGTTCTCTGGTTCCCTAGAAGACCTGCGCGAAATAACACTTTTTGCGCGTGAACAATTTTACAAATACTTTCGGTGTTACCACTTGGGAGAAACAGCTGAGGCGCGGCAATCAGCCGAGAAGATAAAGGTAAGTAAAGCGCAAGGGCGGGGGAGGGGGGCGGTCCGACCTGATTGTCGGATCAAACCTGTTCGCTCCAAGCTGATCGTCAGAGGATTCATCCGAACCGGTCAAATCCCACCCCTGCCAGAGGTGATTGCCTGGATACCTGAATTGGAAATCCAGGCACGAGACTGTTGCCGTACCCCTCTAGGAGTTGTGTGCGTACGGATGTGGATTGTGTGTTTGTGTTTACTTCTCTTTTGTCGCGTTCTCCTCTCGCACTAAATAAATAACAATCTCCAAATAAATAAATATATAATCCATGTAATCGTTTTTAAATTTGTTTGTTTAGAATTGTATTGGTAATATGAACCTGTACATTGATAGGGCACTATTGCATTTTACCCTACTCTCATTTTAAATTCTTTTCTTCCGAATTTTATTGGAAATGATGTGTTTGAACCTGTATGCCGATATGGCCTATGGGCTAATAAAATAAATAAATAAATATTACAGAGCAATAGCGATAGCACTTATATACCGCTTCACAGTGCATTACAGTCATCTCTAAGCAGTTTTCAGAGTCAGCCTCTTGCCCCCAACAATCTGGGTCCTCGTTTTACCGAACTCGGAAGGACGGAAGGCTGGAGTCAACCTTGAGCCTGGTGAGATTCGAACTGCCAAAATTGGAGGCAGCCGGCAGTCGGCAGAAGTAGCCTGCACTACTGCATTCTAACCACTGGGCCGCCATGGCTCATATATAATAAATCTCCAAGCACACCTTCCCTGCCCGGCGACACATCATCGGATTAGAAGTCCCCCCTCCCCTCTCCGACCGGTACCTGGAGGTTCGTAGCCGTGGCCAAGGCCCATCCCGCCGCTGATACCCAGGTGTGTCATGGTGTTGGCCAGGTTGCCGGTGCTGCTTCCGCCACTTAGGCTGGGATAGGCCGACTCTTCCGGGTCGAGAGGCGTAGGCAACGGGGAAGGGAAGTGCAGGTTGGTCAGATCCGGCAGGGACCCTCCCGTGTTGAGGTTGGACGGGATGAGAGACAAGTTGGCAGGCTGGTCGGGGGACGGGAAGATGCTGGAGGAAGGAGGGTGAGAAGAATAAGAGGATGAATTAGATTAGATTAAGAGAGTCGGAAGGGACCTTGGAGGTCATCTAGTCCAACCCGCCGCCCAAGCCGGAGACCCTACACCATTTCTGACCGATGGCAGTCCAGTCTCTTCTTCTACAACTTCTGTTCTATGGGTAGATTGTTCTCACTGTCAGGAAATTCCTCCTTATTTCTAGGTTGAATCTCTCCTTGGTCAGTTTCCAACCATTATTCCTTGTCTAGCCATCGGGTGGCTTGGACAATAGCTTGACCCCCTTCCTCCTCTCCGGGGCAGCCCCTCAAATATTTATTTTATTGAATTGAATTTCTATACTGCCCTTCTCCCGAAGGACTCAGGGCGGTGTACAGCCAGAAATAAAACCACGACAATATAAAAATTAAAAACAATTAAAACAATTGGCCAAAAACTCTAATAAAACAACCCATTAAAATAGTTAGGCCAGCCCTCTTGTTGGAATAATGATGTTTTTATTGGATATTGGAAGATGCTCTCCTGTCTCCCCGGGTCCTTCTCTTCACTCGACTAGCCAGGCCCGGTTCCTGCAACTGTTCATCGTATGTTTTAGCTTCCAGTCCTCTAAAAATCATCCTGGTTGCTCTTCTCTGCACTTTTTCTAGAGTCTCAACATCTTTTTTATAGTTGTGGTGACCAAAACTTGAGAAGCGTCAGTTTGCAAACTCATTTGTGCGAACTCTGCAATGGCCATCTCCGAAACTTTCTTTCCTCTGCTCCCCGCAGGTAAAAATCTCACCCTGTTCCATCTTTGCCTGAGCAGCTACCTTTCTACCGGCGGGGAGATTATCTATTTTTTTTTAAACCAAAGGTGGAAGATCGAAATATGGGTCTTTTTTTTTCACCAGCTGTGCCCTGACGGTCTCCGAGCCCTTCCCCTCGTTTGCTTAAGAGGAGAAGCGGAGTTGAGTCGGGGTGGGGAGGGGGGGGGCTCTTGGATGGGTTTTGATATCTTAACGTGCTCAGAGAAAACGACATCGCAACGAGAACGCTGCTTCTACTCACTGGATTCCAGGCACCTCGCAGGAACGGGGACGGGCGGAAGACGAGGAGAGCTGAGGGGAAAAAAAACAGCCCGTTACTGGATAGGGGGAAGAGTGGAACGGAGAAGGGGAGGGGGGGTTTGGCACGCTGGGGAGATGCCACGAGGGAGCTGGCGAGGCCTTGCTTCTGGAACCGATGGGGCAGCGCCAAAAAAGCCACGGAGAAGCCCTGGCACCCACCTTCTTGGTGTCCCAAGGTTTCAGCGACTGCTTCCCGTCGTCCAAGAAGCTCTCTTCGATGGAAGGCACTTGGAAAAGAAAGACTGCAAGGAGAGAAGAGACCGAAGGCTCAGGATGCTGCCTCACTTCCCGCGAGGAAGTTTTAGGGGAAGAGGAGAGGAGAGGAGAGGAGAGGAGGGAAGGGAAGAAGACAGAAGAGAAAAGAGGAGAGGAGAGAAGGGAAAGGAAGAGAAGAGAAGGAAACAGAAGAGGAGAGGAGAGGGGAGGGGAGGGGAGAGGAGAGGGGGAGGAAAGGAGAGAAAGGGAGAGGAGAGGAGAGAAGGGAAGAGAAGAAGACAGAAGAGAAAAGAGGAGAGGAGAGGAGGGAAGGGAAGGGAAGAGAAGGAAAGGAGAGAGGAAAGGAAAAGAGGGGAGGAGAGGAGAGAAGGGAAGGGAAGAGAAGGAAAGGAGAGGAGAGAGGAAAGGAAGAGAGGGGAGGAGAGGAGAGAAGGAAAGAAGACAGAAGAGAAAAGAGGAGAGGAGAGGAAGGGAAAGGAAGAGAAGAGAAGGAAACAGAAGAGGAGAGGAGAGGAGAGGAGAAGAGGGGAGAGGGGAGGGGAGAGGAGAGGGGAGAGGAAAGGAGAGAAGGGGAGAGGGGAGGAAAGGAGAGAAGGGGAGAGGAAAGCAGAGCAGAGAGGGGGGAGGAAAGGAGAGAAGGGGAGAGGAGAGAAGGAAAGAAGACAGAAGAAATAAGAGGAGGGAAGAGAAGGAAAGGAGACAGAAGAGGAAAGAAGAGAAGAGGAGAGAAGAGAGGAGGAGATGAGGTGGGAAGAAAGGAGAGAAGGGGAGTGGGGAGGGGAGGAAAGGAGAAAAGAAGACAAGATAAGAGAGAATAAAAAAGAAGAGACTAGAAGAGAAAGAGTTAAGAGAAGAAACCAGAAGAGAGAACGAAAGAGAATAAAAGAGAGAATAAAACAAAGAAACCAGAAGAAAGAAGTAAAATAGAAAAGACCAGAGGAGAGAAAAAAGAAGAGAAGAGAGAAGAGACCAGAAAAGCGATTGCAACCTCCTCTCGCTCTTTCCCCCTCGTCAAACTAAGAAAAAAAAATTCCAACTTTTAGAAGCAAATGCTCAATCTCCTTAAAATTGCTGATGCGAACAGGCGAGACACAGACTTTAGGGTGGGCCAAGGGGTCTTTCTTACCTTTGCTATCCGTATCCGGATCTAGGTAACCTTTAAAAAAAGGGAGAAAAAGGAGGAAGAAAATGTAAAAGATAGCATGAAACATTGTCGGGACTACCAACTTCCAGGCACTCCCCGTCTCCTTGGCCTGCAACTGAATGGAGCTAGCAGAGAGTTTTTACTGGCCGGATGCCTTTCCTGTCACCAGGGCGGAGTTTTGTTCAGCAGATAAATTCTCATGGTGGCCAGAGAGAGAGAGAAATATCTGCCTCTACCTAGGATTGAACTCACAGCCTCCCGATTGTGAGGCGAGAGGCTCCACCTTTAGGCCACTGCACCATTTTATTTTATTTTACTATTTTATTTTATATTTTATTTATATATATATAATCTTTCTCTCTCTCTCTCTGTCTCCCCCCCCCTCTCTCAACGTACAGGTTCAAAAACGTATTACCAATAAAATTATAACAAAACTTAAAACGAGAATAGGGTAAAATACAATAGTTACAGGCTAAAACACAGTAATTTAATACCTAAATATGTAAAATAGAAGAAAATGACCTAAAATTATATTTCTCGTATCACCCCTGCAATCTACCCCAATCAGGCCTCACCCAACGCTTGAAGCCTCGGAGTTGAAAGAGTTGTCAAACTGCTCAACTTCCTCAAACCTAGTGAAAGCAGACACTTCTCCTTTCCGACAGGCCCATTTAAACCACCATTAAACCATCATCTCGAATCGAGGGAGAAGATGCAGTCGGCAAAGAAAGCCCAAATCCTAGCCGGAGCGTGGCCCTCCCTCCCCCTCTTCCTCGGCCTCTCGCGAGACCCACGCCGTACCGGGACGCATGACGCCAGCCCCCCCCCCCCCCCGGTAAGCCACTCACCGCTCTTGCGATTGGGAGGGGGGCCCGCCTGGGAGGGTCCCAGGTAGGCGTTTTGTGGGTTGGGATTCATCACGCTGGTGTGCAGGGCGGAGTCCGAATTTGTTCTGCTTACGGAAGAGGAGAAAGTGGAATTACAATAAAGAAAAGCGGACGGACGTTAAGATTTTTCCAAAATCTTGCTCCATCTTAGCGGACAGGTGAAAAAAACCCTGATACAGCTAGTCCTTGACTTACAGCGGCCTGTTTAGCGGCTGTTTGAAGTTTGCGGCGGCGCTGGGGAAAAAAAGGGACTTAAGGCCGTTTTTTTCACACTTACGACCGCTTGCAGCATCCCCACGATCCAAATTCAGACGCTTGTTAACCGACTTGTCTTTATGACGGTCGCGTCACCGGGGGTGGGGGGGTGGGGGGGAGGGGGGCGAGACGCAATCCCCTTTTGCAACCTTCCAAGCAGCCCAAGTCAATGAGCCAGATTCGCTTAACAACGGGGTTACTAAAGTCAGCGATTCGCTTAGCCGCGGTGGCGAGTGAGGTCGTAAAAGGGGGCAAAACCCGTCTAAGAAACGCCTTTTAGCGACAGAAAATTTGGGCCCGGGTGCGGTTGCCAGTTGAGGTTAACTTTAGATGCACAAACCACATGCCTCCTCCGTCGGCCTCGCCAGCTGGCACCGAGTTCAAAACACAGCAGCAACAAGGAGGAGGAGAGGTTGCATGTTAACGAAGCCGCCAGAGGCTGATTTCTTTCTTCCTTTTTCTTTCTTTCTTTCTTTCTCTTTCTTTGTCTTTCTCTTTCTTTCTCCTCTCTCTCCTCTATTTTTTCTTTCTTTCTTTCTCTATTCTTTTTCTTTCTTCTCTTTCTTTTTTCTCCCTCTTTCCTTTTTCTCTCCTTTCTTTCTTTTCTTTCTCCCTCCTTTCTCTTCTTTCCTCTTTTTCTTTCTTTCTTTCTCTTTTCTTTCTCCCTCCTCTTTCTTTTTCTTTCTTTTTCTTTCTTTCTTTTTTTCTCCCTTTCCTCTTTCTTTCTTTCTCTTTTTCTTTCTCCCTTTCTCTCTTCTCTTTCTTTTCTTTCTTTTCTTTCTCCCTCCTCTCTCCTTTCTTTCTTTCTTTTTTCTCCCTTTTTCTTTCTTTCTCTTTCTCTTTTCTTTCTCCCTCCTCTTTCTCTTCTTTCCTTTTTCTTCTTTCTTTCTTCTTTCTCCCTCCTCTCTCTCCTCTCTTTCTCTTTCTTTTTCTTTCTTTCTTTTTTTCTTTCTCTCTCTCTCTCTTCACTCCCTTTCCGCCCTAATCTTTTTAACAATGTCTGGGGGTGGGGGGAACAAAACGGAGGGGAAGGGAAGCTACAGTTCTTCCAAAGGAACATAATGGGGGTCATTGTTGGGTTGCGAGCACATCGGCTTCCTCCTTCTCCTCCTCCGTGGCCTTGTGCATTGAAGAAAGCAGCCGAGGGGTGTGGGGGGGGGAGTGGGGGGGCAGGCCCACATGAGAGAGAAGAGAAGGCAAACCAGATGAAAGGAGAATGAGCCTGGGGCGTTTTATTTCCCCCAAATTTCTAGGATTGCAGAAGGGCCCACGCATATCTGATCGTCAAAAGACAGAAGCCGGCGTTTCGAGGCTTGCAACCTGGAGCAAACCTTACGCAGCAGCTCCGTGGAAGGAGCTACACGGCTCCCTTTTAATAGGGGGGGGGGGTTTGCCTGTACGTGTCCCCTCCCCCTCTCCCCCGTCCTGTAGGAGGCGATATCGGAAAATATAAAGAGATAAGCCGTTGGGGAAGAATGCGGCGAGAGAAATTGAAAAGGAAATATTTTCTTTTTTTCCCCCTTCAGCTTCACATCAGGGCCCAAACATGCCTCTCAAGACATAATTTGTGGGAACAAAACGTCGATTTCTTTAAGAGGGGGGGGGAAACATCACATGGGGAAAGGGCTCACCTATTGAGTGAGGCAGGCAGTCTAAACAAGCGTTCTTTCTCCACAGGGAAATTGCTCCAAGGCATCGTCCTTTGCAATAATAATAAAAAATAAAAAAAAATAGCGAGAGTTACTCCAAGATTGTGGGAAAACTGCCTTCCGACAGTTTGCTAGGCTTTGCAAATCCGGGCTGCAGTTCCACAGGCTACCATTAGTGGGCGGCAACAACAGACAAAGAGGTTTCTCCGAATCCCTTTCTCGCCCTCTAGTGGCCGTCTCCGTTTCCACATCCTGAAAACGGTTCCCCCGAGCGAGAAATTGGCCAAATTTTGGGAAAGCAAATGGAAAGCCGTTGGGAGAAAACAGTGAGGCCGTAAAAATGGGGCGGCAACGTGCTTTTTGCGACGGCCGACCATCGCTGCAAGGCTCGATGACGGTCATAAATCGAGGATGACGATGCAAATGACGGATGGGAAAGAGGACACTGGGATGAAACCAGTGGAGCGGAAAAGTAAAGGGCGATGGATGGTAGCGGTGGGGTCCTCGGTGCTCTCTGAGCTTGGTTTCCTTGTAGACGTTTCATGACCCAACTAGGTAACATCATCAGTGCTAAGAGGAAGGAGGGGTTGTGAAGTGGAGGAGGAAAAAGAGTGGAAAAAAGAGGAGGAGGGGGAGGAGGACGACAACTGCGGGGGTCTTTGGTGCTCTCTAAGCTTGATTTCTTGCAGACATTTAATTACCAAACTAGATAACAGCATCAGTGCTAGTAGGGAAGGAGGTGTGCTCTCGTTTTATATAGCAGTGGCTTGCTCTGTATGTAGAGTGTGGCGAAGACTCACCTTCTCCAGCTGGGTTCAGCAGGAGGGGACAAATACGCCGGACTGTAAGGAGAACTGTCGATGTGATGGGGGAAGTTAAGGAAGATACAATGTAGTAGGTCCAACAACCCCAAAGTGGAATTCTTTTGCTCTTCAATCCCTGCAGGATTTCCAGCCCAACGTCAGTATGTGTTTATGTATCAAATTTATATGTCCCCCCCACCCACCAAATCTTGCCAAGGGTGTCTCTCGGCGGCTGGAGTTGTGTTCCATAGCAAGCAAAGGGGAAAGAACAGCCCATCTCGAGGCAAAAGGATATTTGTCGTACGTAACGTCGCAGCGGCGAGATCATCCGGCGGGGATCCCGCTGCACCCGTTCCACCAGGCCGTGATGCCGCGTGCCCCGGGCCGAGTCCAGCGGAGAATGGAGGGGACCCTGGAGGGGCAAAGAGAGAGACAGTGCGGTTGGAACAGGAGGGGGCCTGTGAAAGTGTGAAAATCAGGCAGGGTTTGCAAAATTGGGGAACAGGAACTTCCAGTTCCTGTGTGTCCATTTCCATAACTTGTGTGTCAATTCCAATAATCTGCGTATCAATTTCAACAACTTATGTTAATTTCAATATATTGTGTCACTTTTGGTAATTTGTGTCAATTTCAATGTGTGTCAATTTCAATAATTTATGTGTCCATGTCAATAATGTGTCCATTTCAATAACTCGTGTCCATTTCAATTTGTGTCAATTTCAATAATTTGCATGTCAATTTCAAAAATTTGTCAAGTTCAATACATTGTGCATCAATTTCAATATCAACTACGTGTCAATTTCAATAAATTGTGTGCCAGTTCCAATACATGGTGTCAATTTCAATCATTTTCTGTCAACCTCAATAATTCCAATACACGTCAATTACAACACATTGTGCAGTCCATTTCAACAATTATGTGTCAATTTCAGTACACTGTGTGTCAATTTCCATAAACTGTGCGCCAATGAAAGATTGTATCTGGGCTAAATCCCTCCTGCCAATCAGAGCAGAAGAGCAAAACCATCAAGGAAGAAACGGCAAGGAAGATGCCCGGATGTTGGCTTGTTTCAATGACGGTTTACCTGAAACTCTGCTGCGCCGCTTCCGATCTGGTTGACGTTGGGCAGCGATCCGCTGTAGTAGGGTCCTCGGCTGTGCGCCAGTCGTAACTTCTGAGCCTGTAACTGAAGGCGGGAAGAGAAGCAGAATGGTAGTTAATTCATAGCCAGCCCACACGGATCCTTCACTGCCCTGGGCAGGCAGCCGCTTCGCAAAGCTGATGGACAACATTCTTTCCGACATGCCACAATCTGTGTGTGTGTGTGTTTAACGTACAGTCCTGCAAGAGAAGCTCAAGCTAACGGAGCGAGAGGAGCTGGAAGGAGGCTACCAAGCTCTCTCCTGGCACCCCGACCCGTCGAGGTAGCCTCGACTTACGACGACAACAGAGACCAAAATTGGCTAAACAGGAGAGCTGTCGGGTCCGTTGTGCTCCGTTTTACGACCTTCTTTGTCACCTGTTGTTAAGCGAGCTTTTTAAGAGGCGACTGGGACCACCATGTGTCTGGAACGAACTAGGGTCTTTGCTCGAGCCAAGGGGTTGGACTAGAAGACCTCGGGTGTCCCTTCCAACTCTGGGATTCTGTTAGGAGAGACCCCAACCCCGTAAGCGCCGAAGATGCTCCATTTTAAGAGCCTGGTTGTTTACCTTGTTGAAAAGGCACAACCACACGGCCATAAATCTCCCTGCCTCCCCCCCTCCAAGGGGTCCTAAACAGACCCCAGCTTTGGAAACGAGACTGCTAGTTTTGGGGGGGCGGGGGCTAAACTGTCTCACTGCCCCCCAGCATGACAGAACGAGGGTTTTTTAAAAAAATACAGGCAATCCTCAATTTACGACAGTTCGTTTAGTGACCGAAGTGTCAACGGCACTGGAAAAAAAAGCGATTTATGACCATTTTTCACACTTAACGACCGCGGCAGCATCCCCACGGTCACGCGATCAAAATTCAGAAGCTTGGCGAGTGGTTTGCATTTACGACGGCTGCAGTGGAGGGGTGTCAGGCGAACCCCTTCTGACCAGCACCGTCCGTGGGGTGGGTGTCAGATTCGTTTAACAACCGTTAACTAGCAACACGGCGATTCCTTTCAAACCACGGCGGCCAGAAAGGTCGTAAAACGGGGGCGACGCTCAGTTGGTGACTGCCTCGCTTCGCGACGGAAATTCCGGGGCTCAACTGCGGTCGTAAGTCGAGGACTACCTGGAGATAGCGCTGGAAGTCGCCCCGAGGACTGGGATCTCTGCTTGTTTATCTATCTGGAAGGACCGGTTGGGGAAATATTCAGCACTGTCCCCTCCAGCTACCAAACCTGCCTGCCGTGTCTATGAAAATTTACAGATTAACAGAGTTGGAAGGCACCTTTAAGGTCATCTAGTCCAACCCCCACTGGAGACCCTACACCATTTCCGAGAGATGGCAGTCCAATCTCTTCTTGAAAGCTTCCGCGGATGAAGCTCCCCCAACTTCCGAAGGCAACTTCTGTCCCACTGAATACAGAATCACAGAGTTAGAAGGCAGATGACCTTGAAGGCAGAGGTTGGATGACCTTGAGGTCATCTAGTCCAACCCCCTGCCCAAGCAGGACCCCCCCCCATAAAGCTGAAACCTCACAGACCAAATATTTGGGAAAAAAAGAGAGAGAAAGTGTAACCCGTCCAACAGGATGATGGATTAGAATCTGCCATTTCTGGGGCCACTTAATGATAAATATTTCAGATTATTCACTGCTTCCTTCCTTCCTTTCTCGACTATCATTGCAAAGAAAACACACACACACGCACAAAAAAGGACACTAAACCAGGTTTGCAAAGAATCTTTCGCTCGGTCCTCGCAGAGAGTCGTTTGCACAATCTTTTTAAAATCCAGCTTCCCAGTTGAAAGATTATTTTTGTTTTTCCCCCTTCCGTAAAGGGGAGGAAAAAAAAGAAAGAAATATTTTCATAAAAGAAGTGGGGGCCCTTTTTTTTCATGGTCCCTAGATCTGTAAATCGAATCGAAGGGAAAAGCAGCGTCAATGCCTCCCAAACGCAGAAAAGAATACAGGTTTGCAAAGAGAGCAAAACCAAGAGTTTTTGACTTTTAATAATAATAATAATAATTTATTTCTTGGGTTGCAGAAACTTTTAATTTTCGTTTCGGAGCATCAAATGCAGAATTTTTTCCCTCCCTCTTTGCACAGGTGTCGTGCATGCAAATATTGGAGGTGAGCGACGGAACCAGAGCCGATGTCAGGAAACTTTGTGGGGGTTTTTCAAAGTTGGAAAACATTTGATTTCTGCTGGGGGGGGGGGAAAGAAATTGGAGGAAGAAAAAGCCGGAAGGACCACAGCCGCCGGTACCAACCCCGGTGCCCCCACGGATGTCGGAGCGCCTTCGCTCCCGCCAATCCCTGCCCAGGCCCCAAGGCCGTTGCTCAGAAGGGGAGAAGCTCTACGGAGGCCCGAAATCTGAAATTTGGGGAAACAAGAGAAGGATCCTGCTTTGATGTTTTCCGGTGCTTTGGGGAGTTTGGGAAAGAAGCCAGCGGTAGGGCAGCCATCATGGAGGAAAGGAGGAAGGGAAAGGAGGAGAGAGGGAAGGAAGGAGGGGAGAAAGAGAGAAAGGGAAGAAAGGAGGAAGGGAAAGAGGGAAAGGAAAGGAAAGGAGGAAGGAGGAAGGGAGAAGGGAAGGACAGAAAGAAAAAGTAAAAGAAGGAAGCAAAGGGAGGGAAGAGAGGAAAAGATGGAAGGAAAAAGTAAAGTGAAGGAAGGAGGGAGGGAGGGAAGGAAAAAGAGAGAAAGGGAGGGAGGGAAAAGGGAAAGATAGAATTTAGTATTTAGTACTATTTAGTATACTGTCTTTGGTGTAAGCCGCCCAGAGTCCTTGGAGAGTGGGCGGCATAGAAATAATAATAATAATAATAATAATAATAATAATAATAATAATAATAATAATAATAATAATAATAATAATAAATAATAAGTAAAAAGTAAAGGAGGGAAGGTAGCAAGGAGGGAAGGGAAGAGAGGAAAAGCAGGAAGGAAAAAGAGAGAGGAAGGGAAAAGGGAGAGATAGAAATAAAAAGTAAAGGAAGGAAGCAAAGGGAGGAAAGGGAAGAGAGGAAAAGATGGAAGGAAGGAAGGAGGAAAACAGAAAGGGAGAGAGGGAGAAGGGAAGGACAGAAAGGAAAAGTAAAGGAAGGAAGCAAAGGGAGGGAAGGGAAGAGAGGAAAACATGGAAGGAAAAAGTAAAGGGAGGGAAGGAAGGAAGGACGGAAGGAAGGAAGGAAAAAGAGAGAGAAAGAGAGGGAAAAAAAGGGAAAGCTACAAATAAAAAGTAAAGGAAGGAAGCAAGGAGGAAAGGGAGGGAGAAGGGAGAGATAGAAGTAAAAAGCAAAGGAAGGAAGCAAAGGGAGGGAAGGGAAGAGAGGAAAAGCTGGAAGGAAGGAAGGAGAAAAGAAAAAGGGAGAGAGGGAAGAAGGGAAGGATAGAAAGAAAAAGTAAAAGGAAGGAAAGAAGCAAAGAGAGGGAAGAAAGGAAAGGATGGAAAAATAAAGGGAGGGAGAGAGGAAGGAAGGAAAAAATAAACAAATAACCCTGCTGGCTCCAGAGGCAATATTAACCCTGTTAAGCGTCTAACCATGTTGGTTAGAGTCGTCAGGTCGTGGGAATCTGGGAATACCCACAACCCTCCGGACCAGGATCGGTCAGCTCCCAGAAGACCCCCGCATGACCTCCCCAGCCATCCCGTGTTCTCGGTGGGCAACACGCAACCCCGGAACACCGCTTCCGGCGGGTTTGAACGTCGGCTCCGGCTCGCGGGACGAGGCCAACGCTCCGCAAAAACGCCCCAAGATGGTGGCGTCTCCCGTCTTGCGTGTCGTTCTCGTCCTCCGTCCAGGCTAAATTTAAACCCCTCTCCGGGGACTCCGCTTTCTCAGGAGAGGCCGGATCTGCCGGACGGAGGCAACGCCACACAATCACACAACTTCGGGACACACAATCCCGTCTCGGCTTCTTCAAGACGGATTTGCGAGTCGGTCGCGTTTCTAAAATTCTCCAAAATATTCCAGTTGGTAAAAATGGTGATTTTTATCACAATTTACGTCCAGTCCTCGACTTATGGCCACAACTTCTGCCCCCCACCCCCCCAAATTTCCATGGCTAACTGAGCGAGACATGGGTTAGGTTTTGCCCCCCGTCGTACAGTCTTTCTTGCCACCGTTGTTAAGCGAATCACAGCACTGGTTAAATTAGTAACACGGTTGTTAAGGGAATCGGGCGTCCCCCCCATTGACTTTTTGTTTGTGGGAAGGTCGCAAAAGGGGAGGCCGAGACCGGCGTAAGTACGAGTCGGTTGCCAAGTGTCTGAATTTGGATCATGTGATCGCAGGGAGACTGCGACGGTCGTAAGTGCGAAGAAGAGTCATAAGACCTCCCCACAAAGATGGACAGCCCACCAAGACCCCCCCCCACAGTCAAAGGGGTCAAAGGGCACTTACACCCCCCCATTTCCCCCTCCGCATGAGTGGGTGGGTGTAAAGGCCCACAGGCCCCCTTGGGCAGGGGAGGATGGGCAGGAGAACTCCAGATGCCCCCATGGGGAGGGATGAGAGCTGGGGCAGAAGCTGAAGCATGGGAACTGTAGTGGGGAAGAAGGCGAGGATGATGGGAGCGGAAGCCATCGGCTCTAAAGGGGATATAAACCATGGGGAGGGGGAGCAGGCAAATGATGATAGGTGGGGTAGTCCAGCCTCCTCCGGACACCCCGACCCAGGCTAAGCAGAGGATGATAGGTGGTATAGTCCATCCCTCTCCAGAGACCACCAATCCAGGCTAGGCAGAGGATGATGGGTGGGACAGTCCATCCCTCTCCAGAGACCACCAATCCAGGCTAGGCAGAGGATGATGGGTGGAATAATCCATCCCTCTCCAGAGACCCCCCAACCCACACTAGGCAGAGGATGATGGATAGAGTAGTCCACCCCTCTCCAGAGACCCTAACTCAGGCAGAGGATGATGGGTGGAGTAGTCAGCGTTCTCCAGAGACCCCCAACCCAGGCTAGGCAGAAGATGATGTGTGGGATAGTCCACCCCTCTCCAGAGACCACCAATCCAGGCTAGGCAGAGGATGATGGGTGGGATAATCCATCCCTCTCCAGAGACCCCAACTCAGGCAGAGGATGGAGGAGTAGTCAGAGACACACACCCCAACCCAGGCTAGGCAGAGGATGATGGGTGAGATAATACATCACTCTCTAGGGACCCCCAACCCAGAGTAGGCAGAGGATGATGGGTGGGATAATCCACCTCTCTCCTGAGACCCCAACTCAGGCAGAGGATGATGGGTGGAGTAGTCAGCATTCTCCAGAGACCCCCCCCCAAACCCAACTCAGGCAGAGGATGATGGGCGGGGTAGTCCATCCCTCTCCAGAGCCCTGAGCTCAAAGACTTGGGTCCCCAACTCCTCCCTCCCTCCTTCCCCCCACCTCAGGGGGGGGCAGCCCCCCTCCCCAACCGGAAGTGCCGCCCCCGACCGGAAGCGGCCCCCCCTCCTCTCTCCCCGTTTCCCCCCCTCCCTCATACCCGGGTGGTGCCCAGCTCCATCATGACCTCCTCGAAGGCCGCCGTCTCCTCGGCCTGGCGCTGCTTCTGCAGGGCGATCTTCTCGCTGAACTTGCGCGGGTTGGACGCCGCCGCCGAGGCCGAAGAAGAATGCGAAGACGAAGCGGCCGCCGGGGAAGACGAGGCCGAGGAGGCGGCGGCGGAGGACGAGGAGGAGGCCCCGCCGCCGCCTCCGCCTCCTCCTCCTCCTGAGGAAGAAGAACCCGGCGCGGCGGCCCCGGAACCCCCCGCCGCCCCTGCCGCCGCCATCTTGCTCCGCCGCCGCCTCAGCGGCCTCCTCCTCCTCCTCCCCCCCCTACGCGCCCCGCCCCTCGCGCGCAAGGCACGCCGGGAAAGCGAGTGCGCCGCCCTTTCGAACTCTCCGGGAGGAACCCCCCGCCGGGACTCCCGCTCCCGGCGTGCCCCGCGCGGGCTCGAGCCCCCTCGCGCGCGACGCACGCCGGGAGATGGAGTTTCACCACCACTTGACGCAGACGCCCTGGCCTCGGGGCCCCGCGGGGACTCCCGTTCCCGGCGGGCACCGCGCGCTCGGGGGAATTTCTCCCCGAAGGGAGGGGGGAGGAGGGGAAAGGAGAGGGGCGGGGGAGGGAGGGAGGAGTAGGCAGCTCCCTTTCTAAATTCTTGAGCTGCTGTGTCTCTGGGCATATACAGAGTGCTTTTTTCCTGCACACTTGGGACAGGCAGACCTATTTTGCAACCTATAAATTTATCAACACCATTAAATAATTGAATCATGGTACTATTCATACTTTCCAAATACTGAGCTCCTGGGTCTCTGGGCATGTACAGAGTGCTTTTTCCTGCACACTTCGGACAGGCAGACCTATTTTGCAACCTATAAATTTATCTATACCATTAAATAATTGAATAATAGTACTATTCATACTGGGTTGAGGGTTTTGGTTCCCCATTTACAGTTCAATCTAATGATTTTTTATTCTGTTAAAAAGTGATTTAATTCTTCCGTTTCTTTTTCTTTCTTTCTTTCTTTCTCTATCCATCCATTTGTCAAAAATGGTGTAGGGCCTCCTGCTTAGGCGGGAAAGTTGGGGTTGGACTAGATGACCTCAAAGGTCCCTTCCAACATTTAATCTATCATCTGTCTACCCATCCGTTCATCTGTTGGAAATGGTGTAGGGCCTCCTGCTTGGGCGGGGGGTTGGACTAGATGACCTCAAAGGTCCCTCCCAACATCTCATCTATCTATCCATCCATCCACCCATCTACCTACCTACCTACCTTATCCTGGAGACTTACCACCTCCATGCCATTTCTCACTCTTCTTAATTCTTCCTTTCCTTTTTGCTTTTTATCCCCCCTTTTATATATTCAATCTTCCTTGAAAGAAAATCTCCGCAGCCAAGTCCCCATAATACAATGTTTCTCAACCTTAGTAGCTTGACGATGGGTGGGACTTCAACTCCCAGAATCCCCCAGCCAGCACCCATCGTCAAGCTTCCAAGGTTGAGAAACACTGCGCCTAATATAATACAAATTGTGCAAATGAAAATAAGCCTGCTATTTACCGAGTTACTATTTATTATTTACTAACTTTCAGTATATCTTGGCCCCACCTTTCAAGGCAATGCATTTAAACATGCATTAAAAATATATCTTTATATTTTAATTAATTAAATATATATATATATATATATATTTAATCCGGCAGCGAACGTGGCTTGCTCTGCATTTTTAACAATATGTGGGTGGCAATCGAGTTTTTTTTTAAAAAAACTCACCAACTCGTCACTTTTTCAACGGATGCAAAACACCCAACGGTTTGCATTAGAGATGAGTCCTCAACTTACAACCATTCATTTAGTGACCAAAGTCTGAGGGGGGGAAAAAAAAGTGATTTGCAACAGCTCCTCGCATTTGCAACGGTTGCCATGTTTCCCCACAGTCACAGGATCAAAATTTGGGCATTTTGACAATTAGTTGTGTGTTTAAGGTGGTCTCAGCGTGTGATTGCCGTTCGCGACGTTCCCACGAGCGAAATTAATTCGCTTAACAACCGTGTGCGATCCACTTAATGGCGATGATTTGTTTAACCACCTTGGCGAAAGGAGGCGACTCTCTTAAGAACCGTGGAAATTCTGCCTTCCCCCCACCACAATTGCGGTCATAAGTCGAGGATTGCCCGTAACACAAAGGAAGCTAAAAATCTTACACCCTCACAGCTTTTAGTTCTTCCTTCAAAGGAAGCGCTCTGTATAAATCTAATAAACTTTAATTAATTGACGTAGGAACTCTTCTTTTTTTTTGTAGCCTGAAGCTACTGCCTGTCCCGGCAGGCCAGATTCTTGCAAATGAAGCAAGGTGATCATTAAAATAAAATTAAAAAAAAACCCTCAGCAGTCTTAACAGAAGCACAATTAAATTCTGCAGCACTAAAAGCAGCATTAAGCGGTGTGTTTAGGCGGCGTGCATGGATTTATTTTTTAAGGGGGAAAAAAACCCCCCCAAAATTAAAGATCTGTTGCGGGATAAAATTCAGCACCTTTGAAAGCTGGAGGTAGGCAAAACACACACTTACACACAGACAAAATGCCAATTAGAGCACGCTAAATTGAACTCCGCGTACTCCGTTGTGCATTAATTAAGATTTAGAGCGGATGACGGCGATCCAAGCCAAGTTAATTCTCAATTTTTAATTCAGCCGATAAACGCCTTCGGGGATTTGATGCTGTATGAAAACCACGGCAGGGATCAAAACAGCACAGGAACCAAACTGCGCGTAGTTAAAATCATAATTAAAAAATGCTTTTTATTTGATTGCTCTCACCTAAGCCGAGTCCCAGTTTGTCAGTTCAATTCCCGCGCAAACACACAACACCCTTTATTCCCTTTTGCGAAGTTGTTTCCTCGCTTCCCATTGCAAACTGGGAACGCTGCAGAATTTGCAAACCTATATATATATTTAAAAAAACAAAACAGCCCCCAATTTTTTTTTTCCCCCTAGATGCATCGGATTCTATCTCCCATCTTGCCCAGCAGGCTGGGAACGATGGAAGTCGTGATGCAGGGGAAAAAAAAAAATCCTAATTAGGAAAGGTCCTAAATAGATTTATTTCCCCCCACCCCCCACTCAATAAAATGCAGAAAAAAGTTGATCGTCTCGTGCGCCTTTCGCCCCCCCATTCACGAGGCACTGAACCCAAGAACAAAAGAGGCATTCTTGAAGCTGCTTTCCACACACACGCACAAAAATAATAATAAATGAGGCCTTCGTTCGAGGCTTTCGTTTAAAACGGAAAAGCTTCCAGGCAGTTTTTGCAACCGTCCTTTGCGTTTTTTGCAATTTCGGGCATTTAACTCAACGCAGAAAATACCGGGCTGTTGGGTCGACTCGCTGTTAACCCGAGGCCGGAGTTTAAGGAAAGGGCCACCATCCGCTAACCGAGATTCCCAAATTCCTAACAGCTTCTTAAAAACCTCAATACCCCGTGCGACCGGTTAGACAAACCCAGATTCAGTTCTTTTCCTAGCAACCTGGTTAGCTTCCTCCTTTCTCCAGCCTCCAACCAACCAAATCCATAAATGGCAACGATTTGGCAGTGCCCTCTGGCTCAGCGACTTACGTCTTCACCATGTCAGTTTAACCGCAGCTTTGCGTAACCAGGTTTTCCGTAAGCCATCACGTGGTGCTCGAATCGGTCCGATATTTAGCTGGCGTCGTTTTGGAAACTTATTAAACTAAGGCAGCGGAGCAAGCCAGCTTTAACTACGATGGCCGAGTCAAGGAGCTGGGACGGACACAAACTTGGACTGCCCAGGGATGGGAGAACCTCAAACTCTTGTCAAAGATGTGGAAAGAATCCTAAAGTCAAAAAATGTTGGGGGGGAGGAAACCATCTTGAAACCTGGGTTAATTTGCTTTCTCACGTCGGTCAAACTTTTTAAGGCACTGGAGGAAAAAAAATGAAGGCACTATGATTTTCTCGCTCCGAAGCTGGAGATGATTGGCACCAAAAATATATCTTTTTCCCGCCCCCTCCCATCCCGATCCGATGTATTAAACCAACCCAAAATGTCCCGTTTTCCACTACATTGAAGTCCTAACCCCACACGGCGGAGCTCCGAAATGAGACCCGGCGGAAAATATTTTGAGTTTCAACGGAGCGTAGCGGAAGTACCGGCGTGCGGGGAATCTTCGTTTCGGCCCCTCAGGGATGGATTTGCAGATTCGGTGGATGTCTTTTGAGTTTTTCGAGGTGGGGTTCGGCAGCCCCGTTAGAGGCGGAGATAAGCAAGAACGATGGGAGGCAAGTTTTTTGGCAACGGGAAACGGGGCACCGAGGAATCGTTTTTTTGGCAAACTCCCGTAAGAGGAAATCGCTGGCGTGACGGTGGATGTTTCCCGCACATTGTGTCCGGGAGTGGTTTTTCTCCCGCTGCCCCGTGCCCGCCACACTGCCGCTCAGATCTTTACGAACAAAACGCTGGTGACCAGGGCGAATCCGAGCAGGAGAACGATGACCTTCAGGATACGTTGCTCCGAAGAGCCAAGTTCGTGGGGCAGGATCTCCAAAAATGTGATGTAGACGAAGGTGCCCGTGGCTAAGCCTTCCAGGACGCTGCGAGAAAGGCGGGACAGAGCCGCCATGGGGACCTCGGTCAGAGCCACCCCCAACCCGATGCCGAACGGGGACATGGCGGAGAAGATAACCAGGCAGATCGCCACGACTCGGGGACGCAGCCGCCCTTGCAAGAGCTTGAGGCTCAGGCTGAAGGCGATGGCGCCTTTGTGGATCAGGAGCGCCAAGCAGATCTCCAAGGCTTGGGTGCCGTCTTCCTGCAGGCCGACGGCCAGCCCTTCGAAGATGGAGTGGAGCGACAGCGCCAGGAAAAGCACCACCAAGCGGATGGCCGAGTGGGCGTTGAAGTCCACGTGGACGTGGGTGCGCTCGGCGGCCAGGCGGTCCCGAGCCAGGGGACGCTGGGATCCCTCCGGCCAATTCTGGTCCTGCTGCTGCAGGGAGGAATGCTGATGGGAAGCAGAGCTCAAGAGAGCTTCTGTCTCTTCCAGGGATCCCGACGGGTCCTTGTAAGCCAGCACGATCTGTTCCAACACCAGGACTACGAAAAAGCCCATGGCCAGGATGAATTCCTGCAAAGGGAAACGGAGCTGTCCGGAGGGGAGAAAGAGAAAGAAAAAAAAATCAATTTGAGCCCCCCTGTTCCAGATTCTGACTTCCCCTTTTCAGCTAGACAGGTGTTAAAGACCTATCAGCTTCCCCAAACCACAAAACTTTGGGGAACTTTCTTTGTCCCGACAAAAAAAACCCTTTTTATTAAGTTACTGTGAATTCTTCTCATTCACATCCAGCAAAGTCTTTCAAGGGACAATTTACAGCCACAGACCTTATCTGGCTTGGAGAGCTGCCAGGCCGATAAGTTCAAAACTTGGCAAGGAAGGAGTCACGAACCAATTAAGTGAACTAATTGTCTCCTGCAAACTCCCCTCCCCTTTCGCTCCTCTTTTATTCCCTCTAGGAGGGGCCATTCACCGTCCACCTGTGGCTTTACTCCTGAGTCGCCCCTTGTTCTTTAGCCGTTCCCTTCGTCTGGCAGCTCTGGGAACAGGCTCCAGCTATTCTTCTGCCCCACTGATGTCTGACTCCGAAGGCAGCTGATAACTGTCAGACGGCCCTGGCCCCCTCTCTGCCTCCGACGCAGAGCCCTCCCCAGGCTCCAGGACTGGCCCAGGTTCCTCCCCAGCCTCCTCACTGTCCGAATCTGCTGCCAGCTTCACTGTCCGGCCACGACGACAGGACCCCCGAATATCTTGAAGCGCTGCCGTTCTTAACGCAGCGAACGACTAATCTCACACGGAAAAAAGAAAAGCCCCTTACCGCGATGGGGCGACCACCAACCCCAAAAGCGTCCCCCAGCGCCAAGCACCATCTTGGCCCCATCCTCCTCGCCCGGCACACTTCCGCCTCACTCACGCGGTGCATTCTGGGAGGAAGGGCACGGGAGGCGCTCTGCGCACGCGCCGGGGGTGGGGAAGAATCTTGCAAAGGGCTCAGTCCGTTTGGTTGCAACGTGGCATTTCTGGTCTTTGGTGGCAGCCGGGAGAAAGAGGACGGAGAATATATTCCTCTCTCTCTCTCTCTTTCTCACTCTTTCTATTCTCTCTCTCTCTCTATTTTTCTTACTCTTTCTCTCTCTTTTTTTTTCTTTCTTTCTTTTCGAGAGGGAATTAAAACCTAGAACAAATTTGGGATGTTGCAATTGTGGCCAAACTCACCGTGACTTGCAAGTCATCCAGAGCTTCGTTAATGCTGGCTAGATAACTAGGAAGCAGATCGAGAAGGCACGTGCCCAGGAAGATGCCGCCGGCAAAACAGCTCACCAAACTCAGGGTTTTCCTCTGAGGGCCTGTTAAGAAGAAAACGGGAGGACAAGAGGGGGAAAAAAAATTAATAAAAAAATAATAAAAGTTGGCCAGCATTCCTCGGAAACGCCCCTCTTGTTATTCTGTGATAACTCCAGACGGCAGGACAAGTAGCAGCGGATGGAAACTATAATCAAGGAGAGAAGCAACCTAGCACGAAGGAGGAATGTCCTAAGAACAATTTGACCAGTGGAACTGCTTGCCACTAGAAGTTGGAGGCGCTCCATCGCTGGAGGTTTTCAAGAAGAGATTAGGCAGCCATTTGTCCAGAATGGTGTCAGGGTCTCCAGCTTAAGCAGGGGGCTGGACTAGATGACCTCCAAGCTCCCCTTCCAACTCCGTGACTGTTAAGGTATGGCGCTCCCGAGCGGCACAATCCTCATTTGACTGCGAAATAATTCTCTCTCTCTCTCTCTCTCTTTTTTTTTTTGCAAGGAGATTTTTCTTTTTTTATATCAAAAGGCCGGGAGAGATTGGGGGACCGATTCTGAAGCATTTCCAAATCCAAAATATAGATTGGAATTCTATCGGAGTCGAAATACACATTATTTAAAGAGGGGGGGAAAAAAACCACGAATTTTCTCAACAGCATCTGGTTTGTTTTCAGCCATTCTTCCACATCTTCTTTAAAAAATATATATATATTTTTTAAAAGTCTTCTCGGCTACATTTTTCCCCCTTCTTTGCCTCTTTTTCCAAACACGAGTTCCTTCAATTTTTTTTTTCTTCCTCCCCAAGCCCCAAGAAAAAAGAAAACATTATTTAAATCGGAAAGTCCACATCCTGAAGGCCAAAAGCTCTGTTGTTGCTGGGCCCTTTCTCAAATTCAGGAATTTCCAATAAATATTTAACTTCCTGTTGTTTTTTTTTAATTATTTGGGCAGACAAGAGCTTCTGAAAACCGCAAATAACATTCCCTTTCTCCATTGCTGCTTCCCCCACCACCACCAAGGCCACAGGAAAGATTAAATGTTCAAATGGTAAACCTACGCAGAGTTTTGAAAGAAAAGCAGATAAGTTAACTCACCATTAGCCCCTCCGGATCCAATCTGGAGGATAAACAGCCTCAAACTTAACTCCTTCTCTTGGAATGGACTCAAGACAAAAAGTTTTCTTGTTTTAAAAGAAGTTCAGATTCTGATTCAGTTCTGATTCAGTTCTGATTCTGTTCTGATTCTGTTTCAGTTCAGATTCAGCTCTGATTCTGGTTCAATTCTGATCCTTATTCAAATTCAATTCTGATCGTTTCAATTCCGATTCAGTTCCGATTCTGATTCAATCCTGATTCAATTCAGATTCAATTCAGATTCAGTTTTGATTCTGATTCTGATTCAATTAAGATTGTTTTAATTCAGATTCAATTCTGATTCCAATTCAATTCTGATTCAATTCCGATTCAGCTCTGATTCTGATTCAATTCCGATTAGGTGATTCTGATTCAATTCTGATTCTTATTCAAATTCATTTCTGACTGTTTCAATTCCGATTCTGTTTCAATTCCGATTCAGTTCTAATTCGGATTCAATTCAGATTCAGTTGAGATTTCAGTTCTGATTCAATTCGGATTCTGTTTCAATTCAGATTCAGTTCTAATTCGGATTCAATTCCAATTCTGTTTCAATTCAGATTCAGCTCTGATTCAATTCAGATTCAGCTCTGATTCTGATTCAATTCTGATTCAAATTCAATTCCGACTGTTTCAATTCAGATTCAGTTCTGATTCTGATTCAATTCCGATTCAATTCCGATTCCATTCTGATTCTGATTCAACCGGTCATGGATTGGATCCCTAGACCCAGCAACCCCACCCCCCCAAAACCCACGTACCGAAGCTTCCGCTGTTGAGGGCAGACCCCGGCCTCCGGAACAGCCATAGGGGAATGAACGCACAAAGCAGCGTCACTAACAGGAGCAGCACCAGAGACCCCAGCTTCAGCTCCAGGGCCTGCACCGAGCGCGCCGTGCTCTCGTACGGGTTCCAGACCAGCTTGGTGTCCAGTTTCGTATCCGAGTCCCACGATCCAGCCATCCCGAACATGCTCCAATCTAACAGACTCTTCAATTTGGAGGGGGGGGGGGTTCTCCAAAAATTTGCCGAGCAGATCCCAGACGCAAATGTCGCACCAAGTTTAAGTCCGGGGTGCCCTGTCCATGCTCCGCCGGTTTCGACGCGCCCCGACCGTCACACCGTCACAACCTAGAGGAAGAAACAGGGAGCGTTTTACGACAGTCCTCGCTTAGCGGCCGTTCCAAGTTACGACCAACGTTTCAAGAAAGTCAAGATTTTGAAGCTCCGATGGTCAGTCATTCTGGATACTCGGCAGCCCGCTCAATTTGGCAGCAGTCCAAGAAATTGGTGCCTCTGCACGCTATTAATTTATTAAAATATTTGGGGAAGAGAAAGCATTATAAGCGACTCCACAAAAAAAAAAAAAAACCTGAAATAAAAAGAATTAAATAGATTAATAAACAGGAAGTTTGAAGTTCACTCTTTCATTTGCTGACAATGTAGAAGTTCACTGGATCATTTAAAATAAATTAAAGGCCACCATTATTAAATTATCATTATGCACTTAATGGGTTGGTTTCTTTGCTGACGCTCAGAGCTGCTTGGACATGAATCGGATTAATAAATACATAAATGATTCAAGGTTAAATGTATTTGATATTATAATAAGAAAGCAAAATTAAGCAATTTTCCTCCATTTTTTTCCAAACTACTCTACATATTCCATTCCTGGAATATCAAATGTTCCTTCCCGAATTATTTTGCTTTTTTCCCCATCTGAATATTTGACAATCTAGATAGTCCTCGACTTAACGACCATTCATTTAGCGACCGAAGCTACAGCGTCACCGGAAAAAAACCCCGATTTACGACCGTTTTTCACGCTTACGACCGTCGTAGCATTTTTCCCCCATGGTCACGTGATCAAAATTCAGACGCTCGACACCCGACTCGTACTTACGACAGGTCCCGTGGACCCCTTTTGCGGCCTTCGGATAAGCGACGGGGAAGGACAGATTCACTTACCAACCTCAACGGGACGGATTCGCTTAATAACGGCGGCGGCAAGAAAAAACATAAAATGGGGCAAAACTCACTCCGCCACAAAAAAATCCGAGGCTTCGTTTTGGGTCGTAAATCGAGGACTACCCCGTAATAATTTTTTTTTTTTTTTAAATGTGAGCCAGCAACCGGGAAAGGAATATGAGTGAGTCAATGACCAGTTCCAGTAATTTACCATTTCCAAGCAGAGGGGGAAAAGGTTAACTCCCCCAACCCATTTTTGACCCCCCCTGATTTATACCCAAGGTCAAACAGAGGGGGGGGGGGGAAAACACACACAAGATTTTAGGACAGTCTGCAGAGATTCTAGGAAACCGGCCAACCGAGTCTGGGATCCGAGAAGTGTTTTTTTTTTCTTTAATAAAAAAATAGTACATTTCAATTCTTGTTATTTAATTTGCTGCCAAGATCGACTTCCAGGAGGAAAAAAAAAGAAGAACAAAAAAACAACTCAGTGGAATTTTGCCAAGTTGCGGGAACTAAATTTAACCCAGGTTTTCAGTCACTTCCCCTTAAGTTGCATTTTTTTAAAAAACCGAGGTTTGTTTTTGTTTTGCAAAGAACAAGTCATAAAATGGGGGGAATTGGGCAGCTATTTTGAAAAAATTTGCTTGCTAAAAAGCAGGCCGGTTTTAAAAGAGCTTCCATGGGTCAAGGCAGTGTATCTTTAAACATCCTTTCCAGCTTAAATTCCAGTTTCCATCGGGGCTAACGGGTTGAAATTCTTAATTCAACATCTGGCTGTTTGTCCGTTCATCTTTCGATTTGGCTGCTGAGAGAAACTTTCTTCTCTATTCAATTTTGATTTTTTTTTAAATTTTATTTGAAAAGCGATTCTAATGGCTTTTTCAGGAGCGGAAATACCGAAATGTTCACCCAAAATCTAGCCAGCCAAGCTAGAAACAAATGTGTTGAAAGGCAGTTCATTTCTAGAGCTTTTATAATGAAGTATAATTTATAAATACATGTTTATATGCATACAATTTATATAAATTTATATAAATTATATAGTCACACTTAAGATTTGTATACAGATTTGCTAGCTAAAAATCAAAGCCCAGCCTTGATTAAAACACTGCCAATCATTTAATTTTAATGTTTTTTATTTTTTTACGTGTTAACTGAGATGCAACTGTAAGTCACTCAAGAATTACCCTATGGTAAAATATGGGAAGTCAATACATTTTTATAAATAAATAAAAATAAATCAATGTGGGTTTTTGTTTTTTTTTTTTGTAAATAACTCGTCTTTTGAGAAGTCCGATCTTGAAAATTCATTAAATTTGGATTATTCAGACAAACTTCAGGCAAACTGAAGGAGAAACTGAAAAGGGCAGAGTTTTCTGATCAGTGGAAAGTTAATTTAATTATTAGTTACCACTTCATTTTCCTCCTACAAAACAAACAATGATGACCCTTGATTCAAAGACTAAGCAATCCTGAATTAATCACGGGCTGTTAAAAGTACCAGCAACAGCCAAGTCACCTGAGTTCTGCAGGTAAACTTTTAACTTGCATCCAAGCAAGGAATATGGGAATTGTTGTTCCATTTCTAGGCCGCACACTTCACCCAAACTGACTGTGGAATTAAAAGCTCCAGGGATAAATCTAAATAATATTCTGTTCTGTTGGAAAGGAAAGTTATAATCTCTCATTTTGTATCCCGGGGTTGTTTTTCCTAGCTTAAGCCACCAGAGAGACAAAGAAAAGTCTTGTAGAAACAAAGAGAAAAAAAAATAATTAAAATTAATCCTGGCTTATTCACATCCGTATTAAATTTGAATTAAAAACTCAGGCTAAAAGTACATGAACCAGAATTTTTTTTTTTTTTTAAAAAAACAGTTTTCCAAATTATGCAGCTTGTCTCCATAATACCCCACCCCTCCCTCAGGAAACAATCCCCAAAGCTCAAGTTTAGACCCACCCACCCAAAATAAATCCAGTGGCCATGAGTTCCACCAACCCCCAGCAGGAAAACACCACCCTAGGGGCAGCAAAAGTGCTTCAGCTCCTCATCCCTGCTAAAGTGAAGTTACTCCAGGGAAGTTTAGTTTGGCTACAACTCTCCGCCGGCCTCCCCTCTGGGGATGATGGGCCCTGTAGTCCAGCACACTAGGAGACGGAAATTTCCAATGGAAGAGTCCCTGGGGGTCTTTTCTCCAAAGACGAAGAGGGAAGGAAAGTCGGTTGGTGGAGATAGCCTGGCTACCACTCTCTTCTTCCCCTCTGGGGACGATGGGCTCTGTAGTCCAGCACCCCAGGAGACCCACTCTTGAAATGGAGAGTCCCTGGGGTCTTTTCTCCAAAGACGAAAAGGGCTTTGGGGGGGGGGGTCAGTTGTTGGAGATAAGTCTGGCTACCACTCTCCTCTTCCTCCCCTCTGGGGATGATGGGCCCTGTAGTCCAGCACAGCAAGCAGATACACCCTTGGGAAGGAAGGGTCTCCCCCACTCCCGGTCCTGTTTCAAAGAGGAACAGGGGAAGGGGTTCGAGTGGTGGTCTTGAAAGACCACCAAGCCAAACCCCTCGGACTCACTGGACCAGGACTACCGTGACCATCCTCCTTTTTGGCTGGGGAGCATGGGACTTGGGGTCCAAACCCAGCTGGGGCGGGGTGTAATTAAGAATTTAAGGGTCTCTTAAGACCCTACTTTTGGGGAAGGGGGTCAGAGACCCGGTTCCCACCCCCCCCAACACCTCCCACCGCCGCTCTGCGGGAGACCCCCGACTCACCGCCGGCTGCAACTCCGCGCAGTTCCGAAAAGTGTCTGGACGTTCCAAAGGGGCGTGGCCGGGGCTCAAAGGAGAGGAAGGAAACCCAAGTGTTGCACCGGCCAATGGGCTTCTTGGGCCTGGCGTTCGAAATGGGCGTGGCGGCCGGGTTAAAAAAAAAAAAATTGCTCGCTCGGCCAATGGGAGGGCGTCCTTTTTCAAGCTCGGCCGTTCGAAAGGGGAGGAGCGAAGAGGGCGAGAGAGAGAGAGAAAAAAAAAAAGCCAGGTTCGAAAGAGGCGGGCTCCCCTTCGCGTTCCGATTGGCGGACGCCCAGACGGAAAGCAGGACTGGCCAATGAGGAAGGCGCAATGCAAAAACGCGTGTTTTCAGCTTGGGTTGAGCGTCACGTGTGGAAGGAACTTGCAGGGAGATCAAAGCGTGTTGCAAGGAAGTGTTGCATGGGGAAGGGGGGGATGTGAGTCAGTCCCCCCCTCTTCCAGAAAACTCCAATCCTACCCCCACATTTACTAACTACCTGGAGTTACAGGAGTTAAAATGCAACCCACATACACAAACTAACCCAGGTTAACAAGTGCAAAGGCTGCATTCAGACAACCCGTGTTGACCCGTTTAATCCCTCCGGCTGCAATCCACCAGGCTTCCCTTTGCTCCGATAGTCCTCGCCTTACGCAGCCCCCAAATGTATATGTTGCTAAGTGAGACGTTTTTGCTTTTTTTGCCCTGTTTTACGACCTTTCCTGCCTCGGTTGTTAAAAGGGGACTCGCTGTGCAGGTGTGAAGTTAGTCGCCACCCGGTCGTTAAGCGAATCTGCTTCCCCCTTCCCCACCCTTGACTTGGCTTGCTTGTCAAGACGGTCATAAAAGGAGATCGCGTGACGCCGCACCCGTCATAAATGCGAGTCGGCGGTCAATAAATGCCCACCTTCTCCCAAATGCACCCTAAAAACACCCCTCAGTTTCTTAGTGGGGGGGTGGGGGGGTGAAATGCTATATTTAAAATTACATTACTCACCTGCAAGATTAACAGTAAGAGAGGGTCCTCGGAGGTCATTTAGTCCAACCCCGTCTCACGCAGGAGACCTGTAGTAGGGATTCGAACCAACGAACTGCCGACCTTTCTGATCGACAAGCTCAGCGTCTTAGCCGCTGAGCCACCTAGCCAGGCGAATATGTTTAAAAATAAAGCTGTTAAATGTTGGAAACGCAACCAAATAATCAGGTTCATGTTATCATATGTGGTGGAAGTGTCCCAAAGCAAAAAAAAAACACCGGAAGAAAATACGCATGTGGCTGGAAATTATGACAAAACAACACATAGATGTGAAAACTGAGACATTCCTGTTGGGGCATGCTTCCCGGAAACTATAATAAGGGTAACACATATTTAATTTCACATATGCTCCAATCTACAGACCCTTCAATTGGGGGAGGGGGGGGTCTCCAAAAATTTGCCAGGATTGCATATGCACAATACTGGGGAAAAATGTAGAAACCCTTACAGATGACATTATAATAATAATAAAAAAAATTCTGGAATGTGTAGAAATGGATAGATTAACCCTAAAAATCAAAGGAGAAGAATATCGGAATATTTTTAATAACCTGGGAACTATTCTACAAATGGTTAATTGACAGATACAGAGGTTAGAGGGGTGGATTTGTGTGAAATATGGACTACATGAGAAAGAAAAACTGATGAGTAAATATTTCGACGGTTATGTAACCGATACTATAATGGAAAAGATACTTTTCAAGAACGATTGAGATTATCGCACATATGTTTATATGTATCCGATTATAATGATGATGATGATGATGTTTATATGTTAACACTCTGGATACCCAGAAAACACACACCTGACGACGTCTCAGCCAACTGAGCTTGTCAATCAGAAAGTTCGGTAGTTCGGCGGTTCGAATCCAGGTCTCTCCTCTAGCAGGGGGCTGGACTAGATGACCTCGAAGGTCCCTTCCGCTGTTAGTTACAGTAACGTAGAAATGGAATTGGTGATATCAAACAATACAAAATTTTTATACACAAAGTTACAAGAAACGCACCCCAAAAAAAAGCAAAAGGCACGAGAGAATTCTATTTTTTTTCCCCCCTGGAAATTTACTATATCGCCAAACGAACAGGATTTATTTCCAGCCCATTGTTCCCCGGGGGGGGGGGGGGGGAGGGGGAAATAAGTGTGCAAACACATTTCCCTTGCCAGATTTTTTTTTTTTTTTAATTTTACGACCTTGGTGCAAAGTTTATTGGTCCCTGGCCTTTATTTTTAGCTCTTTCCATTGGCCAAAGTCTCGTGGGTTGGTCCTTGGAAAGGCGAGTTTCAGGATATTGAAGATCCTTGTGTAGAGAAACGGGTTTTAAAATTAAAAAAAAAACAAAACTTCCTTGTTGGAGGACAAACGGGGACATTGTTCTCCTTCGCCTCCCCAGCGTTGCAAAACGAGGAGGACAAAGATCGGAGAACGAAGGGTTAATTTTATTTTTACTTTTTACTTTTTTTCCCAGGGCTGCAAATCGCACCCCAAAAAGGAAAATGTTTTTTCAGGGGGATTCCTCAGAAGACAAAGTCTCTGTGCTTGCCAAATATTTGCAGAGTTTAAAAAGTTTTGCAGCTTGGTGGTGGATTTAATGCCGGCTGTCTATATTGCATTCCGGCGACTGCCTGTAAATTGATTTTTTTATTTTTTAATTTTTTGGCTGCCCCGGCATCCTGGAAAAAGAGAGCAATTTGGGGATTCTGAATAAGGGCTTTGATTCAAGTTGTTGCATCGTTTCCTCTGACCTTAGTCTGGACTGCCGGTATGGGGTCCGGCTGGCTGGACTGAATGCTGGAGGCGATTTGGAGATTAACCTAAACAAAAAAAAAAAATTCAGATTTTTTTTTTAACCTTCAGAAGTTGGGGGTGCTCCATTGTTGGAGGATTTTATGAAGAGACCGGACAGTCCCTTGTCTGAAATGGTCTAGGGTCTCCTGTTTGAGCCGAGAGCTAGACTAGAAGACCTCCAAGGTCCCAGCTCTGTTATTCTGCTATTCTTTTCCTTCCTTCCTTCCTTCCTTCCTTCCTTCCTTCCTTCCTTCCTTCCTTCCTTCCTTCCTTCCTCACCATACACCTATTCATCTATCTAACCACCTTCCTTCCTTCCTTCCTTTCCTTCCTTCCCTCCCATCCACCTATTTATCTAACCATCTTCCTTCCTTCCTTCCTTCCCTCCCTCCTTCCTTTCCATCCACCTATTCATCTATCTAACCATCTTTCTTCCTTCCTTCCTTCCCTCCCTCCTTCCTTTCCATCCACCTATTCATCTATCTAACCATCTTCCTTCCTTCCTTCCTTCCTTCCCATCCACCTATTCATCTATCTAACCACCTTCCTTCCTTCCTTCCTTTCCTTCCTTCCCTCCCATCCACCTATTTATCTAACCATCTTCCTTCCTTCCTTCCTTCCCTCCCTCCTTCCTTTCCATCCACCTATTCATCTATCTAACCATCTTTCTTCCTTCCTTCCTTCCCTCCCTCCTTCCTTTCCATCCACCTATTCATCTATCTAACCATCTTCCTTCCTTTCCTTCCTTCCCTCCCATCCACCTATTTATCTAACCATCTTCCTTCCTTCCTTCCCTCCCTCCTTCCTTTCCATCCACCTATTCATCTATCTAACCATCTTCCTTCCTTCCTTCCTTCCTTCCCATCCACCTATTAATCTAACCATCTTCCTTCCTTCCTTCCTTCCCTCCTTCCTTCCTTTCCATCCTATTCATCTAACCATCTTCCTTCCTTCCTTCCTTCCTTTCTTCCCTCCCATCCACCTATTCATCTAACCTCCCTTCCTTCCTTCTTCCTTCCTTTCCTTCCAATCCACCTATTCATTTATCTAACCATCTTCCTTCCTTCCTTCCTTTCTTCCCATTCACCTATTTATCTAACCATCTTCCTTCCTTCCCTCCCTCCCTCCTTCCTTCCTTTCCATCCTATTCATCTAACCATCTTCCTTCCTTCCTTCCTTTCTTCCCTCCCATCCACCTATTCATCTATCTAACCAACCTTCCTTCCTTCCTTCCTTCCTTCCTTCCTTCCTTCCTTCCTTCCTTCCTTCCTTCCCTCCCTCCCTCCCTCCCTCCCTCCCTCCCTCCCTCCCCGAGGTCCCTTCCGGCTCTATTCTGATTCCGGTTCTGAAATTTGAAGGGGCTCAACTCTTTTTACAAGATGGATTTTGAAAGCACGAATCTTTTCGAAATTCTCTTCGATGGACAACAGGAGGGTTTGGATCCCGGACACAGCCTCGCTGCCGGAAACTCCGGCGTCCATATCCTCCTTCAAGACCACCCCTACGGCTGTCTTCCGGATAAACCCGGGAACTGCCCAGCCGGCCAGATCCAGGTAAGACCCGGAACCTTGCAGAAAGCCCCTCGATTTACAACATTCGTTTAGCAACGGTTCAGAGTTAGGGAAAAAAAAAGTCCTCGCGCTTACGACGCGACGAAAAACACTCATCCGTTGCTTTGTCCCCGTTTTGTGTCCCTCGTTCAGCGTCTTCCTGAGGACGATCCAGAAGAACTTTTACAACTTCGGATCAACCCCAATGAGGTCTACCATCCCAGGAGCTCAACGGCGTCTCCGGAGAACAGCGGCGACGTTTCCCCGAGTCTCGGCCGAGACCCCCTGCCTCACGACCCATCTCCCACTATCGTCCTGGAGGTCCTCTGTGACCCGGGAACCTTGGAAGATCCCAACCCTCTTGGTAAGCATCCATCGTAAACAGGGCTGGGATTCAGCCGGTTCGGACAGATTTGGACGAGCCAAAATTATTCATTTTAATCTGGTTCGCCGAACCGGTTGTTCCGAAGACTGGCTGACCCCACCCGCCCTGCCTTCCCCTCCCGGGAGTCTCCACACAGCCCGTTTTGGATGCCAGGTAAGTGCAGGGCGCACACGGAGGCTCTGCGAGGGCGAAAAATGAGCCTGGGCAGTGAACCGGTTGCTGAAATTTTTCAATCCCACCCCTGATCGTAGGGGGGAAAAAAAACAACCCCCTGCCTCGGTTTCCCTAAACTGCGATTTGGGAAGTTTAATCAGATTTAGGCCAGAGGAATTGAGCAAGAATCTAAATCCTGTTTCTTAAAAGTCGAGCCGTTCCCCCAAAAGTCAGGGGGACCCCTCCCTCTGGAATTGACCTCCAGTCGATAAGTCCCCGCTCAGCAGATTTCTAGCACAGGTAGTCCTCGACATAACGACCTCAAACGAGCCCCAAATTTCCGCCGCTCAGCGAGACAGGGGTTCGGGGAACGTTTCCCCGTTTCACGACCTCGCTTGCCGCCGTCGTTCCACGAATGACGGCAGTCGTTCGGGGAGGAACAACGGTTGTTAAGTGAACCTGGCCGACAGGACACCCACACACACAGATACGGGGATGCTGCGAGCGTCATAAATACGAGCCCGCTGCCAAGGGTCCGAATTTCGATCAGGGGAACCATCTATGGGGGATGCCGCGTTGGTCGTACGTGTGAAAAACGGGTCATCGGTTCCTTTTTTTCCCAGCGGCGCTGTCCCTTTGAACGGTCACTAAACGGACCGTTGTAAGTCGAGGACTACCTGTAAAATTATTATTATTATTTTTTATTTTTATTATTTTTTTAAAAAAATATACTTTATTGAATTTTCCAAAATTAAAAAGATAATATACAATCTCTATCTTGATAAGAGGTTATGATTATTATTTTTTAACAGAGGGAGCCATCGTAGAAGCAGCCATTAGAACTATGGTTAAATTGCACCCAAGGCAGGGAATCAGGATTTTTACAGCCAAACCATCTCTTTCTCCTCGATTTTATCACATCAACAATGTGGATAATACCGTTTTTGGGGGGGGTTCTTTTCCAGGAAATTGGAGCCCCCTTGGAACCCACCCACCCATTTGCATTGCGAGCCAAGCATCACTGGGTTGCTTGGAAGGGGCGATCCGTTTAAACGCGGCCGAGGTTCCCACGGAGCAGGTAAGATAAGATACAAAAATGGGGTAAATTCAAATATTCCGGAATATTTCAAAGCATGGATCCAGTCCGGTCACTGGTGTTTAAAGGCACATCAGTGGCTTTTGAGACACACACACACACACACAAATTTACATCTGGAAACTCCTGCCAAAGTTTAAGGTTTTTCCGACTTGAAGGCAAGGTGGACTTCAACTCCCAGAATGCCTCAGCTGGAAAAAAAAATGCAAGCAGCCAATCCGTGTACGTGGGGGGGCGGGTCTTGGTCTTGCGGGGCCCACTAGGGACTTGGGCCATGGATTGGCCGTTCTTTCCTTCCAGCTCTATGTCCCGGAGGACTTTTTAATTGGGGCTGGCAGCTTTCTTTTCAAAAAAACAAAAAACGCCCCCCCCCCAGGGTAGGCCGTTTTTGCCCTCCTGGAGGCTCGAGGAAAGCATCTGGTGCCTGGGGAGGACGAAAAACAGGCCTACCGGAAGTCCAGAAACAGGCCTCTTTCTGGCCTCCAGGGGGCCTCTGGGGTCCGGGGAAGGCCGTTTTCGTCCTCCTGGAGGCTCCAGGACAGCCTCTGGAGCCTGGGGAGGGCGAAAAAATGGGCCTACCGGAAATACCTGGCCTCTGGAGGGCACGCAAAGCGAACCGGGTTGTTACAACCGGTGAATCCCACCACTGCTATTATTCCCCTCTTATTTCTCTCTCTATTTTAACCTTTTTTTTTTCATGGCGCCGTAACATTGAAAGACGTTTCTTTCCTATCTTCCATCTTTCACCTGCGTTTGTTCTTCACATTTCCCTTCTTTCGCTCTTCCCCTCTATTTCTATCAAAGTTTCATCCTTCGTTCTTTCGTCTGTCCAGGGTTTCGATGTCCCCCTCCCGCCACCTGCCCTGTTCTTGACGGAGGAGGAGAGACACCTGCTAAGCCAGGAAGGCGTCTTGCTGCACGATGTCGTACCCCTTTCCCAGGTGGGTAGCTGGGCGAAGAGACGGGGAGACCCCCAACAGCTTCCCCGTTGCCCAGATCGGGGGTGGGCTTCAAAAAATTTTAGCAAGGGGCTCTCTGCCTGGTTGCTAAGTGGGCGTGGCCTAGTCGGTCTCCTGCACCACGGTTGGGGGGGGCATTTTGCCCTCCCCGGATTCCAGAGGCTTTTCTCGAGCCTCCGGGAGGGCAAAAACGGCCTCCCCAGGCTCCAGAGGCCCTCTGGAGGCCTTCCTGAACTTCCGGTAGGCCCGTTTTTCGCCCTCTCCGAGCCTCCGCGTGCGCCCTGCATTTACCTGCATCTAAAACGGACCACGTGGGGACTCCTGGGAAGGGTGGGGCGGGACCAGGCAGGAGTGGGATTTGGAGGTTCTCCAAACTGCACAGAATCTTAGCTAGAGGTTCTCCCGAACCCGTGCGAACCCACAGCAGCCCAGATCGCCTTCAAGCAGAAGAGAGAATCAAACAGGGAAGCCTGTCTTCCCGGGGTCTCTGCCAGCCCCTCTTCTTCGGGCCCGAAGCGAAACCCCCCACTTTGTCCTTCAGACGTCCAAAGCTCGTCGGGAGGGAGGGTCGCAGAACGCGAGTCATGCGGGGTCAGACGGGATCCTCAGCCCCATCTCTCTGCCCCTTCTCCGCAGGCGGAAGAGAGAATCCTCAAGAAAATACGGAGGAAGATTCGAAACAAGCACTCTGCCCAGGACAGCCGTCGACGCAAGAAGGAATATTTGGACGGTCTGGAGAGCCGGTGAGACGGGCGGGAAGCTTGGATGCTTGCTAGTTGTTGTTTCTTTCCCTATCATGGTCCCAATCGTGGTTAGAAGAGGATCTGTGGCTCTCCGAAATAAGATCTCTTCAGTATCCCGGATTCCCACTCCCTCGGCCCCAGGGAGACGGCGCCACTCCGACTCCCATCAGCCACAGCCCTTAGCCAGGCATTCTGGGAGTCGCCGTCGGAGTTCAAGAAAGAAACGAAAGATGTCACGGAGATCGGAGGAGCGAGGGGGGAGAGACAACTCCCGTTTTCCCCATCCGTCACGGCAGCTAGGGCAGGAGTCAGCAACCTGCAGCTCTGGAGCCGCATGTGGCTCTTTCACCCCTCTGCTGCGGCTCCCTGTCACTCAAAATATGCGTCACAACCGCCAATGTGCGACCCCCTCCGGCACACGATTTATTCAGCTTTTCAACCCCGGTAGGCCAACCATGGATAAATCCAAGAAAAGTTTCAAAAGAAAAGAGAAACGTTTAATTCAACGACATATGCTAGTTTTGTGGCCGCTCGAGAAATAAATCAGGCACAGGGAAGGGTTTTTGTGGCTCCCGGTGTTTTCTTTTCTGTGGGAAACTGGCTCCAAATGGCTCTTTGAGTGTTTTAAGGTTGCAGAGTCCCTGAGCTAGGGTGTTGTGATGGGAACTGTAGTCCGGGAAATTTCGGGAGCTGGGAAAGCAAGAACCGATGTTGGCTTGTCTGTTCGCTCGACAGGGTGGCTGCCTGCTCGGCGCAAAACCGAGATCTCAAGAAGAAAGTCCAGCAGTTGGAGAAGCATAAAGAGTGAGTTGGGGGGGCCTGGTTTCCTGTCCCCCCCCCCCGTTTTTTGGTCTATTCTTGGCTGCCCCCCCCCGCCTGCCAAGACCCCAGAGACGCTGACTGGAGGGTGGTCTCAGAAATAGATCTGCAATTCCATCAGGAGCAAAGTTTGTTTTCGGAAGACAACTTGAAAGCAAGAATGGGGTCTCAGATCAACATGCGTCTTTCGTAGCCTCTGATCTTGTACCGGTAGGGTAGACTGTTCCTGGAGAGGGAGGTTTCCTTTAGTCAATGCCTTTAAGGTGGAGGTCTTCATGTCTTCCATCAGGTGTGCCATTAAAATAATCTTGGTTTGTGGCAGTGAGTTTCCCCTTCCTTCCTTCCTTCCTTCGTTCCTTCCTTCCAATCCATCATCTATCTTCCTCCCTTCCTTCCATCATCTTCCTTCTTTCCTTCCATGTTCTTCCTTCCTTCCATCATCTATCTTCCTTCCTTTTATCATCTTCCTTTCCTTCCTTCTATGTTCTTCCTTCCATCATCTATCTTCCTCCCTTCCTTCATCTTCCTTCTTTCCTTCCATGTTCTTCCTTCCTTCCTTCCATCACCTATCTTCCTTCCTTTTATTATCTTCCTTCTTTCCTTCTATGGTATTCCTTCCATCATCTATCTTCCTTCCTTCCTTCCATCATCTTCCTTCTTTCCTTCCATGTTCTTCCTTCCTTCCTTCTATCGTCTATCTTCCTTCCTTTCTTCTATCATCTATCTTCCTTCCTTCTTTCCTTCCTATGTTCTTCCTTCCTTCCATCATCTTTCTTCCTTCTATCATCTTCCTTTATCTTCTATCTTCCTTCCTTCCTTCCTCCTATCATCTTCCTTCTTCCCTTCCTTCCATCATCTATCTTTATTCCTTCTATCATCTTCCTTCTATCTTCTATCTTCCTTCCTTCCATCGTCTATCTTCCTTCCTTCCTTCTATCGTCTTCCTTCTTCCCTTCCATCCATCATCTATCTTTATTCCTTCCTTCCTTTCCTCCTTCCTTTTTTCCTTTCTTCTATGATCCTCCCTCCCTCCCTCTCTCCCCTCCTTCCAGAAACCTTTGAGTGAGACCAGAAAGCTTAAGACAGAAAAGGAAGGCTGGGAGAATCTGGGAGTCCAGGATGCACTCCCAACTCCAGATCCCATGTTCTCCTGACCAGCCTCGTGCCTGGCCTGTGGCTGTGTCCCGGTCAGTGTCCAGGACTTTCCTTGCCTGGGCTCCTGTGGAGGGTGATCCTCCAAGCTTCAACGTCTCTTGCAGGTCCCTTCTGGACCAGCTACGGAAGCTCCAGGGACTCCTGGCCGAGACGTCCACCAAGGCCGCCCAGACCAGCACCTGCCTTGTGGTAAGTGGCCTTCACTCTTCCAGCGCTGGGTCTCCGGGGTTCCCTCTCCCATCATCCCCGTCTCTTTCCCTCTCCAGATCCTCCTCGTCTCCTTCGGCCTTTTCATCTGGCCCACCTGGGCCTCGTTCTACGGCGCGTCTCAGGTCGGCGGAGAGAACCCCGGACCGTCAGGAGGTGAGTATCATCGTCACCGCCACTGCTTTCCAGTGCCTGCCGTTCAAAGATAGAGTGCTTCCGGAATTGGAGGCTCCACTGAGCCCATAGTCCTTCGGTCTCATCTGAAAAAACAGCTTGCTGATCTTAAATTGACCTTTCCGGTTCATACACACCTGTCCTAAGGTGGCTAGAGTAGAATAGAATATTATGTTCTGGAATATGGAGTAGAATATATTTAATACTATGGAATGGAATGGAGTGGAGTGGAGTGGAGTGGAGTGGAGTGGAGTGGAGTGGAGTGGAGTGGAGTAGAGTAGAGTAGAGTAGAGTAGAGTAGAGTAGAGTAGAGTAGAGTAGAGTAGAGTAGAGTAGAGTAGAGTAGAGTAGAATAAGAGTAGAGTAGAGTAGAATAGGAGCAGAGTAAGTAGAATAATTAGAATAGAAGAGGAGAGGAGAGGAGAGTAGAATAGAAAATAGGAATACAATAGAATAGAATTACAATACAAGGAATGGAATGGAATGGAATAGAATAAGAGTAGAGTAGAGTAGAGTAGAGTAGAGTAGAGTAGAGTAGAGTAGAGTAGAGTAGAATAGAATAGAATAAGAGTAGAGTAGAGTAGAGTAGAATAGAATAGAATAGAATAAGAGCAGAGTAGAGTAGAGTAGAGTAGAGTAGAGTAGAGTAGAGTAGAGTAGAGTAGAGTAGAGTAGAGTAGAATAGAATAGGAGTAGAGTAAGTAGAATAATTAGAATAGAAGAGGAGAGGAGAGGAGAGTAGAATAGAAAATAGGAATAGAATAGAATTACAAGGAATGGAATGGAATGGAATGGAATGGAATGGAATGGAATGGAATGGAATGGAATAGAATAGAATAGAATAGAATAGAATAGAATAGAATAGAATAGAATAGAATAGAATAGAATAGAATAGAATAGAACAACAGGGTAGGATAGAAAATACAATAGTATGCAGAATGCAGAATAGAAAATATTATAGAACAGGGTAGAATATAAAGTACAAACTATTCTATAGAATTGAAAACCATACAGAATAGAAAATATGAAAGAATACAGAACTGAATGGAGGGGAATTGAGGCAGGGTCCCCCCATTTTAACACCCCGCGTCTTTTCACTCCACCAGTCCGTTCCCGAAATATCTTGACCCAAAAGGGATCCTCTGAGCCGGGGACACCGTCCGCCGCCCGTCACCCAGAAGAGCCCCACGTTGGAGCGGAATGGCCCCCGCGGCTCCCCAACACCCGCATCGCCGAGGACGAGAAAAACCTCCCCGGGGTGGGAGAGACAGCCCAGGAGGCAGCATCTGAACCCAAGACCCAACCGAAGAATCGTCGGCGAGGGAAGGCCGCCAGGCCGGACCTCGATGAGATATGAGACATCCCGGCAAACATTAACTGCAAAAGTTTTGCGGCTGGGAAGCTTTACGTTCTGAAACAAACAGCCAAGGGTACCCCAGAGCATGTGCAAAGGGCCTTTTTCTCCCCTTGTCAACAAGCAGCAACCCATCCGAGGGAGAGATCCTTGCCGGCTGCCTCAAACCCAAAGCGATTCCTTTCCGGAGTTTTCTTTAACAAGATTTGTTGAGCCGGGGTGGAAAAAAACGGATGACGTCACCAGAATTCCCACTTCTCCGAATCTTTTTTTCCCCCTCTCCAAACCGTCTCAGACATCCGGCGTGGGGTTCAAGGGGGGACAGCTCAGCGGTTAAAACATGCCAGATAATAATACCCGGCGGTGTCAGGGTGAAGGACGCTGGGATTTGTAGTCCGCGGATTCCAAACCTTCCCCCAAAGCCGGAGGTTTAATGTAATTCGCGGGCTTTCGTTATTTTCCTTAATGAATTTTCATTCCATTCTTCGCTGGCTCTTGTCTTCCGCCCCCCCCAACCCCGGATTCTCTCCCTTGCTCCCCCCCAACTGCCCCCCCCCAACAGAAATCAAATTATCCTGCTTGGAAACGAAGGAGTTTAATTAACGTAAGCCGAGCGTCGCCCGAGGCTCCATCCGTCTGCTTCAAGCCTTTCTCGATCCTGTAGGGTTTTTTTTCCTCCCTTCCCACCAAGAAAGCTCATTATCCAGAACGGCAATTCGCAAGAGGCTCTTCCATCCAATCTCCTGCCGGGAGATTTCACGCCAAGGAACTTTCCATCCTCGGAAATTCAATTTATAAACCGTTGCCTTCGGGACGGCGGATGCAAAAAACGGGGGGGTGGATTCGTTCAGCCGGATGATTTCGAGAGAAAGGCCTTGAAAAATCCTTCCTTCCTTCCTTCCTTCCTTCCTTCCTCCCTCCCTTCCTTCCTTCCTTCCTTCCCTTCCTTCCTTCCCTTCCTTCCTTCCTTCCTTCCCTTCCTTCCTGCCTTCCTTCCTTCCTTCCTTCCTGCCTTCCTTCCTTCTTTCTCATTTCCATCTCCCTCCCTCCATCCTTCCTTCCTTCTCCTCAATCCCATCTCCTTCCTTCCATCCTTCCTTCCTTCCTTCCTGCCTGCCTTCTCCTCATTCCCATCTCCTTCCTTCCATCCTTCCTTCCTTCCTTCCTTCCTGCCTCCCTGCCTTCCTTCCTTCCTGCCTTCCTTCCTTCCTGCCTTCCTTCCTTCTTTCTCCTCATTTCCATCTCCCTCCCTCCCTCCCTCCCTCCCTCCCTCCCTCCCTCCTTCCTTCCTTCCTTCCTTCTCCTCATTCCCATCTCCTTCCTTCCATCCTTCCTTCCTTCCTTCCTGCCTGCCTGCCTTCTCCTCATTCCCATCTCCTTCCTTCCATCCTTCCTTCCATCCTTCCTTCCTGCCTTCCTTCCTTCCTGCCTCCCTGCCTTCCTTCCTCCCTGCCTTCCTTCCTGCCTTCCTTCCTTCCTTCTTTCTCCTCATTTCCATCTCCCTCCCTCCATCCTTCCTTCTCCTCATTCCCATCTCCTTCCTTCCTTCCTTCCTTCCTTCCTTCCTTCCTTCCTTCCTTCCTTGCTTCCTTCCTTCCTTCCCCTCCCGCTTCAAAGGATCTTTTTAATGCGCCTCAAAGTACAAGAAGTCCTCGCCGTACGGCCGTCAATTGAGCTCCAAATTCCCCGCTGCTAAACGAGACGTTCGTTAAGTGAATTTTGCTTCCCTCGCCACCGTCGCAAAAGGGAGATCGTGTGACCCCTGTCGTAAACACGAGTCCCTCGCCAAGCACCTGGATTTTGATCACGTGGCCGTGGGGAGGCCGCGACGGTCATAAGTGTGAAACAAGGGACACGAGTCGCTTTTTTCAGTGGCGCTGTAACTTCAAATAGTCCCTAAATGAACTGTTGTTAAGTTCGGAGAAAAAAAACCCCAAAAGAGAGGAATTAGAGCAAAGCTAAAGCGGGGAGGGAAAAAATTAAAATTAAGGGTTTTTTTTACGGAAGAAGAAACACCCCTGCTTCAGTCCACTGCTATTAATCTCAATTTTCATCTTTATTTAAAAAAAAAAGACGGCGCAGAAGAAAGGATCTATATCTCATGCCTGCCCATCCGAGAAATATTAAAATTTTAAGATTGACAAGGATGGATGGCCGGGCTTCGAATTCGAGATTTAAGGCTGCCGAGCTTTTAGAAAAATTAATTCCTGTAAAAAAAAAAACAGATCCGGCTTTCGGGCAGAGACACCCCTCCGTTCCCCCAGACTTGTTCCAACCGATGTCTAGAATTATAAAGACGGCGCATTTTTCCTACTCTGCGTTAGACGAACAAAAAAAGGACTTTTTGTTCGGCTCGTCGGGTTTGCCAAGCGAGATAAATTACATTCAACAGATGCAGTTCCTGCCAAGGGCAAAAATCAGTCAGGTGCAGTTCGGGAGGCGAAATCGTAAATCAAGCCAGCTTCCAACGCTTTCTGCAATAAGCTAAACCATAGTCCTCGACTTACGACCATAATGGAGCCCAACATTTTCTGTCGCTAAGCGAGACATTGAGGGTTTTTTTGGCCTCGTTTTACGACCTTTCTCGCTGTGGTCGTTCAGCGAGTCGTCGCGGCTGATAAGCGAGTCACACGGCTGTTAAGCAAATGCGGCTTTCCCCCGTCGACCTGGCTGGTAACGAGGTGGCGAAAGGGGATCGTGCGACACTCCCACCCTCCCTGGACGCTACGACCGTCGTATAAAGAGGAGCCGGTTTGCCTGCCGAGCGTCCGAATTTTGATAGCGTGACCGCGAGGAGGGGGGAATGCTACGATGGTCAGAAGTGCTGATCAAATAAAATCTTTATCAGAATCGGTGGCTCAGTGGTTAAGACGCTGAGCTTGTCGATCGAAAAGTCGGCAGTTCAGCGGTTCGAATCCCGAGTGCTGCGTAACGGGGTGAGCTCCCGTGACTTGTCCCAGCTTCTGCCAACCTAGCAGTTCGAAAGCAGGTAAAAAAGGCAAGTAGAAAAATAGGGACCACCTTTGGTGGGAAGGGAACAGCGTTCCGTGCGCCTTTGGCGTTGAGTCATGCCGGCCACATGACCACTGAGACGTCTTCGGACAGCGCTGGCTCTTCGGCTTTGAAACGGAGATGAGCACTGCCCCCTAGAGTCGGGAACGACTAGCATATATGTGCGTGGGAAACTTTTACCTTTTTAGACCAGCATAACCCTAATGCGTTTCACCAGCGGGCTAAATCAAGCCTCCCTATCCAGGAGCAGTCTACGGCTCTCGAAACACCGCTCTCCCTTTCCCTCCACTTGGCTTTTTTTAAAAATTAATCCGCCGGCTCTTCTCAAAGATCTTTCTCCTTCCCGCCCAGGGAATTAGCGTTTCTTTCCCCACTCACTCCTCCCCGGGGGACGCAATTTTCACGGCGCGACATGAAAGGGAAAAAACCGAAAGATGAGAACAAGAAGGGGGGGGGAAAAAAAGAAGAAGAAAGAAAACCAGAGCTGGCTTCGTTCGGCCAATTAACGCCGCAGCTTTGATGAATGCTAATAATAAACCCCCAAAATAGTTTCGCGAGATATATTAGCGGTGCCAGAGTTAGTCAGGATATTGTTCGCTGGGCCTCGTCCAGAGAGACGGATGAATCAAAGTCAACGGTTTAATTTTTTTCACCGTTGCCAAATTGCAAATGCATTCAAAACCCTCCGGAGGGACCTCTTGATTGGCAGCCCCTGCCTGGAACAACAACCCACAACCCCCCCCCCCACACACCATCCAGCTTAGAAATCTAGGGCGCGGCCGTGCCACTCGCTCGCCCAAGAATCCTTGGTTAACTTTGGCTCCTTCCCATCCTTGCCAGGGGCCCATTCCCCAGGAAACCAGGTTTAAGGGGTGCTTCATCTTCCGCAGTTAAAAGACACCCCCCCTCCCTCTCTCTCTCTCCGTCCCCGGGGAGGCTGGCGTGGGCTGCCGGAGAAACGGTGCCGGATGTACTTTCGTGCCTGAAGCTGGCGAAGAAGATTTTTGGTTTCAGCACCGTGGACAGCTCCCTGTTGTGCTGAGACGTTGCTCTTCCTGTGGATTTGCCCCGGGGAGACCCCAACCATGATTGGGATCCGTTTGGGCACCGTGGCCCTTCTCTGCCTCTTCTTCCTGGTCCAGGGAGAGCCGGCTAACCAAGGAACATCGGAATTGCCGCTTAAACACACGTACCCGGCGCACGAGAAGGAGCTGGTGAGTAACCGAGGATCGGTAGCGGGACGGAGCTACGGGGGAGAACCCCGAAAAAAGAACGACAGGGTGGTTGGTCACGGCATGGATCGCTCCCAGAAGGGCAAGAAAACAGAGCAGGGAACCTGGTTTCTCATCATCGGTGCCCGTTCCCACATGCATAAAACGGGGAACAGTGCCAAAAAGACCCCGAAAACAAGATAAAGGGGGAACAGACTGCCATTAAGCCAGCATGCGTCAAAGGGCAGGACTGCAAATCTCAGCCAGAGGGAATAAGTCAAGCCTTCTGCCTTTCTGGGTAGCGGCTAAGTAGGGGATGATGGGTGCTGTAATCCAGTATTCCCAGAGTAGCGTCGATTGATTATTCCAATCCGTTTTAGCAATTAGGGAGGTGAAAATATTTTCATTTTCTTGTTAGTAATTGAGCAGGGATAAACTTCAGAGACCCTGAATCAAAATGCCCGGAGAGATTTTTTTGGCAGCGAAGCCCCCTCCCCAAACTCAGAAAAATAAGACCCCCGGGGGCCGCCACAGCCCCATTAACCCCGGTCGAGCACGTTACGCAACAGGGAAGCGATTCGTGTTTGCCAAACCCGGTTTGATTTCGGGAACGCTTCCAGTTTAAGGATTTCGTTGCCCTTTCCACAGGCAGGCGGAGGATGGGGGGGGGAAGGGAGAACTGAGTGGAGCCTCCAGATTCAGAGGCAGTCTATCTGGTCTCACTTTTTAGACGGCGAAGAATTGGGCGAGAAAGGATGAGAGAGCCAACAAACATTTAAAAAAAAATGTTTGCCATGTTTTGATTTCTTCCAGCTGGACGAACTGCAGGAAGTGCTGGAAAAACTACAGCATAAGAAAGTCTCGGCTTGGGAGAAGAAATTCAACCAAGTGCCGAAGGTATATTTGGGGAAGGAGGGGGGCACACACCCCCCCATAATTTAAGAGAGAGGGGGGGGTTTCATCCACCTCTTTCTGGGAAGGCTATCCGTGCCCACCATCCCGAGAGGAGGTAGATCTGAGCACCACTGAACCGGATCCTGGAATCTTTTAATTCTCGCAGGCCGACGCCAGAGGTCATTTAGCCTGACCCCGTTCGGCCCCGGGTCCTAGCTGTTGTCCCGAACTGTTCTGCTCGAGTTTAGGGAAGAAAAGAGCTCGAAAGGCGGGTTCAAGAAAGGGGGGGGTTACGCAGACTGAAAGCCCCCCCCCTTTCTTGATTGACCTTCTCCCCCTCTCTTCCAGTGCTCCTTCGGAGACCCCTGCGCCGTCCGGAAAGGCCCCCGCATCGGCAAACTCTGCGACTGTCCCCGGAGAGCCAGCTGCAACGCTTTCCTTCTCAAATGCTTGTGAAATGCACCCGATAAGTCCCCCTCCCGTCTTGCGGCTTTGCGTTCTGCTTCTCTGCAATCTGTCAGCTCTGGGGTTTCGGGGGGTGGGGGATTTTGGGGAGGTGGGGGACGAGGAGAGCTTGAGTCGCTCCCTCCCCTTTGCTGGAATCCTGGAGCCGGGCGCTGGGAGGAATAAAGGAGACTTCCTGAGCATGTCTAGAGTGTGTTTTTTCTCCTGCCGGGAGGGGCTTTCCAGAACCGAGGGCGGAAAAATTTGGATTTTTTTTGTTTATTTGTTCCTGGGCCTGAAATTTGATTTTTTTTGGGGGGGGGGGAACGATTTTCAATCTGGACGCTTTTAATTTTGAATTCAACGCCCGCGCAGCACGCTAAGTCTTCCCACTTTGAGGCTCCCCTAAACATTTGAGGCTGCCCATAAATTAAAAGATATTCGGACTCGGCCTGTCGTTCGAATCCAGGCCTTTCCAGCGACGTCTGAAATAAAAGAGAAATTAAAATCTGGATCCTTCCACCTCCCCCCCACCCCCACCCAAAAATTCTGGGTTCTAGAATAAACGCATTTTCTGAGTCGGCCCCAAGCCGTCGACCTATCAACGCAGCCAATTTAGCTGCAAAAGATAAAAACCCAGGATCAAACTAACCACAGTTAGCCCCCCCCTGTGGGAACGCAGAGACTGGGTTTATAATGAATATAAAAGGATCTATATAGTTGATTGTCACTCCTTACATTTTCCCTGCGGTTCAATTTATTCCAACCTTGGTGAGCTTTTAAATCCGCGTTTCTCAAGCGTGGCAACTTTACAGATAAGTGGAACTTCAACTCCCAGAATTCTGCGCTGTGCAGGCTGGGGGGATTCTGGGAGTTGAAGTCCACTATCTTCTTCTATCTATCTATCCCACTATCTTATCTTCCACTGAGAAATATTACTTTCATCATCATCCTCTTTTAACGACCCAATAAATCCCTTGCGGGGTGGAGTCTGGGCAACTGAATGGAGTTAGCAGAGAGTTTTTACTGGCCGGATGCCTTTCCTGTTGCCAGAGCGGAGTTTTGTTCAGCAGATAATATTCTCATTGTGCCCAGAGAGAGAAATATCTGCCTCTATACCTAGGATTGAACTCACAGCCTTTCGATTGCGAGGCCAAAGCTCCACCTCTAGGCCACCACACCACTCCTCCGAACGGTCACTAAATGAACCGTTGTAAATCAAGGACTACCTGTAGATCGTCATCATCGTATTTTAACGACCCCATAATCCCTTGCGGGATGGAATCTGGGCAACTGAGTGGAGCTGAGTATTTACTGGCTGGATGCCTTTCCTGTCGCCAGAGCGGAGTTTTCTTCAGCTGATATATTCTCATTGTGCCCAGAAAGAAATATCTGTCGCTACCTAGGATCGAACTCACAGCCTCCAGATTGTAAGGCGAGAGGCTCGACCTCTGGGCCACCGCACCACTCCTAAAATATTACTTTCACGTTGCTTCAAATATGGCTTGAAACGTTGCTCAGTTCACAAGCTTCGCCCCCACAAAAAAAGTCACCACTCGCAACTTCGAAACAGCCACCAATCCTGGGGTGCAGAGTGACGCTCGAGGGGAGCACCTTTAATCACCAGGAGGGGAAAACGGATTCAGGGTTCGTACAAGGGAGTCCCGTTCATACGACGCACTTCCAGCCGCGAGGCTCAAAACGACGGCGACGGGCGGAAGTTCCCAGCCGGGAAGCGAGTTCGAATTGCATGATTTCAAGCTGCCAGAGATGAAGAATCAGGGAAGGGGGGGGGGTGGGGTGGCCCAAACGTCGTGAGTTTTTCTCAAAGCAGGGGGGCGCACCCCCTCTTTCGCCACGACCCCGAAGAGGGAAGCGACACCGGTCCGACACCGCGACGCTAGACTGCTCTTCCCCCACGGCGAAGTCTGGATCCGTCCCCCTCCGCTTCGCCCGATTTAACCGAAGCTAAATCGATTCGATCTGTTTGCGCACTTTCTCCAGGGCTTTTCCGTCCAGCACCCGCTGGCGACATACCACGAGAAAGGCGAAGACGGCGGCGGCCCCCAGCATGGCGCCCTCAAACTTCCAGAAGATCCGGGTCTCCATTTCCAAAGAGCGGCAACTGCGGGGGAGAAAACGGCTGTGGTGACAGCAGCTCCGCCGAGGCAGGGGGAGGAAACCCAGAGCAGGGGGCTGGACTAGAGGGCCTCGCGGGTCCCTGCCGAGGATGCCACGATAGAGGGATGCCAGCTCTAGCTTGCTGATGAGATTTGCATCACAGCCATGGGGAGGCATCTTGTGTATTGCAGGGGGGGGGGGAGCCCCAAAATCCACCTACTTGTGAATGAATTGCCAGACAGAAGGCTTAAGAGGGGTGGACTTCAACTCCCAGAATCCCCCATTGAAGAGGGGTGGACTTCAACTCCCAGAATCCCCCATTTAAGAGGGATGGACTTCAACTCCCAGAATCCCCCATTTAATGGACTTCAACTCCCAGAATCCCCCATTTAAGAGGGCTGGACTTCAACTCCCAGAATCCCCCATTTAATGGACTTCAACTCCCAGAATCCCCCATTTAATGGACTTCAACTCCCAGAATCCTCCATTTAATTGACTTCAACTCCCAGAATCCCCCATCCAACCTACTTTAAGAGGGCTGGACTTCAACTCCCAGAATCCCCCATTTAATGGACTTCAACTCCCAGAATCCCCCATTTAATTGACTTCAACTCCCAGAATCCCCCATTTAATGGACTTCAACTCCCAGAATCCTCCATTTAATTGACTTCAACTCCCAGAATCCCCCATCCAACCTACTTTAAGAGGGCTGGACTTCAACTCCCAGAATCCCCCATTTAAGAGGGCTGGACTTCAACTCCCAGAATCCCCCATTTAATGGACTTCAACTCCCAGAATCCTCCATTTAATTGACTTCAACTCCCAGAATCCTCCATTTAATTGACTTCAACTCCCAGAATCCTCCATTTAATTGACTTCAACTCCCAGAATCCCCCATTTAAGAGGGCTGGACTTCAACTCCCAGAATCCCCCATTTAAGAGGGCTGGACTTCAACTCCCAGAATCCCCCATTTAATGGACTTCAACTCCCAGAATCCTCCATTTAATTGACTTCAACTCCCAGAATCCCCCATCCAACCTACTTTAAGAGGGCTGGACTTCAACTCCCAGAATCCCCCATTTAAGAGGGCTGGACTTCAACTCCCAGAATCCCCCATTTAATGGACTTCAACTCCCAGAATCCTCCATTTAATTGACTTCAACTCCCAGAATCCCCCAGCCAGCACGCTTTAAAACATGGACTGATGGCTGGGGGATTCTGGGAGCTGAAGTCCAGCCCTCTTAAAGAAAATTGCCATTTTTCCCCTAAAGGGGGGTCACCCACCTCTTGAATTCGCCCTTCTTGGACACCCCGCAGTTGATCTGCTCAACAAAGCCGGTGACGCCGCATTCCGACATGGTTTTCTACAAAGCAAGAAGAGGCGGCTTTTTAAACCCGTCTTTTGCGTCGAGTGTTTTAACCAAGCGCAGTTTTCGATTCCCGGCATCTTCCAAACCGAGATGTTTTAAATTTGGCGAGCCGAGGAAGCGATGCAGAATTTGGCACGGTGGCGGATGAAAATGCTATCATAAATCATATAAAAAAAGGAATTACGATTATAAAATAAAATAAGTCATAAAAAAAAGGAGAGAGATTTCGGCGTTTAAAAGGGACGGAAAAGCAACGTATTCAGCTCAGAGGAAGCGACTCAACTCCTCTTGACTATTTTAGAGAATAATTTTTGATTTTATTCGATTTTTTGGGGGGGGGGTTAACTACGTCCCATGTTGTAAAAACCAGACTCTCTTCATCTTACAAGCATTTGTTTTATGAACAAAGTTACAACGGCACTGGGGAAAAAAAATTACGACCGTGTTTCACACTTACGACCGTTGAGGCGTTCCCCCAGAGTCCCGCGATCAAAATTCGGATGCTTGGCAAGCGACTCGTATTTATGACGTGTGTGGATGTGTGTGTGTCGCATGAGCCCCTTTTGTGACGAGCAAATTCAAGGGGGAAGCTGGATCCATTCAGTGACCGTGTTGCTAACTTAACAACGGGCAGTGTTTCACTTAACAACCGTGGCAAGGAAGGTCGTAACATGGGAGCAAAACTCACTCCACACATGACATTTTGGGGCTCGATTGTGGTCGTAAGTCGAGAACTTACCTATATTCCCAGGAGGGAGCCTGTTGCTTCTCTGTATGGGATGGATTTGCACCAAGCACGGATTGTCGCAACCCAGAAACGACGATAAATGGAGGATATGGACGATAAACTTTCGTGCCCGGCCCTCTCGCTCTCTCCTTCCTTTCCCCCTCTGCCCCCCACCAACCCCTGCCAAGGCATCCCCCCCCCTCTCCCCAATTCCCCCCTCCCCAAACCCCACTTACAATCTGGAAACTCGTACAGGGTGAGCATTCCGTCGTGACCACGAAATCCTCCCGCCGCCAACACGGCGTTGTGCCCGTCAGACTCACTGCGGGAAAAGGCAAATGGGACAATGGGGTGAAAAATAGCACCAAAGGGGGTTTTTTTTGGGGGGGGGGAGGAGAAGGTAGCCCGAGACCCCTCCCCACTCCGTGCCTCCTAGCTGGTGCCGAGTGCGAAATTGCTTACCGGGCGCTTTGGCATCGTTCTCGGCGAGTCCCTCGGCCGACCTGCGAAAGGGCGAAGAGACAAGAGAGCTCAGCTGCATTTGCAAGGAAGAAGTTTACAGATTTACAGAGTCGGAAGGGACCTTGGAGGTCATCTAGTCCAACCCCACCCCATTTCTGTCCAGTCAAGTTCCAAAGCATGCAAATGCAAATATAAATATAAATAGAGAGGGAATCCTCGGTTTGCAACAGTTCGTTTTAGTGACGGTTCGGAGTTAAAACGGCACTGGGAAAAAAGGAACCGAGGACCGTTTCTCACACTTACGACCGCCGCGGTCACGTGATCAAAATTGGCAACTGACTCGTATTTATGACGGTCGCAGCATCCCGGGGGGGGTCACGTGACCACATTTTGCGACCTTCAGTCCAGCAAAGTCAACAGGCGGGTGGAAGTCCGATTCGCTTAACGACGGGGGTGGTGGTGGTGGTGGTTGCTAACTTATCCAACTGGAGGGATTCACTCAACGACGGTGGCCAGAAAGACGGTGAAAGCGGGGGGAGGGGGGCTGGGGTTTCCAAAAACTCACTTCATTCAATGTTTCCCTTGAGCAATTTTGGGGCTGGATGGTTGTCGTAAATCGAGGACTATGAATAAAATAATTTTTTTTAAAAAAAATCCCATCATCCCCATCATTGGGGCAGGCAACCTCCCCAAACCCCCCCCCCACCACCTTTTTTTTTTGGGGGGGGGTCCCCTTAATTTAGAAGCATTAAATATCATTTAAATTCCAAGGGGGGAAGCCTCTGGTTTGGACTACACCACCCATCATCCCCAGCCACTAAAGGAAAGGCGCAAAGAGGGCCTAGAAAGGGGTTCAAACCTCCCCCCCCTTTCCTCCTCCCCCTCCCCCCACAAGGGCTGTACTACACCTCCCATCCTTCCCCTCCCCCTCCCATGGCCCTGAGGCTGAGCCCCATGGAAGTTGTAGTCCAACCCAGGAGCAGCTCAAGAAAGAGACTCCCCCCCCTCCTAAAAACGACATCCTGCCCCCCCTCCTCTCTGGTTCTTGCCCCCCCCTACACACGAGGAGCCCCCCCTTACCGCGAAGGGGCGACCACCAACCCCAGAAGCGCCCCCAGCGCCAGCCGCCATCTTGGCCCCATCCTCACTTCCGCCTCACTCGCGCGGTGCATTCTGGGAGGAAGGGCACGGGAAGCGCTCTGCGCACGCGCGGGAGTGGGGAAAAGAATCTTGCAAAGGGCTCAGTCCGTTTTGGTTGCGATGCTGCACTTCCGGTCTTCGGTGGCAGCCGGGAGAAAGAGGACGGAGAATATATTCCCTCCCCCTCTTTCTCTTTCTCTCTATTTTTCTTATTCTTTCTTTCTCTCTTTCTCTCTCTTTTTCTCTTTCTCTTTTTCTCTCTCTCTCACTTTCTTTCTTTCTATTTCTCTCTATTTTTCTCTTTCTCTTTTTCTCTCTCTCTCACTCTTTCTTTCTTTCTATTTCTCTCTATTTCTTTCTTTTTCTCTTTTTATTTCTATTTTTCTCTTTCTTTTTCTCTTTCTTTCTCTTTCTATTTTTCTCTTTCTTTTTGTCTCTCTCACTCTTTCTTTCTTTCTATTTCTCTTTCTTTCTTTTTCTCTCTCTCTCTTTCTATTTCTCTCTATTTTCCTTTTTTCTCTTTCTCACTCTTTCTTTCTTTCTATTTCTATTTTTCTTTCTGTCTCTCTCACTTTCTTTCTTTCTATTTCTATTTCTCTTTCTTTTTTCTTTCTATTTCTATTTTTCTTTCTCTCACTCTATTTTTTTCTCTTTCTCTATTTCTTTCTCTCTCTTTTTCTATTTTTCTCTCTCACACTCTTTCTATTTCTCTCTTTCTCACTCTCTCTCTCTCTATAGGCATTCATATCATGTGTGTGTGAATCTATATACCTCCTTGGTTGTATGCCGTAAGTAAATATTTGCATTTATTAGCTGCTAAATCTATATTTCTATCCGTCTGTCTATCTCTGATATTTCTATCATCAATCTACTTTCCTATCCATTCACCCATCCATCCACTATGTTTCTATCTGATACTATCTATTCCTCCATCCATCCATCCCTCTTGTCTGTTCATCAGATATCTATCAATTGTCTATTTTATCTGATACTTCTATCATCTGTCTCCCTATATATCTATCTATATCATCTATGCACTATTTTCTATCTGCTACATCTTTATATCTATCCATCCATCCATCCATCCATCAATGTCTATCTAATCTATCATCTAAAGTATATCTTTCTAGAAGCATGTACTAAAAACTCATCTATCATCTCTTCATATTTATCTATCATCTCTCCATATCTATCTATCATCTATCTATCTATCTATCTATCTATCTATCTATCTATCTATCTATCTACTACAGTATATCTATCTATCCTCTTCATATATCTATAATCTCTCCATCCATATCTATCTATCATCTACAGTATATCTATCTAATTTACCTAGAAGCATGTACTAAAAACTCATTTATCATCTCTTCATATATATCTATCATCTCTCCATCCATAGCTATCTATCTATCTATCTATCTATCTATCTATCTATCTATCTAAACTATCTAGAAGCATGTACTAAAAACTCATCTATCATCTCTCCATCCATATCTATCTATCTTATCTATCTACAGTATATCTATCTATCTAGCATGTACTAAAAACTCATCTAATCTCTTCATATTTATCTATCATCTCTCCATCCATATCTATCTATCTATCTATCTATCTAATCTATCTATCTATCTATTTAATCTATCTAGAAGCATGTACTAAAAACTCATCTACAGAGGTGGATATGGATATTTTATTATTATTCTCCTGCCTCTTATTACTTTTCTAAGTAACTCAAGATGTCAAACATACCATAATGCTCCTCCCTCCTCCTATTTTCCTATAACGACAACCCTGTGAGGTGGGCTGGAATATGAGTGGTCTCTCCCTTTCTCTGCAAAGGGACAGGACAGGGGCTCCTACTTGAAGGACTAAAGACCCCTCCCTCCCTGGCTGTTTCTCCCTCCCTTTTGCCCCCCCCTCCCTTCCCGGAATCCAGAAAATGACTTTTCAACACACCGGATGTTCGGAAAAACTGCAAATATTTTAATCGTCTTCACAGATTTACAAAAGGCAATTGGTCCCCGAACGTGTGACTGGTTCCTCCTGGGTGCCGGATTCCGGATTTCCACCCATCCAAAGTGCAGAGAGTTCCCAGCAGGCAGAAATAATATATTTATATACTTATTTTTTTAAAAAAAAAAGATTTTTTTTTTCCTCCTGCTGCTGAGAGATTCCTAATCTGATTCTTTCCTATGTCTGTTAAAGGCACTGCGGAGCTTCAGGTCTTGGCGTTTTTCTATTTTAATAACTTTTGGAGGCGGGTGGGACTTCGGTTCCCAGAATTCCCCGGCTAGCATAGCTGGGAGTTGAAGTTTGCAAAGTTTGCAAAGTTGCAAACTTTGACAAACGTCGTCCCAAAATATCTGGCGAAGGCAGAGATTTGCGGGGTGGGGGGGGGTGGCATCCCCAGTTATTAACACCCCCTCCCCGATTTTTCAACCTCTCCCTCAGCTCTAGGACCCCTTCCCTCCCCAAACTCTCCTTCCCTTTCTGCAAGTGCAAAAATTAAAAGGCAGAGTCCCCAAATGGCAAAAGACAAAGAAGAAGAAGTTGGGGAAACCGTCTCCAAGTCCTTCCGGGGTCCAGCCCGAAACAACTCGGAGTCTCGAGGGGGGGAGAAACAGCCCCAACCAAGCTGAACAGCCAGCCTAAGAGAGGAGCCACGGGGCGTTTCCGAAGTGGCTGGGCTGGCGGTTACAGCAAGGAGCACTTTGAACTGGGTTTTGGTGTGGCTTTGAGTTCCAGAGGCCTCTTGGGGAGCTGACCCTGGAAAGAAGAGATGGAGAGTCAGGAGCTGCTTGACTATGGATGGAGGAGGAGGAGAAGAGAGGAGGAGAAGAGAGAGGAAAGGAAGGAGGAGGAGGGAAGGGAGGGAGGGAGGAAAGGAAGGAAGGAAGGAAAGAAGGAAGGAAGGAAGGAAAGAAGGAAGGAAGAGATAAAGAGGAAGGAGGAGGACAGATGATGATTATGGAGGAAGAGAAAGAGTGGGAAGAGGAGGGAAAAAAGGAAGAGGAAGAAGAAAATGATGAAAGTTATGGAGGAGAAAGAATGGAGGAGGAGGAACAAGAAAGAAGGAGAAGAGAGAGAAGAGGAGGAGGAGAAGAAGAAGAGAAAAAGGAGATAAAGGCTCAAGGTTGACTCAGCCTTCCATCCTTTCGAGGTAGGTAAAATGAGGACCCGGATTGTGGGGGGCAATAAGCTGACTTTGTATAAAAAAAAAGAACACCGCTTGGGGGGGGGGTGAAAGTCCTACTAAGCAGGTATATATGAAAGGATGAAGGCTATTGCTTAAAAGCATTGTAAGCCGCCCTGAGTCTCCGGAGAAAGGGCGGCATATAAATCAAACCAATAAATAAATAAAGAGGAAGGAGGAGAGACAATGATTACGGAGGAAGAGAAAGAGTGGGAAGGGGAGGAGAAAAAAGGAAGAGGAGGAAGAAGAAAATGATGAAGGTTATGGGGGAGAAGAAAGAATAGAGGAAGGAGGAAGGAGAAGAGGGAAAAGGAGGAGGAGGAAGAGGAAGAGGAAGAGAAGAAAGAAAAACAAAAAGAAAGAAAAACAGAAAAACAGAAAGAAAGAGGAGTGGAAGGAGGAGGAGGAGGAGGAGGAGGGATTTGGTCACATTTTACCAGCTGTTTCCTCCCCCCCACCTCGTTCCTCCCCACGTGGCACTTACCGATTTCTTGACTGATTTGAGCAGAATGTCACGTGCCAACGTATTGAATGCCTGAGAGAGAGAGAGAGAGAGAGAGGGAGGAAGGGAGGGAGAGAGAGAGGGAGGGAGAGAGAAAAAACACTCCCATAATTTTGTTTTGGGCCATTTGCTCCTTGGAGAACTGCTCGGGCTGACCCTCGCCCTTCCCCAAAAGGCAGAAACCAGGAAGGCCACGCCAGGGTCCCCAACCCATCCAGCCAAGGTCGCCTCCTCTCTTGCAGCCAAGAGGCAACGGCCAAGGGGGCCTGGAAGCCCAAAGGGGGTGCTTGTGCGTCTCTGTGTGGTTTTTTTTGGGGGGGGGGGCGGAGGTGGGCCAAGGAGACTCCTCACCTCCTCCACGTTCAAGCTGGACTTGGCGCTGGTCTCAAAGAACTTGATCCCGTGCTCCCTGCACAGCTGCCGAGAAGGAAGTCATGAAGTTGGAGAGTCAAAGCCAACGGCCATCGTAAAAGTCATCCCGTTGCACTCTGCACATGCACACAGACACACACGCACACACACACACACACCCAACACGATTCCTGCACCCGATACCTTCTCGGCTTGGTCCCGGGAAACTTTTCGCTTCATCTCCATGTCGCACTTGTTCCCCAGCAGGAGGCGCTCCACGCCGGCTGAGGCATTCTGGGAAAAGGAAAGGAAGGAAGGAAGGAAGGAAAAGAGAGAGAGGGAGGGAATGATGGATGAAAGGAAGGAAAGAAGGAAGGAAAAGAAAGAAGGAAAGAAAGAAAAGAAGGAGGGAATGATAGATGGATGGAAGGAAGGAAAGCAGGAAGGAAGGAAAAGAAAGAAGGAAGGAAAGAGAGAGAGAATGATGGATGGAAGGAAAGAAGGAAGGAAGAGAAGGAAGGAAAGAAAAGAGGGAGAGGGAGAGAATGATGGATGGAAGGAAAGAAGGAAGGAAAGAAAAGAGGGAGGGAGGGGATGATGGATGGAAGGAAGGAAAAAAGGAAGAAAAAGAGAGAAGAAAAGAAAGAAAAGAGGGAGGGAATGATGGATGGATGGAAGGAAGGAAAGAAGGAAGGAAGGAAAAGAAAGAAGGAAGGAAAGAGAGAGGGAATGATGGATGGAAGGAAAGAAGGAAGGAAGAGAAGGAAGGAAAGAAAAGAGGGAGAGGGAGGGAATGATGGATGGAAGGAAGGAAAGAAAAGAGGGAGGGAGGGGATGATGGAAGGAAGGAAAAAAGGAAGGAAAAGAGAAAGAAGGAAGGAAGGAAAGAAAAGAGGGAGAGAGGGAGGGAATGATGGATGGATGGAAGGAAGGAAGGAAAGGAAAGAGAGAAAGAAGGAAGGAAAGAAAAGAGGGAGGGAGAAATTTACCCTGGATCCAAGAAACAGACGTCCTTCTCTCTTTTTGGGAAGTGATATTTTCACCACCACCCCTAAATCAAACAATCACCCTTCTTTGGTTAAATATTTACTCATTTATTCAATTCCCACAGCCGGCCATCTTGCATATTGGACTAAAGGTGTGAAGTTAAAAGACTCGCCCCAAATGAAGCCAAACAACCAAGAACAGAACACGCAAAATAATTTTTTTTTTTTAAATTAAATGGCTTAATAACCAACTGTAAACCGTGGGGGGAAAAAAAATAATCAATGTCCTCATAGAGCCACTAGAGGGCAGACCTCCCTGTCTTTGGGAACCGCCGTCTAAATTCCCCTCATTCAGAGCCTGTTCTACATTTTTGCCACCAGAGGGCAGTGTTGGCCATCGTTTGCCCTTTTTTGTCATCCCGGATCTGAATCAAGGATGGATGGATGGAAAAACAGGATGAGAGGGAGGAGGGGGGGTGTTGCAATTCTATGGGGCTGAAAGTGTGTGTGGGGGGGGGGTTGTCCATTGGCTGCAAACAGTCTCCCCCAAACCTTCTGAGCCCCCCCCCTCAGCCCCATTTCGTACCCACCTCTTTGATGCTCTTCATCCAATTTTGAATGTTCTCGAAGGATTTCTCATCCGTGATGTCGTAGACGAGAATAATTCCCTACGGCAGAATTGGGGGGGGGGTCCGTGGGGAGGGGGCCACTCTTGCAGAGGCCCGTTCTTTGGGCCTCCCCCCCATCCTGCTCTCCCCACCCCCATGGGACCGAACTGAAAAAACGTCACACTAATATCTTGGCTGCATCTTTTTTCCTCCTCCCTTCTTCCTTCTTCCGTCGATCCTCTTAGATCCTCTCCCTATTTCTCCAAGGGTATTTTGGACGATAGAGTGGTAGGGAAAAAAAATATATTATTTTAATCCTCTGAATGAGAGCAAATCCTATCTTTGGAAAAGAAAACAAAAACCCAGAACGCGTCTGGGAAAACGTGGCAATGCAGGGAGTCCAATTTAGAATAAAATAACAGAGTTGGAGGGGATTTTGGAGGTCTTCTAGTCCAACCCCCTGCTCAAAGGAGGGAAGGAAGGAAGAAAGGAAGAAAGGAAGGAGATCAGAATGAGAGGAAGGAAGGAAGGTAGGAAGGAAGGTAGGAAGGAAAAAAGGAAGGAAGGAAAGAAGGAAGGAAGGTAGGTAGGAAGGAAAGAAGGAAGTAAGGAAAGAAAGAAGGAAGGAAGGAAGGTAGGTAGGAAGGAAGGAAGGAAGGAAAGAAGGAAGGAAGGAATGTAGGAAGGAAGGAAGGAAAGAAGGTAGGAAGGAAGGTAGGTAGGAAGGAAAGAAGGAAGGAAAGAAAGAAGGAAGGAAGGAAAGAAAGAAGGAAGGTAGGAAGGAAGGAAAGAAAGACGGAAGGAAGGTAGGTAGGTAGGAAGGAAGGAAGGTAGGAAGGAAGGTAGGTAGAAAGGAAAGAAGGAAGGAAAGAAAGAAGGAAGGTAGGAAGGAAGTAAAGAAGGAAGGAAGGAAGGAAGGAAGGAAAGAAGGAAGGAAGGAAAGAAAGAAGGAAGGAAGGTAGGTAGGAAGGAAGGAAGGAAGGAAGGAAAGAAGGAAGGAAGGAAGGTAGGAAGGAAGGAAGGAAAGAAGGTAGGAAGGAAGGTAGGTAGGAAGGAAAGAAGGAAGGAAAGAAAGAAGGAAGGAAGGAAGGAAAGAAAGAAGGAAGGTAGGAAGGAAGGAAAGAAAGACGGAAGGAAGGTAGGTAGGTAGGAAGGAAGGAAGGAAAGAAGGTAGGAAGGAAGGTAGGTAGAAAGGAAAGAAGGAAGGAAAGAAAGAAGGAAGGTAGGAAGGAAGGAAGGAAGGAAGGAAGGAAGGAAGGAAGGAAGGAAGGAAAGATAGCAGAATAACAGAGTTGGGAGGGACCTTGGAGGTCTTCTAGTCTAACCCCCTATACCATCTAAATTGTTTTATTTTAATTCTAGGGAAAGATATCTAATCCTGGGGGATTTTTTCTTCTTTCTTGGGGCCCCAAATGTCTCGGGAGCAGCTCGTTTGGGGTGGTGCCCCTCACCCTTCCGAGTGGGGGAGCCCCCAAGGAGCGGCAGCCCCCTTACCATGGCTCCTCTGTAGTACGCCGTTGTAATGGTCTTGAACCTTTCCTGGCCAGCCGTGTCCCTGCAAAAAAATAAAATAAATTTAAAAATGACTTCCCACGGATCCTCGCACTTACGACGGTCACAGCATCCCCGCGGTCAAAATTGGGGCACTACGACCGAACGAGCAAAATCAATGGGGAGGAGCCCGATTCGATTCAACGGCCCGAGGGCTCCCTTAAGAACGGCAGCGAGAGGCTTAAACGCCGTCATCAAATTGGGCGCGACTCGCTTAACGGCCGCCTTGCTCACCGGCGGAAGTTCTGCTCCCGATTCCCGTCGTGAGTCGAGGACGAGTGGAGTACAAATTCGGCAAATTGCAGAATCGCGCTCCTGACGGCAGCCTCTTCCCCCGTCGGAGCTTTGCCGACGCGTTGGACTCGAACCCCCATCATGCCCAGCCAACTCCCTAACCCATCTGCCTCCCCCAACCCCTTCTGCTCGGAGGAGAATCCTGCAATTAAAACCCGCTCCCCCGTTTTCATCCAGCTGCAGATCTTCTCCAAAATAATATTTTTTTTCCCCCTTCTTTTCCTTCTTCCTTCTCTTTTATAAACATTTTTAGGGATTTTCCAACTGTCACAAAGAGTCCTTCTTCCCTTCTCCCTGAGGTGTACCCCCCCCTTTTTGACTCCCTACTCCATAATCCACTTTCCTTCTCCATAATCCCCCCCCCACACACAGAGAGACAAAAAATCCGTACACTCACCAAACCTGCAATTTAATCCTTTTACCCTCCACTTCCACCGTCCGGATTTTGAAATCGATGCCTGCGGGGTGGAAAGAAAACCGGAATTTATCCTTACTCACAGTTTCCACCAGGTTTACTTCGCCGGCTATCTTCTAATTCCTCTCTCCCCCCCACGTTAAATTTGGGGTCTTCAATCCTTTCCGTGAGGGGGGAGTGTCAGTGGGGACTCATTGCCCAGCCTATTGATTGAACTCTGGGGGGGCGGGGTTCCCAGAGCTCCCTCATCAAAACTTCACCAAACCCGGCCAAGTTTCTAGTCCTTATGGAGTTTGGATTTCTTTTTTTTCCCCCGCTACCTCCCCCAAAAAGGAGGGGTGCCCATTAGAATCAAATGAGAAATTCCTTTTGACTGTTCCCCCCTCCTGTTCTTAATTACACCTCGTTGGAGGGGGGGCTCTGTTGCATTTTGCACCCCCCCAGCCTCTCCTGACCCCAACGGGAACCCCGAGAATGGAGGAGCTGCACCCCAAAACCCCCCCCAAAAAAACCAGCAACTTCTCATCACCCCAATCTTTACAAAGAGTGTTGCAAATCTTGGATGGGAGATCACCCCCCCAAGTCCTCCTCTTTTTCCCGATTCCCATCATCCACAGCCCCAAGCACGGGATGGCGGACGTACAGGGGGGGGGTCCGATCTCGGGTGCAAAGACCCCCGAGATGCAACTGAGTGGAATAGAAGAACCCAACCTCAATGCCAGGATAGGGGGTGCTGCTCCCTGCCATCCTGCTCTATTTGGGTTAGGGGGCTATGGGGAGGGGAGGGGAGAGGGGAAGGGGTTTGGGGGGGCTCTGCAGGAAGCCCCCCTCCTCACCGATGGTGCTGATGTAGGTGCCGCTGAAGTTGTCCTCGGAGAAGCGGATGATGAGACACGTCTTACCTACCCCGCTGTCCCCGATCAGGAGGAGTTTGAAAAGGTGGTCGTAAGATTTGGCCATTGTGGGGAGGGGGCTTGGCCCCTCTCCTCCCTGGGATGAGGGGGGGATCTGTGGGGCTCCCAGCCCACCCTGGAAAGAAAGAAAGAAAAAAAGAAAGAAAGAAAGAAAGCTGAGAATCCAGCCGGGAAGAAACTTTGGGTGAAGGAGGGGCAGTAGTTGCCCTCTCCCCTCCTCTTCCTCCTCCTCTAAGAAGGACGCCCAGACCCCTCCCCAAAATGGGCAGGGAAGAAGTCCTCCCCCACCCTCCCTCCAAGGCAGGAGGGGCTGACCCCTGACTCAGATGGGGAGGAGGAGGAGGAGGAAGAAAGCATCATCGTCCCGCTGCTGGGGAATTCATTCATTCCAGAGAGATACAGATAAACAGAGTCGGAAGGGACCTTGCAGGTCATCTAGTCCAACCCAAACAGGAGACCCCACCCCATTTCTAGGCAGTCCAGTTTTTTTCTTGAAAGCTTCCAGGGATGAAGCTCCGACAACGTCCGAAGGCAACTTCTGTTCCATGGGTTGTCTTCCTTTAGCAGAGGAGGAGTGTGGAGAGCTCCAGGGCGGGAGCAAAAGAGCGCCCCTGAGCATGGGCAGAGTGCCTTCCTCTGGCGGAGGGAGGGAGAAAGAGGGAAAAATCAGACTTGCGCAAAAGCATCCGTTTTTTGTTTTTTTTTTTCATCCTTGCCAGCTTCCCTTGTTTTGCAATTTGGGAGGACCAAAAAAATACAAAATTGCAGGGTTTTTTTTTTAAAAAAAGGATGGAACTGGAATGGTTGAAATATTATTTATTGACTGATTGTTTTATATAAATTTTATTTGGAGCGCTTCTAATGTTGGTTCCGCTTGGCCGCCGCTTCTGGATGTGGTGCTTGAGATAAGGAATGAAATGAAACTTCTGGATGTTGGGATTTTGCTGATTAGATTAGATTGGTTGTTCTAGAAATCGCTGGCGTGCATTATCGTGCAAAAGTTATTATCTTTTTTTTAAGCTGTAATTTATTACAGCTTTTATTATTTTCCACTGGGCTGAAAAGAGTTAGAAGTCGATGCTTTTTTTTTTGTTGTTGTTTTCTTTTTTTTCCTTCCTTTTCCCCTACACTCTTCTCTTTTTCCATTTTTCTTCCCCTCAGTTTCCCATCGTTTTCATTCTCTTCTCTATTTTATAGTCTGGATAAATTAATAATAATAATAATAATAAAAAATGTCCATGGAAAATATGCAAATATTTGGCATTTTGTACATAATGTTCAACGAACACCGGTGGTTAAAAATAAGTCATGCATTTCTTGACAAGTGTGTGTGTGTGTTGGGGGAACACAAGAAGAATAAACCTCTTCCATGAGGACTAGAGCCTTAGTAAGCCTTTAGGAACAAAGGAAGAGCTGAGTAAGACAATGGGACGTAGTATATGTGCGTGTTGTGTACGTTCTGTGTGTGTATATGTGTCTCTGTGTTGGGGGAGCCCTAGAAGAATAAACCTCTTCCATGAGGACTAGAGCCTTGGTAAGCCTATAAAGGGAAGAGCTGAGTAAAACAGTAGGACATTGTGTGTATGTGTTGTGTACGTTCTATGTGTGTGTGTTTGTGTGTGTTGGGGAACACAAGAATAATAAACCTCTTCCATGAGGACTAGAGCCTTAGTAAGCCTTTAGAACAAGGGAAGAGCTGAATAAGACAATAGGACATTGTGTATGTGTCTGTGTGTACGTTCTGTGTGTGTATATGTGTCTCTGTGTTGGGGGAGCACTAGAAGAATAAACCTCTTCCATGAGGACTAGCACCTTGGTAAGCCTATAGAGAAAGGGAAGAGCTTAGTAAGATAATGGGACATTGTGTGTCCGTATATATAAGTGTGTGTGTGTGTGTGTGTGTGTGTGTGTGTGTGTTGGGGGAAGGAGCAAAATAAATAAATCTCTTCCTCAGCCCAGCCTACCCTGCAGGGCTGTGAGGAGGACAAGAACGGGGGGGGGGTGAGCCTTTATCCTTCGTCTCAAAATGGCGCCCAAAGTGGGGGGGGCGAAAAGAGGATGCCCTTCCCAAGATGGCGCCCTCCCTCTGCCCCTTTTTTCTTCTTCGACCTCCCCAAGATGGCTCTCTTTAGACCCCGCCCCCCTCCCCCCCCACCCGCTCCTCGGACTTCCGCCCGTGCGGGAAACCCCATAGCGGATATAGCGTTCTCTCCTTCCGGCCGGCCTCCTTTTCGTCCGCAGCTGCCTCCACGCGAACATGCCGGTGCGTTTCTCTCCGGCCTCGGCCTTCCCCGGCCGGGCTGGTCTCCTTCCTCCCTTCGGCCGGGGGTGGTTCCTTCGGGGGCTCCTCGAGGGCTTTTCCGGGCCTTCCACGAGGGGGCCACGCTGGGTTGGCCACGCCGTCCAGGATCAAGATGGCGGCGGGGAAAGTGGCGGTTGTTTCGGGGGAGGGGGGGGGTGTTTCATCCCTCTCACTTTTTTTTTTTTTGGTCTCTCTCCCCCCCCGTAGCTCGCGAAGGACCTCCTGCACCCCTCCCCCGAGGAGGAGAAGCGGAAGCACAAGAAGAAGCGCCTGGTGCAGAGCCCCAACTCCTACTTCATGGACGTCAAGTGCCCGGGTGAGACAACGGGGGGGAGGAGGAGGGGGGCCTCCCGAGGTCATCCAGCCAGGCCCCATGTCTGCACGCATGCGCACAAAAAAAAACACCCACCAGAACAGGGGTGGGCAAATGTGGCCCCTTTTAACCACCTGTGGACTTCAACTCCCAGAATTCCTGCGGCAGCTTGGCTGTCGCAGGAATTCTGGGAGTTGAAGTCCACAGGTGGTTAAAAGGGGCCACATTTGCCCACCCCTGCACCAGAAAGGGGGGACTCTCAGAGATCATCTAGCCTGCCCTCCCCCCTTGCCCAGAGGACAATGAGGAGAGTTTGGAGGGGCCTAGAGGGTCATCTAGTCTGCCCCCCCGGCTCAGAAGACGGAATAATTAAAAGAGTTGGAAAGGGGGGGGAGCCTCTTGGAGGTCATATGGCCGAGCCCCCCCCCCTGCTCAGAAGAGCAGAGTTGCCAAGGGGGTCTTGGACGTCATCTAGTCGAGCCCCCCCTGCTCAGAAGACAGGATAACACAAGAGTTGGAAGGGGCCTCGGAGATCATCCAGCCGAGGCCGCCCCGCTCAGAAGACAACATGGGAAAGTTGGGAGGGACCTTGAGGGTCATCTAGTCTGTCCCCACTGCTCAGAAGACAGAATAATGAGAGTTGTAAGGGGGGGGGGTTGTCATCCAGCCAAGCACCCTGCTCAGAAGACAGAATTAGAGAGTTTGGAAGAGGCCTCGGAGATTATCTAGTCCGCCCTCCGCTTAGAATAAACCGGGTGGGAAGGGACCCCCCCCTGAGGTCACCCAGTCCATCCCTCTGCTCAGAAAAAGGACAGAATAACAGGCTTGGCAGGCATCTAATCCGGCCCCCCCTATATGCCATCCTGGACAGATGCTTCTCCAATCTTGTCTCCAGCAATGGAGCAAAATCCACAATAAATAAACCACCTTAAGAGCTGATGAGCTGCAGCAAAACCGTAAAACGTGTTCCTGTTGCTGGAGAAACGGCTGCAGCAGCAGCAGCAGGTTCTTTGCAACAGCCGTTGCATCAACGAGGGATACATCCAGACTGACCCCATCTCCCTGCTTCCTGGGGTTGCACGTGGTGACCGGGTTTAGCAGGGCTGAATTGATCCACATGCTATCCGGAGAGGTAGACAAGCCTAAATTGTTCCTATTATTCTTGACGTGGCCTCTTGCTCGTTGCAGGAGGACCCCGGAGTAGTTCAGACCTATTTTGTGTTTAAAGATGGTGTGTAGTAAGGAGGGTGTTGCTAGAGGGGAAACCTTGCAAAACCAGAGAGGACAGCAAAAAAAAAAAAAAAAAGTTTTTTAACACAACCAAATATTTGCTTTGCCTTCCCTGCTGCAGGTTGCTACAAAATCACCACGGTTTTCAGTCACGCCCAGACAGTTGTGTTGTGCGTCGGCTGCTCGACTGTGCTGTGCCAGCCCACTGGTGGAAAGGCGAGGTTGACAGAAGGTAAGCGGGAATCCCCCGTGTCCTTCGGTGTCAGATATAACAGGAAACGCGCACACACAGAATTGTAGCCAGCCTCCGAGATGCGTTTGTTGTGGGGACCTGTTGAGTTTTTTTTAAGAGTGTCGTCTTTCAATCTTTATAGAGTTCAGGCCTCACAATCAGGAAGGCTGTGAGTTCAATCCTAGGTATAGAGGCAGATATTTCTCTCGCTGGGCACACTGAGAATATATATCTGCTGAGCAAAACTCCGCTCTGGGGACAGGAAGGGCATCCGGCCATGAAAACACTGCTAGCTCCATTCAGTCGCCCGGACTCCACCCCGCAAGAAGGGATTATGGGGTCGTTAAAAAGATAATGATCTTTCAATCGCGGTGGTTAAGAGTCCCAGTACTGCAGGCTACTTCTGCTGATTGCCTGCAGTTTGGCAGTTCAAATCCCACCAGGCTCAAATTTGATTCAACCTTCCTGCCTTCCGAGGTGGGTCAAACGAGGACCCAGATTGTTGGGGGCAAGAGGCTGACTCTGTAAACCGCTTAGAGAGGACTGTAAAGTGGTATATAAGTATTTTAAGTGATATTGCTATTTAGGGATGGAGGAGGGGAGAAACGGCAGTGTATATTAACAACATTAAATGCAGAGATGTTTGAAAGCTTTAAGTTTCTTCCCACTGTGAATCTGACTCAGCAGGCTGTTTTTATGGATGAGGTCATATGGGATAGATCAAAAATGGCTGCCCTCCCACCCCCCAAGAAAAAAACAAACCAAGATAATCCTGGTTAAATGCAGCCAGTTTCCTGATCAATAATAGCTCACTTTTTGCATTTATTTTTTTCTTGCAGGGTGCTCTTTCCGGCGAAAGCAACATTAAACAGTGGACACTTGGCACGGGATGGGTTTGGGAACTACGGGAACAGTTGCCGGTTGCGACCCTGAGTTTCTCTGGGGCACCGATGGAAGTAATAGAGTTATTTTTGAGGGCATTTGAGTTGCTGCCAACGGTGGCTATTGGATAAGGGAGGACAATCCTTCCCTCGTGACTCTGGCACTGTCCTTGTAACCTTACCCATTTCATTCAATAAACTTTGGATATAAAGACAATTTTTTTGTGGGTCGAGTGTTGTTTGCGCCTGCCATGGGTTGTTCTGAATTCAGCTCCCTGCTTGATTCGATTTGGCCCTTTGGGAATCTGGTTTAAAAGGGGAGGTTTTAACAGCTCGCGGTATAGATGTTACATACACCACGGAGTGGCTTCACGGAGGAAGCCCGGCGAGTGGCGTGGACTTCCCCTTTAAGGACGACACTGGGTCATACACGCAACAAAAAGTCCACAAGGTTGTTTTTTTTTTTACTCTTGCCCACGTTCTTCTAGAAGTCATCTTCGTACGCTCCAGAGCCAGGCCTGAGTCCTGTTCCTTAGGCTGGAAGGGTGGTGCTGGGCACTCGGCGGGGGATAGAGGTAGCCTAGATAGAAAAGGCGGGGGGGGGGTGTGAGAGGGCTTGAGAAACGACCCCTCCTCCCCAAAAAAACCCACCCCCTATTCTTCCTCTTCTGCATAAAGGGAACTGGCAAGCACTCTACATGCCTCCCCTCCGCTGTTTAAAAAACTTCATAAAAGTTTTAGAAAGGCTGAAAGCTCAAAAAATTTTCAGGACTGAGGATCCCGGCTGCCTTGCCTGGCTTTCAAAAATTCCCAAAAGGTGAACTGGGATGATTATTCTTGACCCCTCCCTTTCCTCCCCCCCCCCAAAAGACTGGTTGTGGAAACTCACCATCCTGGGTTGAGGCTGACGGGATGTAGACAACTGGGACTGTCTGAACTCTGTTCAGGAAGGCATTGTAAACTGCGGGGAGAAGAGCGAGAACGCTGGTTGGTTCCAGGCTCAACTTACAACCGTTTGTTGTAAGGGTCACGTGATCTCCTTTTTTGGCGACCTTCTGCCAAGCAAAGCCGAGGATTCGCTTAACGACCGTCTGTGACCCAACGGAACAACTTGCAGGGCTTCACCGAACAACCGTGGCCCAAGGAAGGCCGCAAAAGAACAAAACTGACTTTTAACAAATGTCTCACTTGGGCAACGTGAATTCTGGGTTTTGAGAACTGCCAAATTAGTGCCAACACGGCAGGTTTTAAAAGAAAAGAACGGATTGTCTGAAACTTTAGGGTTTCCTGCTTGCACAGTGGGTTGGACTAGAAGGCCTCCCGGGGTCCCTTCCGGCTCTGCAATTCTGCAAAACTGGGGTAGACTTTGAATCTAGTGCCGCATCTGGTGGCTTAGGGGGAACTTGAGTTTGTGTTTTTAATTAGGGCTCAAATGTGCTGGGACTTACTGAGAAAGATGACCATGGTGGACGCCAGGACGGCGAAGATGGTGAAGAGGAGGACCTGGTAGGACCCCACCAGCTGCCGGACGAGGCTGGCCTCGGCGCACAGATCTAGGCATGTGGACAAAGGCGGTTGGGTGGCATTCTAGCCCCCCCACCCAAGAATCAAGCCAGGCACCCCCTCCCCTTTAACCATGTTCTCCTCCGAGCTCACCAAAGCTGGGATGTTGCTCCTGCTCCGGCCGCACCAGGACGGCGGCCCTCTGGCCGGTGAGGCCGCAGGAGACGTTGACGAAGACGGGTGCTGCCCTCCGGTGGAGGGAGGTGAGGTTGACCACGCGGATGGGGAAGAGGACAAGTCCAGGCATGTCCGGGAGGAGGAGGGGGGCATCCACTTGTACCACCGGAGAACTGGGATGGGCCTTGGCAGGGCGGGAGAAAAACATTGGGGGGGAAAGTTCCAGAAAATAGCAGCCTTTAAAGAGGAGAAGTCCACCAAAAATGGGTGCCCACCAGGAGCTAAGTTCTAAACCAGGGGAGAATTCTTGAGAGTTGGAAGTCCACAAGTCTTAAAAGCTGCCACGTTTGAGGACCCCTGTTCTAAACCTTCAGGTCTTATCCTTCGTGGACCTCAGAAGGTGACAAATTTTAGCGCAGGGTTTCCTCAACCTTATCTACTTTTAAGAAGAGCGGGCTTCGGCTCCCAGAATCCCCCAGGGCAGCAAATCTGGAGATACCTTATGATTCTTGACCAATGTATCTTGTCTTTTATGTACACTGAGAGCACATGCACCAAAGACAAAGTCCTTGTCTGTCCCATCACCCTTGGCCAATAAAGAATTCTATTCTAAGATTCCCGTGTCTCAGTTTGCGTAGGGACCTCCCCTCTACCTGGTCGCACCTTTGGACCTACAGACTCACACCTGTCTCGTGTGCTCCTGGTCTATCTGGATCCTGGAGGTGCAGATCCATCTGGAACCCCCCCCCTGAAGGACCATCGGAGGCTCTTCCGCTGAGACCCATCCCCATCAAGAGGGGACATCCAAAGGTCTTTGGGGGGAATCACTTGTCCACTGACCTCGATGGCTTCCGTCACTCTCCTGGCCCCCAACACCAAGATTTCACTGGTCATCTGCGAGCTGCTCAGGACAATTTCGCTCTGGTTGAGGAAGAAGGCGGGGAAGAAGGGAACCGTGACCCGCTGGGTTTCCCGCGTTTGCTCGCTGCGGAGAGCGGCGGAGACGTCCACGAAGCCCTCGGTTGTGCTGAGGGCCAGCAGATCCTCCTCAGGGTGGGCTTTCACGGTTACCAAGCAAGCGTAGAGCCCTTGAGGGGAGCCAGAAAGAAAGAAAGAGACTCTTTAAAACCTGCCTTCGGAGCGCCTGGATTCCAGGTGCAATTCGGAAAGAAAGCCACTCGGGAATGGGAGTGTCACAGGTGTGCGCCTCTGAATTAGGAAGTGGGCAGCTGAGGGCCAAAATTTAAAACTTTCGTAAGCTCCAAAAAGACAAATTACGACTTTCTTAAGCTTGAGAAAGGAAAGGAAGCTACCCTACAATATAGGAGAAATGGTTCTCGTGCTTTACAAGGCATTTAACTATTCTCTGAAAAAGATGGAGGCCCACCTATGACTTCAAAAGCTCCCCTCCCTGTCCCTGGTTACTGGAGCTGAAGTTGGCCAGGTGTGGAAGCTCCCAACTCCCCACCTGGGAAGCAAAGATACCACCGGTTCTCTTTCGGCCCACCTTTATCTGGGTAAAAGGCCGGCCGGATGTGAAATATTTTGCTGGCTGGAATATCCAGGATGCTGGGGTTGAAATTCAGTTGGCAGATCAGCTGGGATTCTGGAGAAAGGTCCGTAATGGCCCGAATTTGCTCAGAACTACAAGGACCTAAAACAAGACACAGGATATATTCAGAGTGTGCAATTTGGGATCTATCTATCTATCTCTCATCCATGAATCTATCAATCAGTCAATCTATCAATCCATCTATCTATCATCGATGAATCTATCCATCATCCATGAATCAATCTATCCATCTATCATCCATAAATCAATCTATCTATCTATCCATCTATCATCCATAAATCAATCTATCATCAATGAATCTATCCATCATCCATGAATCAATCTATCCATCCATCCATCCATCCATCCATCCATCATCCATGAATCAATCCATCCATCCATCCATCCATCATCCATGAATCAATCCATCCATCCATCCATCATCCATGAATCAATCAATCCATCCATCCATCATCCATGAATCTATCATCCATCAAACTATCTCTCATCCATGAATCAATCCATCCATCCATCCATCATCCATGAATCTATCATCCATCAAACTATCTCTCATCCATGAATCAATCCATCCATCCATCCATCATCCATGAATCTATCATCCATCAAACTATCTCTCATCCATGAATCAATCCATCCATCCATCATCCATGAATCTATCATCCATCCATCCATCCATCAATCAATCTCTCATCCATGAATCAATCCATCCATTCATCCATCCATCATCCATGAATCTATCTATCATCCATCCATCCATCAAATCTATCTACCTACCTACCTACCTACCTACCTACCTATCATCTCTCTCTCTGCCAATTCATCATCATTGCAATCAATCAATCAGAATAGAGTTAGAAGGGACCTTGGAGGTTTTCTAGTCCAGCCCGCTGCTCAAGCAGGAGACCCTGCCTATACCATTTTAGACAAGTGGCTGCCCAGTCTCTTCTTTAAATCCCCCCAGTGATGGAGCAGCCACAACTTCTGGTGGCAAGTCGTTCCACCGATTTCATTGTTCCCGCTGTGTCAGGAAACTTCTCCTTAACGGTATTTTCCTTCGACCCAAAGAATTTATAAAATTAGAAACGCAGACACAAGAGGAATCCCCAATTTCTTCATGTTTGGTTTGGGTCTTTCCAGGAGTGCGTCTTTGTTGGGGATGAAAGTGGGGAGGGGAATTCTTTGCTCTTGAAAGAAATATTTCTGTGTGCCCCTCTAACATGGCTATGCAAAACCAGGAGAATCAAAGCCCCTTTAAGTATATTTTATAATCTCTTTAAAGAGAAACAGGATGGCTCGTCCCGCCCTGAGGACACAGTCGGACTGGGCTCGGTTTTTTTTTTTTCCCCTTTCAGGGGTCACCCCTAGCCACTCCATCTCCTCCACTATCACATTTCGCTTTGTCTTCTACCCTGAAGAGTGGTCGGGCCGCTTGTGGAGATGAAAACCCGGAATTCGGAGGCGTTGGCGGCGTTGGTGAGGAAGTTTTTGGGCCCGAGCTGAAGGCTGAGTCTCAACGGGCTGTGAACGACGACCTGGGAAAGGCAGATGAGAGAAGGCTGTGAAGAAATGTTAAAAAATAATAATAATAATAATAAACTTGTTCTCCAGAAGCTGTTTCCGAACTCGGAAACAAAATGAGATCGCGTTAAAATGACGTCGCAAACACACAGACGACACTTCTACCTCTCGGTACGTTTTGACGATTCCTGGGATTTCGTGGAAGACGGTGGCTTTTCCCGGGTGCTTCGCGAACGTCGCTCCACTCACTACGTCCATCTCAAGCACGTCGCTGGGGCTGATCTGCCAGGTGCCAGGCTCTCCTAAAAAGAGAAGAGAAGGCTTTCTTTCTTTCTTTCTTTCTTTTTCTTTCTTTCCTCCCTCCCTTCCCTTTGATCCATCTATTTATCTACTCTCCTTCCTTCCTTCCTTCCTTCCTTCCTTCCTTCCTTCCTTCCTTCCTTCCT